TTTGGTGTGGGTGCACTATGTGGACAGCAGCGTAAGGTGCGGCAGGGGTGGGAGGTGGGTGTTGGGGGGCGCGGCGCCGGAGAGATTGGGCGGGTGGTGTTGGAGGGGGTGGAGAGGTTGAGGCGTTCTTCCTCGATCACTTCTTCTGCGGCTGCGGCTGCGGCTGCGGCTCGGGGTGGGGAGAGGGAAAGAGCGGAAAAGAGGGTGGTGTTGGTGATAGACGGGTTGGATTTTGTGTTGGCGGCGTTGGATCCGAGCTTGGGGCTGGGCCAAGGTCTACAGGGTGCTGGGGATGCCCCGGGAACGGCTATCGCGATGAAGGAGATGTTGATGGAGTTGAGAGAGGTGAGCCTTGTCTTTACTTACGGCGCGGAAGTTGTTGATGTGAACGAGCGCTGACGTGACTTTAGAAAACACACGCTGTCATTATCACGCTGGCCGCTGACGACCCGCTCATCAAGGAGCAGGAGACAACACTAGAGAAGCAGCACGCCTGGTTTGCGCTGAGCCTGGCGCACGAGGCGGGCATGGTCATCAGCCTGAGGCTACTTGACACGGGCACAGCCAAGGATGTGAGTGGTGTCATCAGAATTACGCATCGGGAAGCCCGGGTAAAGGACCATGAGTATTTGTACCATGTGGGAGGCGACGGTGGGGTTAGAGTCTTCGAACGAGGCCAGTAGTAGAGACGATACCCTTCATACTTTGAGAGCCACCTCTGTTTTGCTCGCTGCTAGCTTGCTGAAGACTGGGACTGGTCTGAACCGGCCGGTTTGCCGGTTGTGCTTGCGTCTCCAGAGATCCTTTTCTTTTGCCCGCCCCTGCACAAGAAACTTGGCCAAAAAAGAAGCAGTGTGATTGATCCCAAACGTTACGCCGTTTTCATGACCTGTGCTCGATGCATTGACCACTGAATCGAGCCCCGCGCGCGCGAAATCATGCCATTTGTGGTATTCCAGCGAAAAGCGAGTAGGCCCGTCCGAAAATTGTTCGATCCATGTTACATCGCTCGCCGGAGTTGACCCGTCCCATTGTCCATGCCCCCGCCTGTCATGATAACCGATTATGAAGAAGCCGAAACCGTGGGACCCTGAGCACCCTTGGGCACGCCGGTCTGGAAGCCGTTCTTGAACTTCCTCGAGACTGTGCTGAGGTACCGCATGCGGCCGGTACCGGTGACCTTTCTGCGCTTCGCCTTCTCGGACCAGTTGTCTGTCATGTACCCGTGTCAGCGATCGACTCTCGGGTTGCGACTCAGAGGAGTCAGAAAATGGATTACTGAAAACATACACTTGCGGGTCTTAGCAGCGGGGTAGCCGCACCCGGCGCAGACCTTCTTCTGGTTGTGGAGAGACCGACGGCTGGTGAAGGGGTTAGTCCCTGCCAGAATAATCGTATTGCAGTTTCGAGTTCGTTGCCAACCGGCTGGCTGGTCTCGTTCCACGTATCGGATCAAGGGTTCGTATTCGACTTACCCGCAGCGTCTGCAGAGACCGTGGGTCTTGTTGTGGCTAGAAGTGCGGTCAGCATCCATCCTCAACCAGCAGAACTTTGAGATGGGCGTAAGCGTACCGCTTGCCAAAGCTGGAGGTACCCTTGGCTGTAGTTCCGTGTCAGCGCAGCTGCCCCAACACCAAAACGCATGTATCGATGGAGATGTTTTCAAGTAAATCGGAAGGAGGTGTAATTGTTGTAGGTGCGAAATAATGCGAAAGGTGTCGTCGGACAATCGGGGAGTCGGCGTGGAAGGGGTAATGAGTCTCGACAACGGAGGCGAAGTGGTGATCGCAAAGGGGGGGTGTTAACGTACTCATTTTGGCGGTTTCTCTACAAGCCAATAGAATTAGTATCAAAAAGACTGATGAAGCCGTATGGGGCTTCTAAACTTACCTGCGTCGTCGTCGACAGGCGGATCGTTGTGATGTGCAGGTTCTCGCGGGTCAGGGATCGCGAAATTTTGGGAATGTGTGGCCAAGCGATTTCCTTAGTTAGGGCTGCGGAAAAAATTAGCCACAATTTGCGCCTCGATAAGTGGCTGTATTACCCCACCACCGATAAAACGCCCCACATGTCCGAGTTGTCGGCCCCGAAGAGGCGGCTTCGGACCCACAACGCCGGGGAACTCAACCCGAACCCCAGCTCCGATCGCGTTCGAGATTGCACAAACAACAGCACATATAAATCTCGCACGTGTAGGAGTTCTGGAATACCGTTCTGTAAGGCGCTAAATTCTCGATTTTCCAACATTCGTTCACAGGAGTAGCAGAGCAGTAACAAGTGACAGCCGGAAATTCTAGATGACGACGGCGAACAGCTGCTTTCCATAAACTGACGAGAGTCAGGACTGCATGAGTAATCTTGAATATTGTAGAGTACCCATAAATCTATGGCTCTTTTCCGCCTCAGAGCTTCAGCTTACCGAACTCCGCTAGTGTCCTCTCGTAGTTCTCCTTCGCCGCCTGGGCATCGGCCAGCTTCTTTTTCTCAGCCGTGAGGACGACGTCGCTGACTTTCTCAAACCCTTCACGCCCCATCAGCTCATTTTGTTTTGTAATGGCAATGTTGGTCTTTTGCAGCTTGGTGTTGATCTTCTTGATTTCCGCGTCAATGTCCTTGATTTGTGTGCTGACTTGCAAGAGAACCGCGACGTTGGCGGAGACAACATAGACCGCACAGCCCTTCGGCGACGATGCCTCGTCGGCATCGGGGCCAAGAACGCTGACATCCGCGACGCCCTTGCCGGAAAGCGTCTTGATGGCCTGGAGCTGCGCGCTAACTTTCTCGAAACTCGCTGCCGTGGACGTCTTGATGAACCCGCACCCATCTGAGCGGATATTGTAGTCAGCGGCCAAGGATCGGAGTCCACCGGCGCACTGAAGGCCGAGTTCGTAGTCTTCCGCATCCGACTCAAACTCCAATGTGCTCTCGGGCTCGGGATACGGTGCCAGCATAACTGAGGCCACCGTATCGTCCTTGCTGCGGGGAAGACGTTGCCACAACTCTTCGGTGATGAAAGGCAGGAATGGGTGCAGGAGGCGCAATGCGACATCTAACGTCCGATACAGGGTCTGCTGGACACTCTGCTGCTGCTCCGGGGTGCCATCGCTCAGAATACCCTTGCTGTTCTCGATGAAAACGTCACACAGCTCATCATAAAAGAATTGGTAAGCAAGTTTCGTGGCAGTGGAAAATTGCCGCGCCTCAAGTGCTTCGTTGATACCCTTGACGGCAGAATTCATCCGATGAAGTATCCAGCGCTCTGGGACGGAGAGAGCCGAAGTGTCAAGCTTCGAAGTCGGGACGAAATCCTGGGGCAACTTGCCCAGCACATACTTGCTGGCCTGCCAAACCTTGTTGCAGAACCGGCGGTAGGCGTGCATCACCTTGATATCGAAGCTGATGTCGCCACCACCAGTGGTGTAAGACAACAGGGTAAACCTGAGGGCGTCCGCGCCGCACTCGGGAATGCCACCCGGGAATGCGGTCTTTTGGTACTTGGTGGCGCGCTCAACCTCATCCTCCTTCAGGTTGCCCGTGAGAAGCTTAGCGTGGAGCGCCTCAAGCTCAATACCATTGATGATGTCGAGAGGATCGATAACGTTGCCTAGCGACTTGCTCATCTTTCTGCCTTCGGAGTCGCGGATGAGACTGTGGCAGTAGACCTCGGTGAAAGGCACCTCGCCCGTCAGCTTAAGGCTGAGCATAATCATCCGAATGACCCAGAAGAACAGGATGTCCCAACCCGTCTCCAGCATGCTGGTCGGGAAGAAATTCTTGAAGTCGCTGCTTTCGGTGTTGGGCCAGCCGAGGATAGACATAGGCCACAAACCGGAGCTGAACCAAGTGTCGAGGCAGTCGGGGTCCTGCTCTAGACGGTATTTCTTCCCCGCATACTTGGCCGCGGCCTTCGCCTGGGCCTCCTCGGGCGTCCTGCCGACAACCCATGGGGATTTGTCGGTCTCGCGCTCACCCTCCTCCTCTTCAAGGATGACACGGTAAGCTGGGATGCGGTGGCCCCACCTGGAGATACTATCAGCAACTCGTTCTGTCACGGAAAAAGCTGTAGGACTTACCATAGCTGGCGGGAGATACACCAATCATTCACATTGGCTAGCCACCTGTCGTAGGATTTCCTTGCACTCTCAGGGCTGATCTTGACCTTCCCTTCCTCGACAACCTTCAAGGCGGCATCTGCCATCTCGTTCATCCGCACCCACCATTGAGGCGTCATGTATGGTTCGATAACGTCCTTCGTCTTCTCGCACAGGGGGATGGTCATGGCGTTGGGCTCTTTCTTGACAAAAAGCCCGCGCTTAGTCAGTTCGTCGACGACAGTGTACCGAGCATTGAACCTCTTCTGGCCCTGGAACATGGGGCCAGCATTTTCGTTGAGAGTGCCGTCCTCATTCAGGATGTTGATGAACTCGAGGTTGTGGCGTTCACCCAATTTGTAGTCGTTGAAGTCGTGCGCAGGGGTCAACTTGACCGCTCCGGTACCAAATTCCGGGTCCACGTAACTATCCTCAACGATAGGAAGGAGGCTGCAGCTTGTGAGCAATCAAGTCTTGGTATCGATAGGGATCCAACTAACCGGTCTGTGAAGGGGTGGCGCGCAAATTTGCCAACGAGATGCGTGTAGCGAGTATCGCCCGGGCTAACGGCAATACCACTATCGCCAAGCATGGTCTCAGGACGGGTCGTCGCGACCTCAATCGTCAGGTCGGTGCCGTCAATTGGGTATTTGAAGAAGGTGAGGACGCCGAACTCAACCTTTCGGTCGTAGCCTGGGACATCGAGCATAGTGCGGCCAGTGATGTCCTTGTTCTCTACTTCCAACGAGCTGAGGGCTGTTTGCAGGTGTGTACACCAATTCACCAAGCGGCTCGATCTGTAAATGTACCCCTCGTCATGGAGCCGGCAGAACGTCTCCATGGTGGCGGCACTCAGATTCTCGTTCATGGTGAAAGCCTCGCGTGTCCAGTCCATCGATCCACCCATGAGCCTCTGGGCGTTGTTGATGCGCTCATGGTATTCCCCCTTCCACTCCCAGACAAGCTTCGTGAAGTTCTCGCGGCCAAGTTCCAGGCGCGTCTTCTTCTCTTTCTTCCAGAGCATCTTCTCAACAACAGACTGTGTAGATATGCCGGCATGGTCACAGCCAGGAACCCAGAGCGTGGAGAAGCCCTTCATCCGATGCCACCGAATAAGGGTGTCCTGGAGCGAATTGGCCAAAGCATGGCCGCAGTGGAGTGCGCCGGTCACGTTGGGAGGCGGAAGAGGGATGACGAACTTCCCGAGCTCGGGCGATCGAGCGGGTCGCGGCTGGAAGAAACCGCTTTTCTCCCACCATTGATACCAAGAAGACTCGACTGCCTTGGGGTTGTATGCTTGGAAGTGGGGGTGGTCGAAAGATTGAATGATTTTCTTCTCGCCGGCCGGGGTTTCGTCTTGGTAGGGAGGGAGGGACGGTGCTTGAGCCTTGGGAGGCTTCGGGGCCGCTTGGGCAGCCGCAGCTTTCTGCTGAGGCTGCTGCTGCTTCAGCTTGGCCTGCTTTGCGGCGAACTTGGCCGCTTTATCAGCTTTGGCCTTCTCCTTCTGTTCTAGGCGAGTTGATAAATTTAGCGCCGGCGATGCGTTGATCGGAGACGGGTGCGGAGCTCACCATTCTTCTTGGCCGTGGCCGGATCGACCGCCGGAGCGTCGGCGGCGGGGGCGTCGGGAGCCATGCTTGCTGGTCGTTGCAGGGAGTAGTGTCGAGACGATGGCAGGATGAGGGCCGAGGGGAGTTTGAGTCGCGATTCCCGTCCCAGGCTAGCCAGTCGCCGCAACGAACTCAACATCCAGGGCTTTTGGAGGGGTCAATAGCCCAAAGAGGGGCAGGAGGTGACTCAAAGAGGGGCCCTTCCGGCTTGCAGGAATTTTTGCCGGGCAAGGAGGGGTCAGTGCATGAGTCAAAACGAAGCAGCTCCAGCTGCACCAAAACCTCAAAACCTTCCATTCCACAGACTCCACCTCCCTGCAACACCCTGAGCCCTGACCCTGGCGCAACTGGGCATTCTGGGCCATGCTCCTATCCGGGAACAAGGTTTGAAACTCGTCCTCGCCCACCCGCAATTCATCCAACCGTTGACTGTAAGCACTCTTTACAGCATTCGGGTTTCAAAAATACCCCGGACCGCCGCTCTTTTGTCCAAGGTAAATTAACCTTGGATACCAACTGTGTAGGTACCTAACTAAACATCATCTCATCCAGCCGGATGAGCTCAGGTTGGGATTGCCGAGAGAAGCTCGAAGTTGCTGGCCTACTTAAGAGGAGGCAGCTTTTGCGGTACACGTACCTCCAAGCTAGGTAAGACAGAATGAAGCCTCTTAGTTCAACATGATTAGTGCCTGGTCCTCGACAGCCCCTTTTCGTACTCGTCGTCATGCAGCGGAGCTCTGATGTTGTACTGTGCTGGTTCCTGAGCACCCGAGTCCTTCGAGTTCCTCCCCGACTGTATGCATTTCTGTCAAATACTGTACGGTTATACTGTGACAGGCGAGAGAATGCGGGGAACTCATGCCGATCCTCGTGACAATGAACAAGTACCAATTCAATCAAAACCCTGTTTTAGCGGCATATTTACATGCATTATTACGGATAGATAGGTATCTGTACAAAGTCCGTTTCAGTTGGGCGCTGTGGCACCCCTGGTAAGGCACTGCGGAACCCAGGCAGGTGGTTCTGGGCACGCCGCCCCACCAGTCGTCGCTATCACAAGCACTTGCGGCATGGCATGTCTCGTCATCCATTTCCCTCCCTAACCTTGCGCTTTCCAATCATTCCAATCTTCCTACAACCTAACACGGTTTTAGACTGTTTACACGAATGATCAGACGCGACTCGGCCTGACTCTGCGAGCAGTGCCACCAAAGCCGTTTAATTAGAACCGATATCCTCCGTTAAACTCAGTATTTGTTCGAATTATCGAACGCGTGACAACCCTACGATGCGACCTCCACGGATCGCCATCCTCGTCCTCTTCTTCGCCGCGTCCATCTTCCTTGTCTGCCGGTCTATCAGTTCAGCCCAGCACTCTAGCCCCGTAGCAACGTCATCGCCACCCCAGAAGTCGTCATTCCGAGCCTTCTTCTCGTTCACCGCGCCCTTTTCTCTTTTTCCACCAGCGGCTACAATCACTCTCACCGACGATAACAGCACCTATTTTCCCGCCCGCCCCGCCGCTTTTGGGCCTTCCTTGGGTATCGACGGGCTAAAAGGACAGCTGTGGATAGGGAGCGGCTTTTCCGATGAGACATTACAGGAAGGCGAAGGGGAGGGCGAGCTCGGATGCAGCGATATCCCGGGATGGGAAGATGGAAGGACGAAGCTGGCCATCAAAAACGTCATGCAGGGCTCGGCTAGTACTAAGCCTCACCCCCTTGCTCACGCCGTGAAGAACCTGAAGATGAACGGCCTGGCAAAGGATCCGGCCGTGGGGGACGCAGTACAAAAGAAGCGACCCCATTCCGAAACCAAACACACCAATGATGGGACAGACGACTATCTCCACCAACATTTTCAGCAGACAAGAAACCCTTATAGCAAGGAGCCGATCACGGGTTCGAATCACGCCGACATTCAGTCTATGCAAGAAACTGCGGAGATCACGGGCAAGGTTGCTCTCCTGAGCCGAGGTGGCTGCGGCTTTCTCGAAAAGGTCAAATGGGCTCAGCGTCGGGGCGCCATCGCTCTCATTGTGGGCGATAACCAAAAGGGGGGCCCTTTGATCCAGATGTTCGCCCGGGGCGATGTTGATAACGTTACAATTCCCTCGGTTTTTACCTCGCGGACAAGTGCTCATTTGCTCTCATCGCTCATGCAGTCTGTAAGTTTTGACAATGGCGCCCTGAGCAAGAAGATGGATCCTTTGCGAAAAGAACCGCACTCGACCAAGGCCGAGAGAAATAACGACTCGAAAAAATCACCATTATCGACGAGGCATGTTTCCAAGATTACAACCACGACAGTATCTGCAAGAGGAAACACCATACCGAAACCCGAGAATTCAATTGTGGCTAAGAGAGGCTGGTTTTCCCGACTATTCCGTTGGGGGGATGGCGAGGGTACCTCTGTTGACACCAATCGGCCGCCAACAAGCGGCCGCCTAGACTGGATTCCTGTTGGCGATTGGGATGATGAGCCTGACAAGCTTACTGAGGCCAGCGTTGACAAGGCATCGAAGGCTGGTGCCAAAGGCTCTTCCACGTCGCCTGGGGACGGTTTCCAAATCGGAGTCCAGGATTGGCGTGACCCTGACCTCGCGGGATCGACCGCAGAAAGCAGCGAGGTGTCCAGCTCCCAAGGGTTGGCCAATGGCAATGGCCGATTGAGTAGCGCTGAGACGTTCGCTGGTCAAGCTGACAAGAAGACTGGCTACAACCCACCCACGGAGGTCAATGGGCCCAGAGGCGGGAGCATCACTCCCAGCAGCGGAGAGTATGTGCCCGGAACTGTGGGAAACTCGGCTACTCCAGGGTCCGGGAAATCACAGTCCTCTTCTAGCCCACGAGGTGGACTTCTGTCAAAGATTTTTGGCGGTGACGACGACAGCGCAGAGGACACAACAGTCGGCACACCGGACGAGACCCGACATTCCTCAGCCACGATGCCACGTCCTGATCCTTTGTCCCCTGCTAGTAACAGTGCTCGCGAAGGCCTCTGGGTCACCATTGCGCCCTCGAGCGGCTCCAACCCTTTTTTCGACACTCTCCTAGTTTTGGTTGTCAGCCCTTTGATCACACTAACGGTCGTATACGCTTTACTCATATTGCGGATAAAGATCCGGATGCGAAGGTGGAGAGCCCCCAAGTCTGTGGTAGATCGACTCCCAGTCCGAACGTACCACACGGTCGCCCCTTCGCCTACCCCATCACCGAGGACTCCCTCACCAAGGACACCTTCACCTACAAGCTCTTCGCCCACAACGCCGCTGCTACAAGGCTCTTCGAGATCACGGCCACGATCTCGCGCTTCCCCGGGTGTCCCCGATCAGGGAGACCTATTTACCGCAGGTAGCTCTACTCAGTCCGTGCGGCGGCCTTCTCGCGAGAAGAATTCACATGGAATATCTAGCGAATGGAAAAAGCACATGGGTAAGCAGGTTGAGTGTGTTGTCTGTTTGGAAGAATATGTCGACGGCGTGAGCAAGGTGATGAGTCTCCCCTGCGGACACGAATTTCACGCGGAGTGCATGTAAGTCGCCACTGTCCCACCATACCGTGGATTCAAGGGCCATACTGACGTAACGCAGAACTCCATGGCTCACCACCAGACGACGCACATGCCCAATTTGCAAGAACGACGTTGTACGGTCGCTTGCTCGGGGTACTTCATCGGGGCCACAGTATGAGCCGTTCCATGAGGACGGTTACGAGAGCCCCGAGGAGTCCTCCCGCATGTTCCAAGAGAGGATCCCTTCTCCAAACCAACTTGAGGATCTTGAGCGAGGCCCTTCCTTTAGCCAATCAGCCAGAGACGACTGGCGCGGACCCATCCACGATGTCTGGTACAGCACCCTGGCAAGCCGTTTTGGAGGAAACTCGTCCTTTTCGACAAGACGGGGGAATTCAGGGGAAGATCGCGGTCGATGACCGGCGGCCCAATCCTGAGCTTGGCCAAGGTCCATTCTAGAGCAGTTGCCGGTTATTAGCATCAGGGCGGCTTTTTGTTTTGCATTTCAAGGGGAACGACGGAAGATTGGCGCTTTGGGCATAACTCATTCCCAGGCAACGGGACGGAGGGGTAGGGACACTGGGACTAACACTCGCTTTTTATTCATGCATATTGTGATACCTCTCTCCTATCGGGTTTCTTTCTTTCTTCTGTTTTCTTTTGTTATAATTTTCTTAGGTCGGCGCGGGATTAGGCCTGATCGACCTGTATTGGAACAGGATGCGTCGAACCGAGAAGGTAATGAATGGATGGGGGAATTTGGCTATGGCGAACCCCATCGTATATGAAGTCACATCAAATGCTCCAGAAGCTAGAAATAAATATATTTAGGTCATCTCCACCTTTTCCGTCCCCTTTGTGCTCTCAGTATAACGTATACTTTCCAATCCTAGACGATCCCGAGAGAAATGTGATGACTCCAAGGGTACCTCTGCTAGTTAAACATTCCACGACCCACCCCACTTTCCCTGCCTGGCAACTTTGACACGCTCATCGCGACTACCGCAGACATCATACCTAAGCGGTGACGGAGTTTCTCGGCGGGATTGGATAGGAGAATTCTCGTTGAGCAAAAGTCGTATGCATTTTACGTGGCACTTTCCTTTATCCTCAATCAACCTGCCCATCATTCAAGCTCTCGCGAGACCTTGGGTGTATCTTGACAATTGTCTGCTCAAGCAATCGATCTTGGCATCACCAAGGAACCTGCGCTTGCGCGATCCAACAATCAGCTGCCTCGTTTCTCACGCCGCTCGTTGAGTACACTCATTTAGTGCCTTCCATCCAAGTCCCAAGTCGGGACCACACCCTGCTTGGGCCACTGGCAATGCAGCCATGTCGCGATACCTCGCTCCATCCAAAATCGGGCTGCTGGCGCTCATCGAGTTATACATTGAAGGGGCAGTTCCCAACGATGCCACAATCCCCGTCATCAACTTTCTCACGTCCCACCTGCTTGACTACAGCTTAACGGGTCCCTCCGTCGCCCCCACCGAACGTTGGAAGGAAGCGGAAAACACCATCCGACTCGCCGTGTCGGTTCACCACTTCGAGGAGCTGCTGGCACCCTTCGCGGCGGTCGACCGCCTACCTGGGCGGAGCTTGTGGGACAGGTTTTTGGAGAAACTCTGGGGCATTGATTCACTGCATACCCTACACGAGTTTTTCGATCAGCTCCCGAACCACCTGGCGAGAACGAAGGCTGAGTTGCGTGAACTGGCCTCGCGTGGGGAGGAGCCCCCTTCCGGTGTCCTCCTCACGCGCAATTCGCCCTTCGGCGTCTTTATCAGAAAGGCACACCTCGAGTACACGAGATTGTACTTTGATTACGTGGCCAACCTTTGGAAGACGTTCGTCAAATACCGTCAGCCAACCGCTGCATACTGGAGACGCCGGAATCCTCACCACAGCCGGCTTAGTTTTGACTCGGTGCTCCTTGAAGGCGAGCATGAATGGGGGCTACAGACGGACGGGATCGCCGTGGCGGCGTACGGAAATATGCTGCTCATGGACGGCCAAGACGCCGAACTTCCAGTCAGCACCGACGATATTGAGAGTCTCCTGGAGTTCCAGATTGAGCAGGTTCAGAGTAAGCTTCCCGTATAATCCTGTTGAAAGCAAGCAAGTCGACTTACCGTGACAGAATACGGAACTAGGGTACCACCAAGGATCCGAGAGCAGTTTCAAAAACTCGTCAAAAGCAGCCGTATCGTCCCAAGCTTGTCACATTACCTCAAGTTCGTCCTGCATGCTCCCGGTTTATCGGACTTTGGCTGACCACGAGTAGCTTCTCCGATTCATGGCGGTCGGGCGAGTTCCCAGCGGCCTTCGACCACCTCCACCGCTATTTTGATTACACCATGCAGAACCGGGACCGCTTATTCTATCAATATGCGCTACTAAACTTGGGGATTGTGCAGTCGGACTTTGGCTGTCACAAAGAGGCTGTGGCGACCATGCTCGAAGCCATTTCAACCGCAAAGGAAAATCAGGATACCACGTGCCTCAACTTTGCGCTAAATTGGTTTTTTCACTTCGGCAGAGCTCACCCAAACCTCGTCAAGGAACTCGAGGATAACAGCATGCTCGGGAGTGGCAAGGAGTTGCTGGCCTTCCTCCGCGCGAAGGCCAAAGAGACCGGCATGTGGATATTATGGAGCTCGGCGCTCTTGAGCGAGGCCAAAATGGGGCTGGCAAATGGCGAGAGCATCTCGGTCGCTGTCGAAAGCATGGTCCGAAGTTCTCAAGTTATTGTGGAGAAGAATGTCAAGGCAATGATGGGTCCGCAGCTCTCCATTGGAATTGCCTTGTGGGATAGGCTCGGTATGGCGGCCATGTCAAAGATGACGTGCGAGGTGTTCCTCCGTTGCCATGTCCATAGTTCCGTGTTTGACGATGAGCTGAAGCTCACCTGTCGGATGGCGGGCATGCTTGCCGGCAAAGGGCAATACGAGGCTGCATACGCCAAACTGGAAACCATAGACACCAACTCACTCCGGTCCGCGAAACCAGACCAATACTGGCACCTCCACCGCGGCCTCCTGAAACTACGCCGAGATCTCCATCACAACAACCTCGACTCAGCTGAGGTCCTGCTCTCTCAACTCCTCCAAAATTCCTCCGAAGACATCGAATCCGACATAGTCTTTATCATCGACACCCTCCATATCGAGGCCCTCATGCGCCGTAACGATTTTGATGCCGCCTTCACTAAGGTTGATAGGCTCATCTCCGAACTCCGCGAAAGTGACCGGGACTCGTCTCTACGCATCCGGCTCCTTCTCATCAAAATCCAGCTGTTCGACCGCATCGGCCGGCCAGAGAAGGGCTTCACGCTCGCGATGCGTGCAGCAAGCATGGCGTGGCGGGCGCGGCTCCTAGCTCTGCTTTGGGAGGCGGTGGGAGCGTTGGCCAACATCCTCAACGCGCTCGGCGAGTTTGCTGCCGCTGACCGCCTTCTCGTCGCTGTCATCCCGCGTTACCTCGAGACGGACATCACCTACACAGCTGGTTCTCTATACAACATCCTCGCCGACGCGAGGGTGGGGTTAGCGGGGGAGATGAAGAAGGAGCGCAGTTCGGGGCTATCATTAGAGAGGGCAAGAGTGATGGCGATGGCGCACGAGGCACTAGACGGGGCGTTTTGTTGTTTTGAGGCTGTGGAGGATGTGGTTGGAAGATGTGAGGTAATGGCTAAGAAGGCGACGCTTTTTAGGGTGGAGGGAGATCTTGCTAGGGCGGATGAGTGTGCGGATGCGTATCTGAAGGTGCGGGACGAAGAGCAAGCGATGAAAGGGTGATATGAATCACAGGGGCCCAAGGAAATAGGTGAAGGAAGAAGACCAGAAAAGCGACGGAAACAAACTAGCCGTCCAGACTGAATCAAGAAAGGGGCTTCGCAGCGGGCTACCCCCCGCCCCGATGAGCTTCTGTTTTTTGCTGCCCTTTCTGCTCATCTCGAACTCGATGGTCTATTAGATATGATGGGCTGGGGATTTACTTGAGAAGAGCAAACCTCATGCAACAAGGCCAGGCCAGAGGTAGAAAATTCCCGTGTATTGACTTGTATGTTTCAGTCAACATGTATGTGAGAACAATGAAAGGCATCATAGTGAGGCGTTTCATGGAAGCCGATATCTCCTGCTGGATCTAGGGACCTGGTGGGAATGCTGGTTGTCGATCCAAACTTCTGGGCCCAAAATCATCCCACCGACTGGAGAGTGGTGGATGTGTTTGACTCTCCGGTGCCGCTATTTGTACATACCAAACCCCCTCACGTTCCATATTGAGTTATGTGCCAAACCGAACTGGCAGTCAAATGCAAACGCGACGTAGTCCAGGCAGCGGTGCAAATTTGTCACTGAAATCCGGATGGCCGGGATTCGATTCTTCAACTCTAGGAAACATGTACAGTTGATTGCTGTTTGTTGGTCCTTTCTCGGCCTCATCTACGTTCACCCTCCCATTGTCTCCGAACCTCCTTGAGAGACGGCCAGATCACTCCTTCTCTTGTCGTTTAGGTGGTCTTGTCCTTGTTGTGGTAGTTGACCGAGTCGTTCCAGCTGTGCGTCATGGTTAGCGAGCGGGCCACATTTCGGTTTTGGCTTCCTCATCACTCTCCTCAGCCCAGAGAAGTGCAACGAGAATTTGGCAGATATACGTACAAGAGGGTCTGTCAGGGTTTGTTAGCTTCGTAGGGCACAAAGAAACGAGGGGAATAAACGTACCTTGTCACCATCGCCCCATTGGTAGTTCTTGGTGCGGATGTTCTGGTAAGGGTACTCGACGCGCTCCTCGAGAGGGGGCATATGCGACCAGTGTTCCCAATGCTCGTTCCAGAGCATGTAGGCGTTGGCGCCGGCGAGGATGAGCGCGGGGGGGATGCCGCTGTTGGGGTTGCCCTTGTTAGCTCCGCTTCTGGTTTAATATTGCGTTTCTCCCTCTCTGGCTCCTTCCATCTTGCTCTCTCAGTTCTCTGACAGCTCCGCCCTCCTCCTCTGAAGCTTTGCGAGATTGACAGGCCGTCGGTTCGATGGTCCAGGGCATAGGTTTATGAAAACCACGCATGGAGGATCGCTGGGGATGGGGGGAAGGGGCCATACTAGATGGAAATCTTGCGCCAGAGCTCTGCTTAGCTGTTAGCCTTCTGACCGGTTAGCAACAAAGATGCTCCGGAGGGGTTCGCACCAGTGGTGGGACCGGCGTGCTCCTTCACATGGCGGCGTTCGCGGACGAAGCTGTTCTCGGTCTCGGTGCTGGCAAAGCGGCGCTGGGCCTGGGCGCGGGCCTGGGCAGTGAGGCGCTGGGTAGCGCGAGCGATCTGGCGCTGCGCAAACATCGTGGTCGGCTGCGTCGTCGGCGACTCGATTTGAGGTGGTGTGGTGTGTCAATTGCGTGGGGGGGCTTCCAAGGTGAAGCAAGCAATGGATGAAGCAACTGACCCGCTTTTGCTCGAGCTCGGGTGAGGTCAGACCCCAATGAATCCAATCAGGTCATTTTCGGCCAGACCTCGGGTGTGCGGCAGCGAGTGTACGAGCCAAGAACTCTGGCAAACTGTGATGACATAATCTTGGTAAAAGAATGGGGCCAGACCATAATCCAGTCAGGTGACCTCGCGATCGGCAAGCGTGGTGTTCGTGACGCCTGCCATATCAGGTCGCGACCGCCTCGAGTTTAAGGCGAGTTGGGAGACCAAACGCTACATTGCGCTGCCCATTCATTCATGTGAATTAACAAATTTGAAACCAAGCTGCTTAAATCTGGGAACACTGTTGTTGGCGATGCAATCTCCAAATGTAAAGCCACAATTTCCGCCTTGATTCCGAGATCTCGCTCCCGAGTCCTCACCGCGCCTCCATCGCTTGAACCCTGCGGTCTTACGCCATTTCGCCCATGGTCTCTTGGACCTGCCACTCATTTGAGGAGTTTGGAAACCTCAAACTACCTATTCCAGCGGGGTTGGCGTATTTTGGTGGGTTAAGTCGGTCAGGTCTGAAGTCGTGACATCACAGCCATCCATTTTTCGAGCAGACAATACCCAAGTCAAGATGCCGCTTCGGATCACGACATGGAACGGTAAAACATCTTTGCCCACTCACTGCCGCCTATGTTCTTGCCGTTAATATTCTCGTAGTCAACGGCATAAGGAATCCCTTTGGGTACCAACCGTGGCGGGAGAAACGCACCTTCCAGGTATCACGGCCGTAACCCTCCCACGCGCCAGAACCAAACTGACCAGCTTGCAGGCCATGTTTGACACGCTGGAAGCCGACATTGTGGTGATGCAGGAGACCAAAATCCAGAGAAAAGATCTCAGGGACGACATGGTTTTGGTCCCCGGCTGGGACGTGTTCTTCAGTCTTCCAAAGTACAAAAAAGGTTGGTCGGCGCCAGATAGTTCGTTGATCATTACACTCGTGTTAATCCACTGTATAGGATACTCTGGCGTGGCCATTTATACACGCTCCTCGAAATGCTGCCCAATCCGTGCAGAAGAAGGCATCACCGGCACGCTCTGCCCCCCGAATTCCTCGACCAAGTTCCAGCACCTGCCTGTTGACCAGCAGATTGGCGGGTACCCGACCCCCGGGCAACTTTCAGACTATGTTGACGAACCAACCCTCGATTCTGAAGGTCGTTGCGTTATCCTAGAGTTCCCCGCCTTCGTTCTCATTGGGGTTTACAGCCCTGCGACCCGGGACGAGACGAGAGACGAGTTCCGCCAGGCCTACATCAATGCCATCGACGTCAGGGTTCGCAACCTTGTTGCTATGGGAAAACAGGTTTTTCTCTGTGGTGACCTCAACATCATCCGCTCTGAGCAAGATACCGCCGGCTTGGCAGAGCGCCTGCGGAAGGAGGAGATGACACTCGACGATTTCTTCTCCACCCCCTCTCGGTGCTTTTTGAACCACATCGTGTTTGGAGGGCACGTCGCTGGGGAGAGAGAGGAAGGCAGGGAAGAGCCCGTGCTCTGGGATCTCTGCAGAGAGTTCCATCCTACCCGCCCCGGCATGTACACCTGCTGGGATACTAGGAAGAATGCACGGCCGGGCAACTTTGGGAGCCGGATAGACTACGTGCTTTGCAGCTCCGGAATCAAGGATTGGTTCATTGACTCCAACATTCAAGAAGGCCTGCTAGGCTCAGATCACTGTCCCGTATACGCTACTATTGACGACACTGTCGATGTTAATGGCACCAAGGTCTGCATTGAGGATCTCATGAACCCCGCAAACATGTTCAAGGATGGCAAACGCCAGCGGGAATGGTCACCAAAGGATCTGCTTCCAGCCTCAGCCAAGCTTATCCCCGAGTTCGACCGCCGACGAAATATCCGGGACATGTTTTCCAAGAAAGCTGCACCACCTTCAAAGGCGGATTCCAGCCTCGCTACGCCTGGCTCTCAGGAGACACCCCGCGTCGCTGATACCGCACTCAATGAAGGGAACAGTAACGTGTCCCGGATAGCAAACGTTGTTTCCATGCCGCAGTCTTCAAGTCAACCTGTGGGGCTGGCCGCAGCCACCAACACGATGACATCGACTAGCATCACATCCACCTCTCCGCAAAAGCCACCCTTACCGAAACGGCAGGCAGAATCCTCAATATCTCCAAAGCGGCCCCAAAAGAAGGGCAAAGCGACACTCAGCAGAGATAACTCGACAAAGTCAACACCAGGCTTCGGGCAAAGTAGCTTGAAAGGGTTCTTCAAGCCCAAAACACCCACACCAGATACCACACCGACTGTCGAGAACCATAGCGTCGTTGGTACCCCCACCGCCTCAAACAAAAGTGCTACAGCACGAACATCTGGGGAACGACGCGGGCCAGACGAGCCAAGCAGCACGGCCGCCCTCGAAAACGACACCCAGAACCCAATTGAGGAAAGCCCCAAACCACAAAGCTTCTCCCCTGAGAAAGTGTTCGATCCCATCGAGGCAAAAGAGTCCTGGTCCAAGCTGCTTGGCAAACGGGTCCTGCCCCGGTGTGAACATGGCGACAAATGTCAGACGCTGGTAACTAAAAAACCCGGCGTCAATTGCGGTATGTTTTCTCCTTTTCTGCCTCTCTTATTAACCCCACTCTTTCCTGTTTCAAAAGCCGGTCTTGTCTCCTCCTGCTTCACTTATTTCGCCAAAGGATAATTGCCCCTCCCCCCCCCCCCCCGCCACTTCTTGTATCACCAACTCTGTATTCCGTATCCCCGTATCTTGTTACTCGACATCTAAAAGGTCTTGGCTGACGCCCTTGGTAGGCAGATCCTTCTTCATGTGCGCGCGCCCGCTGGGCCCCTCGGGGGACAAAGAACAAGGGACCGAGTTCCGCTGCCGTACCTTCATCTGGAGCAGCGACTGGAACGGCCGCCCGTAACTCCGTAACTCCACGTGGGAGGAGAAGGTGCGGTGTCTCGTCTCGTTGCTTGGCTTGGCTTGGTTCGCTCGTATATATTGTCAAGTAGCTGTTCGGTCGGTCCTGCCAACCGGTCGGTCAATCGATTGGGGAATACGAATTCGGGGCGGGGTGTAGAGGGAGCGTCTCTCCGCTAGGAATGGTCGTCTGGGGTTCTCGGATGCCTCCAAGCCCTGCCGAGATGGCTTTACTTACCTAGCACTCAGCTCGATGGGCTTTGTTCTTGAGCAAATTGCCGTTTCGCAAGTGTTTCTTTGTACTTGTGGCCATGCTAGCCGTCTTTTCGATGCCGAGGGTGACCCGCCGTTTCCAAGTCGCGGCTCCCGAGTCATGTCCGCTTCCCTTCAATAGCCCCTCGCCGTAATTAAGGCGAGTTCGAATTCGTGGTGTGTTCTCGTCGTCCTCCATTCAGCGACGGCATTAGCTACGCCATGTCATTGGCGTGATCGCGGGGCATCGGCTGGGCGAATTGATCGGTGGGGGGACGATTAGGACAACGGCTTCGCCAATGAAATTCTGAGCGTTGAGCATCTCGTAACTCGGAGCACGGTGGAGGGAGGTAACTCTCCGTCGTTCACAGTTAGACAACTCGGAAATCACAATCACGCAAGGAATCGAGCTGGTTGTTATGGCCAAGTCTTGTTTGTGCACCCACTTCTATATATCCTCCGCCAATTGCCCTTTCGGCCTCAGTGTATCTTTAAATCGCCTTCAATCGCCTTCAAGAACCATTTCAATGACAAACAAAACTGAGTAATTTTCAGTTATTCGATCCATCCCGATTTCTGCCCCCTTCCAAGAGGGTATTCCCAGAAGTTCGTCTCCAAGAACTTAGTCCTAGAGTCCATCATTCGAGCTGTTTCCCCCCCCCCTTAGAACTCAATCACAGGATTGTAGCATGAGTGACCGTCAATTAGTGTTGGTGGGTGCCCCCGCAACAAGTTTCCTCAGGCTGTTGTCGCACAATGGTGAAGGCATAGTGCAAATCGTCGTCTCGCGGTCAGAAAGGAATGTGGGGGTTTGGTGTCGAATCCTTTGGCACTCCAAACTGCGATTGAGTCGGATATGGGCCATGGATAAGACGGGTATTGCATTGCAATCTTCTTTGAAGCGAATTTCAGCATCAAAGAACCAGGGAATCGACTCGACATACGAGATGAGATGGGGGCGGGGGCGGGCTGACCTGTTTTTGTGGTTTTGTTTTCAACTTTTTTGGGGGGTTTTTGAGTTCAGTGGTGCTTCTGAATGGTTGTTCCTTGCTATTTTTCTGGTGGATTGGCAACTCTGGATGTCATGGGTCGACCGATTCGAGTCCGTAGTGGTGGGCGTTGGTTGCTGGTTGGAAATCAAAGCCCGGCGGCAATCAATCTCTCAGCGACTGTCATCGGGTCGCGAGTCAAGTTGCGCTTGGACAAGGGAAGCTGGGGATTGCGGCGACCAGCCACATAACGGTAGCCCGGGTACATCTCCTTGTGAATGCGATCCTCCTCGTCGGCCAGGGCCTTGAAGCGGGCTTTGACATGGGGCTCCTCGGACTGCCAGGTCCGCGCAACAATCTGTGCTGTTGGGTGTCAGCACTGCACAGCGACAAGAAAGCAGGAAAAGGCTCACAGATGCAGGCAGCCGTCACGCCAGGGTTGGAAGCGTGGATCTTGGCGGACATCCACTGACGGTAGATAATGAACTGATTGCGAGGCCGACGGATGCGCAGCTTGGAAATCTTCTGATGCTTCACGCCCTGGGGCCCGGTCGGCACCTCGGGGACAAGATCTGGTAAATAGATTAGGTCTCGGACGGCATGGATTGAGATGCCCAAACTCTACTTACCGGGCACAGAGATGCGGATTTCGGTGGACTTGATGACCTGATAGGCATTTTTGTCCAGAGTCTCAGCATAGGGGGCGCTGGTGATCCAGTACTGAGTGGAATCCTTGGGGCGGACAATGACAGCGTGTTTGCCATCGTTGAATTTCCTGAGGAAAGTTAGCTGGCTGAATACCGGCGAGTTGAATGGGTTAGACTCACTTGAAGTTCTCGAGCGCAATGCTCAAGATGCTAATGGCACCAGCTTCATCATCGGTATTGGCGGTGCACTGCACAATCATTTCGTTTCCGTTGAAAACGAACGCCAGAGGAGAGGCGTCCTCAATGGCCGTCAACTTGGTACCGGTGATGCGAGAGGCCATTGCTGCTGTGAACTGGGAAAGTCGAGTTGATTGTCGCTAGAGGTTTGGGGAAACAATGCGAGGTCGCTGGAAACTTGTTGGTTGAGTCGTGAGTTTGGCTTACCGATGAAAAGTCTGAATGGGAGAGTCGTCTCAGAATGACGAGAGAAAAGGGAACTGAATTGGAAGTAAAGTTGAGAACTTGGAGGCAACCTTTTTCGAAAAGCAGTTGTGGGCTAAAATTTGGGAATCGGAAAATCCTCCGAACTTCGCCCCATTGAGGGTTAGTATTGTCATCGTAGAACAATAGTAAGTGGAAGCACAGACAATCCCGAATAACTTCCGTACAATACTAAGGGCGCAAGCATTGTGTGCAGCGAATTGAGGAGCCCCAACCCCATCCAACCTCCTTCGTAGCTTTGAATTTCCTCCGTGTCACTTCCATTCCCACTTCCTGATGGCCAGGGACAGACATCATTGCCGCAAGAAGAAACAACATGAATCGTTGAGCGAGTTCACCTAAAACGAAATCATTGGGATCCGGCTGAGATCAAGAACAGCGTCAAGAACCATGGCCGACCGGCATCGCTCCAAGATTGTATCGTTCCTAGGGAACCAATCTTCTCGCACTCGCGAGATACAAATGGACCGTCGTGCGCTTGGTCTAGTGAGTATCTATTTAGGGTCGTGAGGGACCACGCTAACGCATCTGCTTGTTATCATCCAGGCCGTTCTGCGTATGCAAGCGCAATACACTCGCTCCGTCATCGCGACGGAAATCGAGAAGTTCGAGACCTCCTTCGAGGAGATCCTGCAAACAGCCAATATATTTTTGGTAACCACAGAGAGAGTTTCAAACTCTCCTTCTCTGGTGATTATTGACCAGCCATCCGTGGTCAAGACCGTTTGCCAGTTCCTTGCGGCGTCAAACGCCATTCTCGAATTTCTCGACTTCCAGCAGAAGAGAACCGGCTTTGCATCAGGAGGGGACGAGTCTCTAGAGAGACAAGTCAAAGAAGCCCAACTTCTAGTGAAAGAGCTCCTCACCACCCTTTTTCTTCATAAAAAAGCCGAAACATACCCAGGGAAGGAGTGTGGCCTGACTTACAACGAGGATGTCAAGGTCTATGGCGGGTTCATTCTCCACAAGTATGGTCATGTTGATCAGAGCGACGTCCCCGATCCAGAGGACGAGGATGAGGACGTGGAGAAGCTGGTGCAATACTGGCACACAGAGAACTTGGTTCATCCATTGAGACATGTTCCAGGCACTGCATGGCACAAGTTCTTTGGCAACCTTCAGCCAGGCCCAATCGTGAGCCCAGAGCTGTTTAGGGAGCGCAAACCACAGCCGTACTTCAAGCTCATGTTCCCGACTACCATCACCTGGCTGAAGCCCGAAATCTCCCGTGATTATGATAATTATCGCGAGATGTTCGAGAGAGTAAGGTTGTGATCATGGAGCAAGTCGACGAGTTTGCTAACACGGTGCAATAGTTTCATCGAATCCCTGGGCCACGTCTCTCAGAGTTCGTCAGAGGAGTGAGTACACCTTACCTTTTCGCAAACGCATTGCTAACCAGCGCTAGTCCAAAACCAGACGGATCCAGCGCCGCCTGTCCCATTATTTCAGAGGATGGAAGAGAACTGAGGAGGCAATCATCCTGTGTCTTGAAGATATGAGCGAGGTACGTCACATCTTCGGACATTTACGCACTTGATCACAAAGCTGATTGTGACCAAATAGACTCCTTGCCCGGAATATGATCTCTTGGGTCGCTCAAGGCCCGAGGCGTTGAATGCCGAGATCAATGCACCGGAGCTGGCAGGGATTGCTTTGTTGGGAGACGATATCCCCGATGTCCCCATTTTCTTGGAAGGGGAAGTCCGGAAATACTGTCTCGAGTTTGACGGCCAGTGGAGTTAAGATACTTCAAACTCCATGGGCCTTGTCTTAGAGTTAAGGACCGCAGCTATTTCGCGTGCTTGGAGAAGCTAGTTATTTTGACAAATGAGCCCATTTCGCATAACCATCATCAGAATATGATAGCACCCGAGTGACCAGGAGTGGACAAAGAAGTGATTAACTAAGAGCGTATGTCGCCTTAGGTAAGCGTACTGACCTTTGACCTCCAATTAAATACAAACACACGGTTGGCGCTTTACCTCCCGCATTCCTCGAGAGCCCTAAGTTTCCCTCCTGTCAGAACAATAGCTGGCAGTCACCGCGGAAAAAAAAATCATCGAGCTTTTCGACCCTCGACACTGTAACGCGCTGCACCATTAAGCAACAATGGCGGGCGTCAACCAGATCATCGAAACCTTTGAAGGGCTTCCGCCTGGAGATCGCGAGACGACAATGAAAGCGCTCTCAACCATGATGCGGACTGAGAATCAGCGTCAACCCGCTAAAAAGAAGGTCAACGGGTTCATGGGTTACCGCGGTACGTTAGATAAACGCAAGATATTGTGTCGGTTGATCTAAGATTCTTTAGCATACTACTCATCGCTGTTCTCCCAGCTCGCACAAAAAGACAAGTCGCCTATTATGACGATGCTCTGGAGAGAGGATCCCTTCCACAAGGAGTGGGATTTCATGTGTGCTGTGTATTCGGTGATCAGAGAGTTTCTGTCAGACGAGAATATCACGCTGCAGAACTGGATTCAGTTTGCCATCAAGCACATGGGCATTGTTATCCGCGAGAGCTACTTGGCGGCCCTAGGCTGGAAACTGATACGGCTCGACGATGGCACACACAAGGTTGAGCGCACCGAGGTTCGAGCTGTTCAGAGCTATCTCCAGCCGATGAATGGCCTTGGCCTGTTCATTAACTGCCTCAATGGCGGCCTGCCCGTTGCCAACCCGCTCCCGATCATCGCAAAGCTCACCGACTTGACCAACGACGTCATTTGTGTCAACACTCAGTCCGGGGCTGCCACGAGATTGACAAACACCATGGAGAGCTTCCGCCAACTTGCAAAGAATAACCCGCATCTAGCCATGTCGGCGCTTTTTCAAGTCCCCACAGCTCATCCGCTCATCTCCCAAGGCGTCACCGTGCACCAACTCCCCGACCTTGCGGCAACCGAGCCCTTTTTTACCGCCCAGAGCGAGGATCCGGAGCTGGATGCGATGCTAGACAGGATCTTCCAGGGTGAAGGCAATGGCAGTCCCGGCAACCAGGCCAAACCCGGAAACCAGTTCTACGCGATGGGAATGGAGAATGGCGCATCGGGTACGTATCACCAACTTCAGAACAACGACTAGACCTCACTGCTAACAAAATCGCAGGTTTCAATTGAGACGCCCGCCTCCTGGTTAGCAGCAGACAAGTGTGACAACTCGGCACGAATGCACGAGGAGCCAAGCTAGCCAGCGGGGTGAGGCGGAGAACCCAACCGCGAAGAACCATTCGCAGCCTGACAACATTCGACAAAAAATGGTTCAAGGGAATGAGATTGCCGCGTAATTCGCCAAGCTTAGGTGCCGTCTGAGGCATCTTACATTCCTAGTCCGGGTGGCTGGCAAGCCTACGGCAGCCTGCCGAAGTTTCTGAGACAATCGGTTGTCTGTTGCCACCATTTCCCACAAGACGAGCATTTTCCAATATCACAGCACCCACATGCGGAGAAGCGAAATAGAGGACCACGAGGAGGATAAAAGGACAAATGCGGATGAAGCGGAAAGGGAGGCAAAAGATTTGCCCCTCAAACAAAACAACGCATCCCCCTCTCGGTGTCTCGACCTCACTCGTTTCCCCTCTTTTTCTGCGGCCAAAATCCCCTATGTAGACTAAAAGGCCCCCCGTACACAGTAAAAATGATGAGTGAACAGTTCGCACATATCACGCTGCAAGAGAGGTGTCAGACCCCGTCAGTTATAAGACACGGCGGCACGTCGGAAGCGACCTGTCGTCGATTTAAAGCAAGTTTCTCCACTCCACTAGTTAATGCATATCGATCTGCGGGCCAATCTCCTGCTCAGCCGCAGGCCGCTTTGGGCTTTTGGACTGGGGGCATTCCCGGTTTGGGCGATGCTGTGGATCCTCCCGGTCCATTTTCCTGCAGCGGCGCGGGGTGGAACCGTGGGAGCCATCTTGTGGTTGGACCCGGATCCCGGCCGTTGGCTCCTGCATGTTGGTTTTTGATGGGTACCTGATGTTGTGCTACTGGAAGTTATGTAGGCCACTGATGCATCATCATGTTTATGTCTTGTGACGGCCGTTGCATGCATTGCGTGCTGCGGAACCCGCGTCCGAGTCATGTAATGTATGTAGGTATGGATGGATGTACTCGCGCCCCAGATTATGCCGAGGGCGAGAAGGATCACCAACACAGAGCGGGAATTGGCGGGGAAGGGCGAGCCCGAGCCCGAACAATTTCGGGCGCCGCCAAAGCGAGCGTTTTCGGCTGCCTTGCAGAATTTCCTGCAACGGCCATTCGTGTGCAGGGGTGTTCGGGAAGGAAGGCTGGGATGGTAGGGTTAGGGCTGAGGGCTTGTTTGCTTTTTTTCCCGATCAGCTGACGACGTGCTTGCTGATGGGCAAGTATCATGCAATGCGAACCGAAAGGGGCACGCAGAGCCCCCAGTGCCCGGTGGTTGCGGCGTACTGTGGGAGGAAAAAGGCTGCCGGCGGTTACGGCACCCTTTCCGAGGCCCCATTTCCCGTTTACATACATATATGTGCATACATCGGAGCGAAGCCGACGGGAGGGTTTATTTCCGAGACTGCTCGATGCCGCGTCATACACGTAGCCGACGATGCACAAGATCGGTGGTTTCTACATATTAGATACACACCACACCGCAGATCATGCAGACTTTATACATCGAGCTGACAAGTTTTGCGGGGGTCCGGAGCGGGATGCGAGGGTGGGACGCGGGGAGGGCCGGTCGTGGAAGATGGTGAGGTTTGAGGGTCGGGCCGGGGGGGAGGGGGAGGGGGGGTGCTTACCCGGCGGCCAGCACCGGGAGATCGCAACGGTCCCGCCCTCGCCGCCATGACTGGGGATAGCAAGTTCGCCCTGTCGTTGGGCTTTTGAAAACAGGGAAATCTCGGAGGCCACTCTCGAGTAGCCCGAACAAAAGTAAACACACCTCGTGTCTCGTCGCGTATATGTTGCCAATGTTTGCCCACTCCCGGCAGCGAGGCATTCTCATCTCGACATCGAGCGGTAACTTCCGCCAGCACGAAAACACACGACGTGAACTGCCCAAGAAAGGTCTCCAGGAGTTGATCAAACTAAGTACGTCGAAGTGATGCCGAATAAACCCGAATCGCCGCTACCTTGCCCCGCGGCGGCCCCCAGTCCATACATACAAATACCCTTACTCCTCCTGGTACGAGATCTTGCGCATCTCGCCGAGCCGGTGACGGGCCGCAGACAGCGAGTTCTCTAGTTGAAGGATTTCGACCTGCGTTGCGGAAGCTTGGTTAGACAAATGGCCGGTAAAGCACCAAGATGGCGCGAATGACAAGAACGCGGAAAACATACCTGTTGCTCCATCTCGCGCACCTTGAACTCGTGCGCGCCCAGCTTGGAGTAATCCACCTGTTCCTCCCCGGCATTGCGATCCTTGATCATGGCCTGCACCTGGCGGACAAGAGAGCGGCAAGCGGCACCGACAGCCTTGCTGGCTTGCTCGAGGTTCTCCTGGCTCTTGCTCATAAAACCGGCCTTAACACGACTGGCGGCCACGAGCTGCGCTGTGGACGCCGCCACATCGTTTGACGCCACGATGAGCTGCTCGGGGCTGTTGCGGTTCGAGAGGACGCCGTCGGCCGTCTCAATCAGCGTGTTTGTCGACCCCGCGACCGCTTTGGCAGCCGAGATTAGGCCTTCTGTCCACCTGTTGTTCTTCTTGTAGAAGGCCGTGCGCGACGAGGAACCGCGCCCGGCTTGGACAATCTCCTGTTGTGTGACGGTGGCCGCCTTGATAAGCTGCGCAATGGCCGTGGTGATCGCCATGGCGGCATCCAGGATCGAGTCATGCACCCGAAGCTCGTAGGTGGAGTAGCCATCGCGAGGCTTGTTCTTGAGTTTATTCAAGCGGTCAACCGCGGCCTGAATGGCATCGGCCGCTCTGCTCAGTTCTTGGTCGACAACATCGCCCAGATCGCCTTTGTTGGCGAGCTTGCCGAAGCCCGGCGCAAACGTCTCTACCACCTTGTTGAGTTTCTGGAGGTTCATCTGAACATCATGATTGCTGTTGATTACCACGTCGGTCTTTTGCAGCGAGTCCATTCCCGCCAGTCGGAAACTCAGTAAACTGCGGAAGAAACTGACGGTAGCATGGGCAGATTGGCGCGCGCCGCTGATCATGGCGTCACCCTTCTTCTCGTCGGTGGCCAGACGTGTCAGACCCTTGGCGTTGCTGCAGACATCTGCAATGGCACCAGAAAACACGTTGACGTTCTTGATCAAATCCGCGTGAGTGCTGTTGGGCCCGTCCGCGATGAAGTTGTTGAACGACGTCGCAAACTCGGTGGCGCTGGCCGACGCCTTTTCAATTTGCGACAAGACGTAGGATGGAGAGGCGTTCTGGTTGCCCGCTTGCATGGTCGAGTCGAGCTCGTACATAGCATCGTCAACACGCTGCACTCCTGACTGGAGCACCGAGTCGATGATTTCGTTGATCTTGTCCAGTTGCCCGAGGACTAGGGCATCGATTTGGCCATCGAGCACCTGATCTGATGTGCCCTGGTTGTTTCTTAGCTCGTTAAGCTCAATCAAGGTCTGGTCCATGCCGGCCTTGTACACCTCGAGTTCTTCCTCCTTCTCACGGAGAAGCGCTTCGAGGTCCGAACTGCCGTCTCTCAGCTTGGATTGCGAGTCTTCTAGCGCCCGCGTCTTGTTGCGGAGCGCCTCTTCTAGATCCGCCATCTCGCGGTTGTACTTGGAGAGCATCGTAGAGAGCTCGTTACCCTTGCTCCGCTCCAGGTTGTCGGCGCGATCCAGGGCCATTCGGAGCTCCCGCTTTAACTTCTCCACTTCGTCCTTGTTGGATCCCGACACTCTATCCTTGTCATGGAGGGCCCGATCCCGCTCTCGGATCATGTCGGCTAGCTCGAGGTTCTTCGTCTTGATCTCACGCTCCAACTTCTCTCGTCGGTCAATCGCCTCCTGAGCAGAAGCGGCCTTGAGCTGCACCGACTTGAACTTTTGGAGCAGATCAAGGTGTTCGTGTCGGAGCTGGGAGTACAACTTCGCCAGAGCTTCATACTTGGTCCGCCAGGTATTGACCTGCTCCTGCAGCGCTCGAATCTGGTCATCCTTGCTTCCCACCTGCTGCCCAAAGTTGTTTTGCAGCTGCTGCAGCTCGCCTTCCAGGGCCTTGACACGTTGATCGTACTGCTGCAGCATCAGTTGGTCGCGCTCGTACTGCGCCCGCGCGTTGAGGTTCTCTTGCTCGAGCTCGGCCCAGCCGGCCCTGGGTCTGCCATTGCGCTTGCTGGGCCCGCAGCGCCTCCTGCTCTTGCTGCTGCTGTTCCATCAGCCGCCGCTGTTGCTCTTCAAAATCGCGCTGTGCCTGGAGTTGAGCTTGTTGTTGCGCAAGAAGCGATGCTTGTTGCTGGGCCTCCAATACCCGCTGCTGCTCTTCGTATTCTCGGTTTTGACGATCGATTTCGCTCTTCCAAAACTCGTTGATCTCATCGGGCTCCTCGGACTTCGGCGGCGGGGGAGGCGTTGGCTGCTTTTCAATCTCCTGCTTGGGTCGTGCCGGGAGGGCTGGCGCATTGTCGTCTTCTGCGAGCAGATTGGGCGCGTCTTGTGGTAGCTTGGGGATAGTGATGAGACTGGTGAGGTAGCGGAGATTGGAGCATTCGTAGTAAAACTTGACGAGGCGGTAGTGTTGAGCGTCGTATCTCCCGCGGAGCGGCTCGAGGGCGTCGTTGTCCCCAGTAGCTACATAATGTCAGCCATGTCCGGTGTTGCTAGAGAAAGGCAACCCACTAGAGTGCATCGCCCTCAGCATGCTGGTAATGAACTTGTAGATGCCGTAGCTCTCAGTGACGAGGGGCACTAGCGCAGAGATCCTGCACTCATTGTTGCCCACATTGCGGAAGTGGGAGAAGATTAGCTTTTGGAACTGATCAATCTTGTCCTGCAGGGTCATGAGGTCGGTGATGGTCTCGTAGCCCTCGTTCGGGTCGTTGATGGCCTTGAGGCTGATGTACTCCTCGTACTCGAAGGTGCCGTTGAATTCCGGGTGTTGTTTGTGGAACGAGAGCTTTGCGAGTAGGTAGTAGACGTATTCCTTGATCAAGGGGCCGTAACCGCGCATGCCCTCGCCGGCCATTCCCCGATTCAAGCTGTCGATCCACCCCCTGTTCGCCATTGCCTCTCTAAGGGTCACAGGGTGTCCCTCCTGGAGGACTTTGTGAACGGTGATCAGGGCCTTGAATGTCTGGACCTCGTCGGCGAGGATGGGCTGGACCTTGAGCCCAGCCCAGAAGGACAGGGAGGATTTGTGGTCCCATGTGTAGACGATGCAGCTCCGGACATGCTTGCGTTTTGGGGCCGATTCCTCGGGGCTCGTGGCCTTCTTGATGTTGATGGAAAGCTCGGCTTCGGATCTGCGGGACATGACTGGTTAGCCTACGATACTGGAGACTCGAGAATCGTCGACTGTTCATGGCGGAACGGGGTCGGGGCGCAAACGAACTTGGTATGGTCGAGGCTGCGTATGGTGGCCATGTTGGGCGCCTATCGAGTACCGCCGCGGTACTTGGTCGAATTGCAAATCGGAGGGGTTTAGGATAATGAGACAGCAAACGGCGCTGTACAAGTCAAATCATTTGTATGTATGTACTTTTGTAGGGTCGCGTCAGGGGCTCTCTGCAACAGCTTCGGGTGTATTAGCAACCCCGCGCAGCTTGACAGCGGACAGGAAAAGCTCTCTCAGGTAGAGCAGGTAATTTACGCCGCCAATTTTAGGGGCTTATCGAGAATAAAACAAAAAAAGGGTGATATTAGGAGGTGTTTGTTATGTAAATTAAACCGTGGAGTTCGAAGCTCGCCTCCCATCGTCGTCAGCCCGTCTTGGAAGTTGCGCGGCGATTACCTTGGCTGGGCGCCGGGCTGACCAATCATAGCGTTAGGGATGGAGTTGAGACGGTGGAGTCAGCGGGCACAAGGCTCCCTCACCCCGCCTAGGTATGCCCGCCACGGCGCCACTAGAGATGGGATGGAGGGGCGGGGCACTGCTTACTGTGTGTACATGAGGTACGATCTGAGGCTCCCGTCAACCGGAGGTGTCACGAGAAGGCCGCCTCGTTGGCCGGTCATTTGATGCTTGGAGTCTGGAACCGTCGCATCATCCCAACATCCACCCCAAACTTCGCCCGCCTTCAAAATCCTCAGATTCTTACAAACAACAAAATTCACTGGATACAAACCCTTTCCAACCATCCTATACCCCCCCTTTTCCCTCCATCCACCTGAATGTTGTACCCATCTTCCATCAACATCACCACCTACAACCATGAACATCATTTACTCAACAGTAAATAGCCTGCGCGACAGGTACACCCCTGCGAGCCATACCTCAACCTTCCGAAACACGGGGGAGATTACACCAGAGGAGTTTGTCGCCGCCGGTGACTACTTGGTTTTCAAGTTCCCATCATGGACCTGGTCCGATGCCGAAACGCCCGCCAAGCGCGTTGCCCATCTCCCACCAGAGAAACAGTACCTGGTAACACGAAACGTTCCGTGCCACCGCCGTCTAAACGACGACTTCGCTGGCGACGCGGGCCATGAAGAAGCCGTCGTCGAGGGAGGCAAGAACAGCGGCGATGACGGCTGGCTGCGGACCGGCGGCTTGGCAAGTTCTCAGCCACTCAAGGCGCGGGACGTACGAACGGTAGACGACGCCGGAAATGTGGCCGACCGGGGGGCTATCGATGACGAAGACGACATCCCAGACATGGAAGAGGAAGAAGACGACGAGGCCATCATCCAGGATGGCAGTCACGGCAAGCACAGGTGAGCGATCGCGATATGGCGCTGGACTGCGATGCGCAAATGCTAATTCGATTTCCGTAGCGGGAGCCGAACCTACTCGCTGTACATCACCTACTCGCCATGGTACAAGACCCCTCGGATGTACATGTTGGGCTACCAACCCAACGGCCAAGCACTTATCCCCCATCTCATGATGGAGGACATCGTTGGCGACTACAAGGACAAGACAGTGACCTTGGAAGACTTCCCGTTCTTTGCGACGAGTGTCAAGACGGCGAGCATACATCCCTGCAAACACGCGCCAGTCATGAAGACCCTCCTCGACCGAGCCGACGCGGCCCTCAAGCTGCGCAAGGAGAGGCAGAAGGCTGGCCTGGAAGTGGGCAGCAACCAAGGGCTGGAGGGACTGGAGGCGCAAGTTGTTAAGCTTGCTGTCAGCGGCACCGGTACCGATGTCGCCAACGACGCCAACGACGAATGGGAGGAGGTGCAGCATGACGCTGCCGACCAGGACGTGGCCATCCGGGTAGATCAGTATCTGGTAGTGTTTTTGAAGGCATGTTTCGATTCCCGCTTCGTGGCCCCTGTGGGTTTGAATCTTGACTGACACCTCGACCAGTTCATTGCGAGCGTGACTCCCGGCATTGAGCATGATTTTACCATGGGCGTGTAGTGTGCTTGTCGCAATCAATGTGCTTGTCGCGTCTTCGATGGTTCTCTTGTATTGGCGTGGCGTTTGCGGTTTGGATGCGAGTCATTTAGGCATAGATGGCGACGGGACGAGGATGGACGGATGAACTACTAGGGGCATATCAGTAGGCAGGTACCTAGGTAGCTAGGAGGCACCCAGCACGCTGGCAGCACAGATCAAGTAGGTAGTGGATACTGGTCATGACTAGACCAATCTTCATGACTCGTCCTCCCCATCTTCCTCTTCACTAACCTCCTCGCCCGCCTCGATGGCCTCTTGCCGTTTCCTCGCCGCCCGTTCCCTCTTCTTATCCAACAACTTCTGTAACCTCTTCGCCGCGTTAAACACCCCGTTCGTCCCCGCGCCGCACGCCGCGCAGCTCGGATCCTTCCGATATCGCTTCAGCGCGCACGCCTCACAAAAGTAATGCCCACACCGCGTCACTACCGGCGCCTTGTACGACTCTAAGCAAATGATACACGCAAACGGTATACCCTCCAACATCGCCGCCTCCTCCTCATCCCCATCCCCTCCGTCCTCCTCCCCCGCCAACTTCTTGTCCGCGCTCGCCACCACCGTGCCCCCAATCACCTTCTTTCCCTTGGTCACCGTCTCCCACTCCTTATCCAGCTGCCACCCGTGCGCATAGTCCTCGCGCGCGTGCAGGAACTTGCAGCCGTCGCCGAAGCCGCAGAAACCCGTAATCCGATAATCTTTGCAGATGTCAGGCGCCATGTCGGTGATGGTGACGGTGCGGATGTTGGTCGGCGCCTTGATGGGGCCGACGGTTCGCGCGGGCGGCCGGTCCGGGTTGTGCGCGTGGTAGCGCGTCTGGTTGGCGAGGCCTTTGTAGGTGCCGTCGGGGGCGGAGTTGTCGTTGGGGTTGGTGGAAGAGTTTTTCATGGCGCGGGTTGAGCCGAGGAGGTTGCGTGATGAGAGGGCAGTGGTGGCATCTTCGTCGTACCAGTTGCTTTGCTTGGTTGCTTCGAGCTTGCCGGTGTCGAGGGAGCGCGTGCGGTCGGCTTCGAAGACGGTCGCGGAGAGGTCGGTGTTGTTAGAGGAGCCGGTGGTGGCGCCTTTAGAGGAGGCGACTACCGCGCCAGTGTTTCGTTTCCTACGCTTTATTCTCTGGCCGGCCTCGTCTTCGGAGGAGGAGTAATCCGAGTCGTCGCTGTCGGCGGGTGGTGGTGTCGCTGCGCGTTTTCGGAGGTTGGCCTTGCCCTTTGCGCCGCGCTTCTTGAAGATGGCGACTGGCGCGATTGGCGCTGATGGCGCATCGCTAGGTGTTGTCTCTGCATCCGCCATATTGCTGGAGATGTGTGTAGTGTTTTGGGACGTGCTTCGGTGGCGATTCAGTGAAGTGTTATTAGTTATTTGTAACTAGTTACTTGGAAGATTCCATACGTTAGTTATGTAACTAACTAACATTGGCAAGACCAAGCAGGGTTATGTCATCATTGGTCCAGGCTTGGCGGTGGGTTTGGAAACCTGCAGGGTGTGAGTGAGCTGCTGAACAAAATGGCAGGACATTAGGAAAGAAATGACATGTCCTCAACGCTGCTTTATCACGCCGCCGGACCCCGAAGTTTCCAATTTAGTTTTCTCGTTCAATCATCAGACGCTGTCTCACACACTGTTCACTGCTTGCTCTACAACACCAACTCTTCTTCCACAGATCCCTTCCCCTTTTTCCTCGGCTTTTCAGACAAAACAGACTAGCGAGCGCCGTAATGCCATGCCCACAAATCTAATGATCGAATGATAATTGTGTGCCTTTTGCCTCACTAGTCTTTCGGTCTCGACGGTGTAGACAGGCGACGTTCTTGAACCACCAAGAAACGGCAACTAGTTGTTGAGGAAATATTCCGACCCGCCGAAACAAACACCTTGATAGAAACCCTTGAAACAAAGCCAAGCAGACTCCAACGCCATGTCCACAAGATTTGAGAAAACATGCGCCAAATGCTGCTTGGGGATAGCCGGATGGAGAGGGACGGGTTGCGCCGTGTTGGGGTGATGCGACACCTTGGGGGTAGTCGCGCGGATTAGTGAGCAACCACAGCAGGTGTTGCTGTTGAAGAGTTTGATGGTAGTACAAAAAAAAACAACAGTGAGGAGAGAAGAGAAAGAGAGAATCATCAACGTCGTGACAACCCGTATGCATGGCCGATGTATGCATCGCAGAAACCCCAATGCAGCAGAAAATGGTTCATGTAACGATCGACGAGAAAGTAATGATGCGCTGGCCCTTAGAAAGGGGCATCAGTGTTGATATTCCAAGGAAATGTAGAGAGTGAGCCGGGACGGTGTTCATGCCCGCGACCTCACGGTTCCAACCGGGGTTGGGGCTGATGAAGGGGTGGGCGAGCGGAAGCCTGCAACCGAATGGCGGCCCTTTTTCGCACTATTAGTGAGGGTGCCGACATCGTGTTTGCCTATCCATACTGTTAGTGCCCTCGTTGCGTAGATGTGGCTTGAGAAAGGGGGACTTACCATCGCAGCACGCGCGAACATTTTCGAGGCGATCAGCCTCGCGATCTTGCCTCTCAATCATCTCCCTAACATCTTCCGCGCTGTCTTGCAAGTCGTTGGTTTCGTAAATACCAAGAGCGGAATGGCGCCCCTGGACACTACGACTCCTCATGCTGCCAAAGGTCCCCGAGATCTTGTTTTCTTTCCAGTAACCGCTGATTCTGCTCAGAGTGCCATACGACGGGCGGCCTTGCGACGCTTTGGAGCGCGAGGGGGTCAATGTCGGAACGCTCATCGAGATGTCCATGGTCGGGGATTGCCTCGCTGATTGGGAGTTGTAAGACGACAGCGAAGGTGGCGCCCGGTTACCATTTGTGGGGCGTTTCCCGGTCGAAGGGTTGAATTCATCGACGTCCTCCCGTGTGATGTAGCCGGCAAGCTCCTCAGCATCCTCGTGTCCCTCATCTGTCGTGCGGAGCAGCAGGTATGACAGAGCATTGAACCAAGTCTCATGTCGCTGTCCCGTGGTGCAAGTGAATTTGATACTTCTCCCAGGGGATACGATAATCAAACTCTTCCTGTGTAGACCTGGCGGCATCGGATTGTCGTCAGCAACAACCCGAACCGCTTCAATCTGCACGCTCTTGGCCCTCAACTCGGAACGCCCAGCGGCCGAAGGGTCGCGATCACTCCAGTAGAGAGTACGCGTATACGGGTGAACCCAAAAGTATCTGCGGTGTCGGTTCTCCGACATCTCCCCGCGGCCAGCTTTACGCGTGTACTTCCAAAGGTACTCCCCAATCATGGTCTGTGTGATTGCCTGGATCATGCGAGGGTCGGTATTCGGTCCAAAGCCCTGTGGATCGAAGCCGTTGACGTGGTTCATGTTGAATCGAGTATCGACCTCGGAAGTGAATGACGAGATAGAAGATTTCCGGCTCCGAAGCGTCGCCCGCGAAAGCGACTGCATGTCGTGCACATCGGCTTGCCCGGGTCTTCCAGCCACGCGAGGGGTCGGCGTCGCGCGACCGGACGCCACCGAAATTGGTGAGGTGGGGCGTCTCGAGCCTGTCGGAGTCCGAGGCCTGAGAGATGAGTTCTGCGGCTTCAGGGAAGAAGCAGGGAACAACGGAGGACCCATGGTGCCAATAGTGCCCTGGCCGCCTTGTGAAGACCCGGTCCTTGCGGCCTCGATGGCTTCCTTGTGGTTTGCGGGAAGAGGAGGTACCTCGTGAATCGAGGCCATACCACTCGCTGAGCTGCCCGGTCTCCGTGGCATAGGTCCCTCGAGCACGTCTGTACCGTAATCGGAAGCCGTCCCCTTGTTCCGCAAAGGGGTGTCGAAACTTTCTTGACGAGGCCGGTGAATCCGCACCGTAGAAGGGGTCCCCATGCTGCCCATTGAATGGGAGCGCTATAGGATAGCAATCCCGGCAGGCTGGAGTTTCTCTCTTATCATTTGGTCGATGGCTTCGGACGTCAGGGTTGTTTGAGCGCCCTGGTCTGCGGTTGGGAAGGTCTGGACTTGTGGGGACACAGATTCGGGCTCCTCTGACGCCAGTGCGTCCCGCGCCCGGATAGCATCATGCTTGCCATTGACTATGATCTCGGGGTCACGAGGTATGATGAATGCGTTCCTCTTAGGGGTGCGCGGCTCGGCAGGTTCACTGTGTAGCGACTGGATCCCTGCGAAGCTCAATACCGGAACAACCTTGGGTTCTTGGGGCTCAATGGGCTCAACGTCCTGAGCCTCGATAGCCGACAGAGACAAGCTCGGCGGGAGAACCTCCGGCTCATCCAGGGGCTCAAGACCCCAAGAGCGAACGCTTGAAATGATTAGAGGAGGCGCCGGGGTTTCGCAAGGAACCACATCCAGCGTTTGAATGGGGGCGAAGGCCAGAGAAGGTGCTGGTGGCTGGGGTTCTTGGAGAGGCTCGACTTCTTCCATCGCGATGGAGGACACCGACAGTTGGATAGGGGACATGGGCTCCCCGTCCCGAGGCTCGACGTGCTCCGAGGCGATCGAGGAGAGCGAGAAAGGCAAAGGTACAGGAATGGCAACCTTTGGCTCTGAGCGCTCTACAACTATGGGCGCGGGAAGTTCAACTGGTTCGACCTGCTCAGAAAAGATAGCCGAGCAGGAAAGTGCGATTGGCGATGGCGGGGGGGTCTCCAGTTCAGCAACGGGCTCAACTTCCTTGATATGAATAGTTGAGAGAGAAAGAGCAACCGGCGTTGGAGGGGTTGGCTCAATGTCCTGGGAAACAACAAGAGGGACGCTGAGTGTCTGGGGCTCTGGAAGAAGTGGCTCTGGCTCAGCCACGGGAGAGATGTATTGAGAGACAATCGCGGGCATGCTGAGTGTCGGGGGCTCTGGAAGAGGAATCTCTGGTTCAGACACAGGCTCAATATCCTGAGAAACAATGACGGGCACGCTGAGTGCCGGCAGAGGGATCTCGGGTTCAGACAAAGGCTCGATATCCTGAGAAAGGATGACGGGCACACTGAGTGCTGGAAGAGGGATTTCGGGTTCGGAGACTGGCTCGATGGTCTGGAAAAGGACGACGGGCATGCTGAGCTTCGGAAGGGGCGGTTCCGGTTCGGTCACCGGCTCTACATGCTCAGAGACCAAAGAGGCCATAGACAAGGTTGGCGGCTCCTCTATCACCGGCTCCGTGTGCTCAGACAAGATTGACGACACGCTCAGGGGCGGTGGGCTCGGGGCCGTTTCCGGGTCGGACAGCGGCTCAATGATTTGTGTCTGAATGGAAGCGATGCTCGATGCAGTGGCGGCTGACGGGAACAGCTTATTCCACTCGTGCTGAATACTTGCATCACTGTAAGAGACAGCGGATACAGGTCTCGACGAGTCCCCGTCTTTGTGTACGTCTCCCAACCATTGGGTCGATGCCGGAAACTGGCGAGGCCGGATCACCGACTCCATCGACATCGGGCGCTCGGAATCTTCGCGTGCCTCGTACTCCTTCTCTCGATCGAGAATCGCGAGGGCTGACCGCATGTCCATCGGTTCGGTCATCATGCCGCTATCAACCATAATCTTGGGCATTGCTGGAACCTCGGGGGGTGGCGAAGCGCGGCCTCGACCAACGCTGCGGGGCGTGGCGGGCGTGACGGACCGGATGCTCCTCCGACTCGGGGTGTCGGGGCCTGTGCATGAGTCTTCATCGCTATTGTCCAACTCATTCAGCTCAGCGTACAAGCTCTGTCCACCCGGTGTCACTGGGGCGTTGTTGGCAGGAAGACTTGAAGGACTGCCCTGCACGACGGGCTCCTCGCTGAACTGTCGGGAACGGCGAGAGAGCGAGCTGCGGCTCATGCGCATCCGCATCTTGGGGCCAGATGTTGGCGTCTTGATATCAGAGCTGAAAGACGGATAGTCATCGTCCTCGCTAGACGTCGAGGCAGTACTGTCGAAGGAGTAATGATTGCTAGAGTGGTGCGGAGGCAGGGGAGGGGGTCGCTTGATCGAGTTGAGTCCTCGTGAGGGACCAGATTCCGTTTCGGTCGCCGTATCATTGTCATCCGACATTTCCTCAACACCAGTCTGGAAGTCCTCGGTTTCGGTTCCGCGCTCATGGGCGGTCTCAAAGGCCGCGTCGCTCGTCTCGTTGGCCGTCTCGAAGTGGTCGCTGCTTGACTCGACAGGAGCAACAGTGCTTGCGGGGAGGCGAAGAGTCGAGGCGTGTCGTGACAGTACGGTCGGAGAAGGGAACTCGGATTGGTCTTCCCATTCAGGGTCCTCAACGACTTCGGTCCTGCTCGCTCGAGAGACGCCCAATTGGTTAAGTCGGAAAGAGGGCTTCTTAGCCTCGCGCAGCTCGGCCTTGCGGCTCTTTTTGGGAGCAGGGTTCGGGTCGTTCCTCAGCTTCTCAACCTCGTCTCGGGCGTCCTGGAGCATACGCTTCAGCTCCAACTTCTCCGTCTTCTCACGATGGATGTTGGTGCGCAGGGTCTGAATGGTACGCTGGGCATGACCGAGAGACGTCTTGAGCGTCTCAGACTCAAGCGCAGAGTGTCGAGGAGTCGGCTTCATGGGCGACGGAGGCGGGGAGTGCTCGGGGGTGTTGTGGTCGGGGGCGGAATTGGAATCCTCTTCGCTCCCGGTGACCGGGCCTTCGCGTTCTAACGCCCGCCCGCGTTGCAGGGCCGAGAAAGCCTTGGCCAACTCCTGGTTCTGGCCGGTCAGCTCCTCCACCTTCCGCTGAAGCACCGTGCGCTCGCTTTCGAAAACTGTTGCGGTCCGGCGGCTGGTGCCAAGCTCGATCTCGAGGTTCTTGATCTCAGCAGAATGCTTCTCATCTTGCTTGGCGAGGTTGTCCTTGACTTCTTCCAATTCCCTCTGGGTGGCATTCCTTTCGGACTGAATGATATTGACGGCTTGCGTCAGCTTCTTCTCGCGCTCCGCCGCTTCCTTTTGCCCCGCAATGAGCTCGTGAATCTGGGTCTCGAGGTTCCAGTTCTCGTCCTTGTACCGGCTCTCGCTCTCATCCAGCGTCTTCAAGCGTTGATGGAATCCCTCAGCCTCAATTTCCAGCTGGGACCGCTCCAATTTGACATCCTTGAGCTCTTCTTCCCGCTCAGAGAGCAATGCTTGCAAGTTTCGGACCTGAGTGATTAGGGAAGTGCTAATCTCAGCAGCGAATTCGATATCGTGGATCCTGCTGGCTGGCTGGTTGCGGAGCTTGCGGTTCGGGACGCCAAACTTGGTCGGCGAGGGCGCAGCAAGAGACTCGAACTTGGACGGGCTCACGGAACGCTAATCCAGCGCATCAGCCTAAGCTCCAGAAACGAGACTAGGTTAAACCTACCCTGGCGACACCTTTGTCCGGGGAGAACGGAGAACTCTGTGCTTCATTGCTAGGCACTCTCTGCTTGGGAAGCAGAGCTCGAGCGCTGTCCCGGGCCACCTCGTTATAATCCTTCTCAATCTCGACTAGCCGTTGGCGAAGTTCCGGGTTCAGCTCCGCCTCGGACTGGAGCTGGTCGACCTCGCGGAGTTTCTCGGTCAACTCCTTTTGCTGGTGAACGAGCGCGGTGCCCAGTTTCCCAGCTTCCTCCATCCGGCGTTCCGTATCCCGCAGGTGCGCCTGGATCGCCCGCTTGACCTGCTCGGCAGAGGATCCGGGGGCTAGGGCGAAGAGGTGAGTGTCATAGTTCGAGTGCCGTAGGTGAGTCGGGCCCGCGGGGGTTCCCATGAAAGGGTCGAAGCCATCGCCGGCGGCCGAGACCACAACGGCCTCATCCGAAACGAAGGCGTTCGTCATTGCTGGCGAGATCGCCGAACAAACGGGTCGTCGAGATCAAAGTTGCAGGCACAGATGTTTAGCTGTGATGCACACAAATGTCCCCTCAGCACGCAGAGTTCAACATGTGGAAAGACACAGGACTGCGTCGCAAAAACCAAAAAAATAAAAGAGAAGAAAATGAAAGGTAAAAAGAGAGTTGTGCCGTCAAAAAAAAGACAAGACAAGTGTCGCGAATGAACAAGGAAGGAATTAGAAGGGTTGATTATGGTGTAAGCGAACGAAAGAAGGACAGGCGAGAGAGAGTGAAGACACGGCGTCGAGTTGGTCGAGGATGTCGTTGAGTGTGCCTTGGTTTCGGGCCCGGAATACGCGACCCCTCGGGCGGTGTTGTGTTGACTTTAGGAGTCGTCGCAAGCAAAGAGGACACGGGGGGTCAGGGCGTGCGCAGGCGATTGAATCGGACGCGCCGGAGCCAGCAAATCAGACTCCTCCAAATCCAATCCACCGAAACAAAGAGGACAACAGGCGCACAGGCTGGAAACCGGGGCAAGTGCAGTCTGTTGCAAACGAAAACATGAAAAAAGAAAACAATTGAAATCGTGGCCGACAACAGTGCAATGGATGGGGGGTAATGCAGACGGAATCCAGCAGCGAGGAAGGCAAGAGTCTGCTGGACGACTCGAGGGTTGAGGGGCGAAAGGGAGCCTCAGCAGCGCTCACAAGGGGTGATTTTTGGTCCTCGTCATCGCGAGAAGTTGGCCTCAGGCAGCAAAAAATTACTGTCCACTGTGGTGTGTGTGTGAATCAATGTGATTTATTCCTGGAATTGCTCCACCCCAGCTTTCTGCCAAGCCGCCAACCAGCATCATACTCCGCTGCTTCTGGTTCCGAGCCTTCTCGAACATGGCTTCGATTTGGATCGCTCATCGACAGCAGATTGCAATGTTCCGCCTCAAACATCGGGACGCAGCCCATTAATCGACATGCATCTTCCCGCAGAATCACGTTTGCAAGGAAAAAGCGACTGCGCAAAAGAGGTCTTCTTGAATCTCGAATACTAACTACTTGTAGAACGGAAGGTCAGTCCAGAAAAAGTAATAGTCACAGCTCAACTGCAGGGTTGCCCGCCCCTGATACAGGCCAAGCAGTGTGCTCCGGTCCTGAAAATACTTAATAAAGACTCAGCTCAACCCCAGTAAAAACCTCCTATGATTTCCGAGATCCACTCCCGGAGATGGCAGGAATATGCAAAATTATGTCGACCTCCGACACCCTCCGGTCAAATCCGGACTGCGGTTCCCAATCACCCGTTTTCACGGCGGTTGACATTGCCCGCCCGTCAGTCCAGGCAGCAAGGCACGCGAGCGGTCCACTGGGATCCAATCCATAATTCACGGCTGTCGATTCTGACCGAAAGCGACAGATTGTGTCGGGTTTTTGAGTCACGGATCTCATATGTTTCACCATGGTGGAGGTCGCACTTACATGAAATGGATGTCGCCAGCCGGGATTGGGTGATACAGGACAGATTAACGAGGCATTTGATGACACTCCGCGAGTCCTCAGCTCGCATCCTGGCATCCCCGGAACGGAACTGCATCGTGTGTACGAATAATTGCAACATGGTCAACGGATTGCTCGCGAGCTGATGGGAGACCAGCGCCATCGTCTCTGAGTGGATCTGGGACCGCCCCTTCAAAATTATGGGCATGGGGAACAACGTGGACGGCGTATCCTTCTGCAAGTTACGAAGTGATGAGGAAACAACAAGGCAGAAACAACCGAACTTAACCAGGAAAATACAGGATGGTACATGCTAAACCCTCAACGCCGCTTATGCTCCCCCGCCAACATCATCCAACCACCCTTAACCCATATGCACTGCCATCGTCACTCATACCTCGTCTCTCATCTCTCATCCCTTCGATCTCCAGCGTAGTTATAGCACTCACTTCTCTATTAAACCCGTCCACCCCCCTCACCAATCCAACCCCTCCGCCGCTCCCTCCATCCCCCCTCCCCTCCTCCCCCCAAGCCTCCCCAAGAGCGGCTCCAACAGCGCCCCCTCCACTCCGACCCTCGCACGCTGCTTGACCCTTGTATAAAACACCGAGACAGTCCCGGCTATCACAGGGGACATCACCACCGCCACCGCGCCAGAAACATCCAGCGGCGCAAACCCCGCACAGCTCTGGCACACCTTCACCACGTCCGCGTACCGCCGCTGCTCGGCGCTGAGCCGGCTGCGTAGGAGGGGTATGGTTGTGGAAGGGGTGGCGGCGCAGCGGGTGCAGATTGGGAGGGGTGCGGTGGGTGAAGGGGTGGTGGTGGTGGTGGTGGCGGTGGTGGTGGGTTTGGACATCTTGACGTTGCAGACTAGGCAGGAGGTGGAGTTGAGGAAGAATTCGAGCGTCTTTTTTGCGGTGGCGTTGTTGTTGTTGCCGTTGTTGGGCATGACGGTTGCGACGGCGGCGGAGGTCATCTCCAAGCGGCGGACTTGTTGGACCTTGGGCATCTCGTCGTACCAGGCCCGGACGTTGGCGCCGACCAGGTTGAAGATGCGCTCGAGCGGCGGGATGAGGTTCTTGGAGATGTAGTATTCGGCGTCAAGCGACGCGTGCGGGTCGTTGAGCAGGTCTTCGGGCGCCACGCACCGGTCGATAAGCCGCGCCCCGGGTGCCCCGGATACGACCACGTACGGTACCCGCTCACCGTATTGTGGCTCCGCGCGGGCGTCTTCGAGCATGCGTCTCGTGCTGATCAGGGCGCCGGGCGGGCCGGGACCTTTGCCGCTGTAGGACCCGAGCTTGATTTCTTTTGCAAATAGGAAGTCTTGGATGGAGACGGCGCCACGCATGATCCTGGAGCATTGAGACTGGAAATACTCCTTGACCTGGCTGAGGTCAGCTGTCTCAAATAGGATCTTGAGCGCCTTCTCCTCGATCTTCTGCTCCGCCGGGGTGCCATCGCGGCGGACCGTCTCGATACCCTTCGCGTCGAACTCGGGCACCGTCTGATCCCGGCTTTCGTACTTGTAGCCGACGTACCGCTTCTTTGCGAGCAGCACGCACGGGTGATAGACTTTCTCAAACTTGAGCTTCACCGGCCGCGGGTTCAAGTCGGTGATCTCCTTGGCCATCTCGGCGCCAATGTCGAAGGCCTGCTCACGCGTCCGCCCCTTGAGATAGACAAACAAACTGTCGGTATCGCCGTAGACCACCTCGGCACCCCATCGCTCGACCGAGTGGATGTAGGCAATAGCCCGCTCCAGCGTCTCGCGGCTCGTCTGCACGATGCTATCGGCAATCTCAGAGCAAGGCATCCTGCCGGAGAAGGAGGCCGACGTGTACCCGTAGGTGACATTCGCAAGGAGCTTCAGCGCAAGTTGTCTGTTGTGGAGAAGCTTTTGCAGGGTCTTGTCGTCTTTGTCCTCCTTCATGCCGCTCTTGACCATCACACGAGTCTCGAGAATCTCGGTAAGCATCTTGGCGAGGAGCGACTTCCGGATCTCGGGCTTGGTGTACATCATGCCGTTCGGGGCGATGTTGATGTGGTCTTTCAGCAGCCGCAGGAGACCTTCTCTTCTCCTGTACTCGGTGAACCCCATCTTGTTGGTGCCACGCCAACTAACAACACGGCCGAGGCACGTTGAGTAGCAATAATTGTACGCAATCATGACGCTGGGGTACAGACTCTGGAAATCCAGGACCAGGAGGGGGCTTGGGTAAAAAGCACTCTGCGGTTCCATGACCAGAGGCAAGCACTCCAGAGCATTCTGGGAGCCGACTTGCTTCCTGTTGGGCGAAACGAGAAGGAAGTTCTCCGGTTTGGCGATCCGGAACATGATGGACTCGACTTTGAACTGCGAACCCCTCGAGAACACGGAAAAGAAATCCACACCGAGAAGCCTCGCTTGCTCGCTTGTCCGTGGAATCAGCTCGTTGGCCTCTATTATTTCAATGTCCAGGCGAGTCCTCCTGAGATAGTAACGGAGAACTTTGCTTAGATCTCTCGGACGTCCACTCAAATACCAGTCCGTCAAGGTCTGCCACGAATAATGCGGAATTCGACGATGCAAAAGATGCCAAACAACGTTCTCCATGCTGTATTGCAGAAGGTTGAGCTCGCCTCGCATGGCTCTCCAAACGTTGATGATATGTCTGCCCGTCACATGGAGGTTGGATGTTGTCTTGGACCCCCAAGCGTCAGCGTTCTTGCCAAACTTGCCGAACGACTCCGACTTCATGCGCGAGAACTCGTTGCACAGATCAAACTCATACTTGTGCATGGCCCGCTCAACCAAGTAGCCCCAAGAGCTCCCGTGGACTTCGTATCCGGTGAGGATATCCGGGTCATGCGCCCGCACAATCTCCACCATCTTGACCAGGAGGTCCAGTTCGGACGCCTCTTCATCAACCTGGCAAGAGGTTTGGTTGCGGACCTGCTTGGCCAGGAGGCCGTCACCCGAAAGCACGACAATCCCGGTTATGGTGTTGTCGTCAGATTGGCTGCCGAACAGGCACTGTTCGTCGGATCTCAGGCACCAAAAGATGCACTGGACTTCGTCTTCCTCGGGATTCGGGACTAGTTTCCCCCTGCTGTTGACGTGTATCTCGAGGCTCATGGTGCTCATGTACTGCGCCTCGTGCTGGACGCTGGTTGACTTTTGCTTCTGCGAGTACTTGAAGCCGTGGGTGTTTTTCGGGGTTGGCCCGATAATCTGCGACAACTCTGGCTTTTGGGTTTGGGTAGACAGGGGCGGCCGACCAGGACGAACCCTCTGAGTCTTGCATTTCTCCTTCTCCTCCCACCACCCGCTCACTTCGGCGAACGTTGGAGGTGGCTCGGCAATCTCCCAGCTCCGTAGGGTACATAGGCTTTGCTGCTTCTCGTAGCGCAACTCCATCTCGGCGAGGTCGGGTGCTAGATCCGGTTTTACCCCGAACGTAGCCGGGGACTGGCCCGTTGGATCGAAATCGGGCAGGTAGGGGAGAGTGTTACCGTCCAACCGGTATTCCCTTCCAGCGTATTCTCTTGGCCTCGGCGGCACATCGTCATCCTTGCTGTAAAACGCATCCTGATAGATGACATCCGGCAACCCGTATGACTGCATTGTGGAGCATACCTCCGCCACAGACGGCGGCCTGCTGTTGACTAGGAACATGGTGGTTTTCCCACTCCAATGGATATTCGGGCGTGGAGGGGTGCTCAGAGTCTTGGACGGTGACGATGTCACCGGTGTCCGGAATGTTGATGTAGTAGAGCTCGACTTGGCTTCATGGATGGACACGAGAGGGTCAAACGAAACTTGCTTTCTTGCCGAGCCACTGAATGTGGATTCGTCAGTCCGCTGCGAGGCGCTTCGCTGACTGAGTTTCAATATTGTATCAGGATCATGGGGATCTTTAACAACCGGGAAGTTGAGGGTCTGATTCCCTTGTGATTTCTGGGAGCTTCCTTTGCTAGTGGTCTTGTGTGGCTGAGATGATGGTGCTGGCGTTTTAGCCGAAATGGGCACTGGTTTCTCGGCCACCACAATCAGCCCGGGTGGGGGAGCCTCAGCCGAAATTTGATGAGAGCCCTCGCGGTGATCATGGCACCTCAGCCGCTTCGCCGAAGCGTCGTTTTCCAGATCTGAAGGGAGGCGCTTGAGAACGCCTGATCCCGTTGTCTCGGAAGCGGCCCTTTGGCCGCCAGCATCCCTGGATGTTAATTCAAGGGTGGTTGCCTCGAGAAGGAGTTCCCTCGGCAGCGGGATGGATGGACGCTTGCCAGAGCGAAGCCCACTGACACCAAAACCGCCGTCGAGACCCTTGATTTCCCGCTTTAGTTCCGCGATGAGCCTGTGCGATTGTTGTTGTAAACCGCCGGGGAACGGTTCTGGTTTTTTATTAGACGCAGAAGGTACGGCAATGCCGAAAGGGCTTTTCTTTTCCTCAAACTTCCGATCAAGCCGGCTTTCATGTTCCTTCTTGCTGCGATCTTCGTCTGAATCATCGAGAAGGAGTTGACCTTCTTGCTCGGGAACATCTAGCTCAAGAAGCCTTTTTTCGTCTACCTGGATGCTGCTGGCTATGCCGGTGTGCCCTTGCAGCAACTTTTGCTCGAGCCCCAGAGCAGGTAATAAGTTCTCCGGGAACAAGTCCTCGACAGATTGGATGACGGTCTGCACTCCGTCTCCGTCCGGGTCCGGTTTGATGTAATTGGAAAAGGTCAAGCCTGTCCTCTCCTGCTTGTTCTCCTGCTCAATCAACTGCTGAACTTCTCGGTATTCCTCCTCGTGGATCCACGGCGGCGGCTGCGAATGGCGCGGGTCCGCAGACATGGTAACGAGTGCTCCTTGAGGAAACGGGTTGCCTCCAGGCTTCGGCTTCAGCTTCGCCATCTGCTTTTCCCTGCGCTTGGTCTCATCCTTCCACAAACCGGCCATGCTGTGTACCAACTTCAAGTCCGAGGGGATGGGGTGCTCTCGTTCAATAAAATCGTGATGTAACTGGCGCTCCTTGACGGCTTTGCGGTTCGAGATATTCTGAACGCAGATGTCCACTTCTATGGAACAGTGGCTGGCCCGGGGGAGACTCATCTCATTAGTGATTGCCTCAGGCAAGATGGTGTTGCTATCCCATATGCGTGGAGGGTCATCGGGGCCGGCAGGGTCTGGAATAGGGCCGCGAAACCTAACATCTTCGGCGTCGAGATAGTCACAACCGTATAAGTTGTAGTCGGCCATGAACTGAAGCAGATACTGCAAATGTGCCTCGTAGGGTTGGAACTTTTGGCCCATGACGAGCCCCTGCAACAGCAAATCGGCCAACCTCGTCATGACAACCGGGTTAAGCATGTAGATCTTGAGATAATAGCGATATCCAACATGGAAGCCGTAAAATGGGACCCCTTTGACAAGGGTCACGCGGGCAACAAATCTCTGGGGCTCTCGACGCTGGTCTCTGCGGTAATTGATGGCCAGGGCGCGGTCAATGGACAAGTGCAGCGCGTAGATGTATTCGGATACTACACAAAGCCAGGTGTGAGCAGAATCATCATTTCCACCACCGAGAAGACTAAGTTACTCACCCGTTGGTTTGTCTAAGGGTCCTCGGTATTCGATATAGAGGTATGGGAATGCGCCGTGGACATGAGCGCACACCTTCTGGCCGGTCTCGGTCGACCCAAACACGCGAATGACGGGCACTTTGGGTTGCTTGTTAGGCTCCGAGCGGTAATCATCCCGACGCAAGTGAGGGTCATATCGTGTTGGTGTGGCCTGGTAGTGGTCGATGCAGTTGAGTCGAACCCGGAACCCGTCCATCTTGACTGTGTTGTCCAGTTTCCGCGTCGAGCAACCCGGCACGGGAATATGTTATCATTTTTTTCTTGATTAGTTTTTAAAGTTACGTGGTGTCATAAACGTGGCAATGAATCCAAGTTCCTGAAGCGCAATCAAAGCGCGACGCTCATAAGGCAACGACGCGGTTGGCAATTCCAAGCAGTCGCGCCGCAGTGGAGCAGCGAGTCGCCAAACCACGTGAAACTCAGACACAAAGAATCCACCTAGGTAGAAACATGGTAAATATCACTCGCCTAAGCACAGAGCTCCTGAGTACATCATGTTCTGCTCGCTTGCCCGGCTATTTTCCCATTCCAGTTTTGGTTTTTTTACTGAGGAACCGGGACTCAGTGGTGTAAGTGGAGGCAACGCTCAGACCATGACGAAGAATCCATGCATGAACTCATGTAGGGGTTAGGGTTAACAGTACCATCAAACTTTCGCCTCCCAACACTCGGTCAATATCGTTAACTATCCTCATCATTCAACTGTTCCAAATCCTTTCCGTATTTGAACAGTCAGGGCAACTCCATTACCCACCCAATATGCCTCCCCCACCATCCAGGCGGCCAGCAACGGCATCTGCGGCAGCCGCCGCTGCCAGCGCAGATAGCGGCTCCGGCGCAGGCGCTGCGCGCAAAGAAGACAACATCTACATCCCCTCCTACATCAGCAAGCAGCCCTTCTACGTCAGCGGGCTCGACGATCACGACGACTCGTTGCAGCACCAGCGGCGCACGACCCACGACGACGAGAACCTCACCTTCGAGCGGGGCGGCAAGAAGGTCGGCGCGGCCCGGACCAAGTGGGTGAAGGGCGCCTGCGAGAACTGCGGCGCCATGGGCCACAAGAAAAAGAGCTGCCTCGAGCGCCCGCGCAAGGTCGGCGCCAAGTTCAACGGCAAGGACATCCAGGCGGACCGGACCGTGCGGGACGTCAAGCTGGGGTACGAGGCGAAGCGCGACGTGTGGGCGGCGTACGACCCGAAGCAGTACAAGGAAGTGGTGGAGGAGTACAACCTGGTTGAGGAGGCGCGGCGGGCGCTGCAGGGGAAAAACGGCGACAAGAGCGAGGGCGGCGAGGACGTGTACGAGGAAGGGTTCAAGTACGCCGAGGAGTCGGAGCTCGGCAAGGACAAGACGGTCAAGCAGTCGATGAGAATCCGCGAGGACACAGCCAAGTACCTACTGAACCTGGACTCCGACTCGGCCAAATACAACCCCAAGAAGCGCGCCCTGGTCGACGCCGGCGCGATAGGCGACAAGTCGTCGCAGCTCTTTGCCGAAGAGAGCTTCCTGCGGGCGTCGGGTGAGGCGGCCGAGTTCGAAAAGGCACAGAAATACGCATGGGAGGCGCAGGAGAAGACAGGCGACACCTCACTACATCTCCAAGCCAACCCGACAGCGGGCGCGCTGATGCGCAAGAAGGAGGGCGAAGAGAGGGAGGCGAAGCGGAGGAAACGAGCCGAGCTGCTCGCCAGCCAGTACGGCGAGCAGCCGACGGTGCCTGAGGCGCTGAAGGTTGCTATCACCGAGTCGGAAACATTTGTCGAGTACGACGAGGCCGGTCTCATCAAGGGCGCGCCCAGGAAGGCGGCCAAGTCCAAGTACGCCGAGGACGTTCTTATCAACAACCACACATCCGTCTGGGGGAGTTGGTGGTCTGATTTCAGATGGGGTTATGCATGCTGCCATTCTTTTGTCAAGAACAGCTACTGCACAGGCGAAATGGGAAAGCAGATGGTCAAACAAGCCGATTCATGGGACAGGCAGGACGGAGAAGACGCCGAGGCTGCTCGAGATAGTTCATAATGATACCCCATATATTGTTGTGCACATCGCATCATTGATAGTCATGTTTGTAGTCTTTGTTTCGGTGGGTACCCATCTTTGCACGTCTCTTTGCGAAAGTCGACAAACGCGACACTGGGCTCGGAGACCTCGAGAAGTAAGGTGTCAATGATTGGTGACCTGCTGGGTGTATTGTACGTGCAATTCTTGATGCATTCCCACTCCCTGACTATAAACGCCGTAAGAGCAAGATGCAGAGGTCAAAAGTCCCTGCCCAGACCAATTTTCGTAGCCCGCTCCGTGCAGTCCCAACCATTCCCTTAATGTATCGTCACAGGAATTTACTCGTCATCCTCCTCCTCCTCCTCGCCGTCACCCTTCTCGGCGGCCTTGGCCTTCTTTCTCCTGACACGGCCGGGGCGGCCACCACCGAAGGGCGAGGTCAGGGCGAAGTCGATGTGCTTCTGGGAGTCGAGACGGACGACGAAAGAAGGAACGTTGACGATCTGCTTGCCGACGCGGATGTGACGCTGGCGGATCAGGACACGGGCGTGGTGGATCGACTTGGCGAGACCGAGCTTGTAGACGAGGGTCTGGAGACGGCGCTCCAAGAAATCCTCGGCCTTCAGGGCCAGGACGTAATCGAGCTTCATGCGGGACTCGTCGAGGACACCGACACGGACCAGACGGCGAATGAGGGCATTGCCTTCGAAGAGACGCTTGGGGTCCTTCTCGTCGAGAGTAAGAAGCTCACTGGAAAAGAAGTCGTTAGCCTGCGTTTCTAAAAAATTGACCTAACTCGCCTTGACTACTTACCGGGCAGCACGACGGATCTTGGAGAGAGTGAGGAGCACACGCCACACCTCACGCTTGTTGCGGAGACCATACTCGCCAACGAGCTTCAACTCGGAGTCCCTAGGTTCCGAAAGTTAGTCCACGATCACAATCGACATAAGCACAGACAAGCTGCTGCTCAGTGGCCGGTGATGTTTGCGAGCATGCAGAGTCGGCGTTCGCGATGACCGTCTGCGCAGAGGCTGCAATTGACGGAGAGTAAAACCGGAATTAAACGCACAAACGAGCGGCCTCAAAGGGGCGACGCGGGACCTTGGCGGTCTTGGAGTAGGATAGAGGCGCCATCTTGTCGTTGAGGCTATCAAAGGTTGGTCGACCGAAGCAAAAGTTCGCTAAGTGGGAGCCGACTTGAAGGTTGGGAAAATTAGAGGCACGAGGGGATTTGTGGTGGTCCGTGCGTATCGCGCCCGCTTGCCCTAACGATAGCGCGCTGGCTGGAGCGCATGGGGCGCACGCACCCTGCTTAGTCACCCAATCTGAAATCCTGACTTGGATTTGCTTCCACACAAAAAATCCCCAATTTTTGCAGCCCGCAGCAACCACCGACTTCGACATATCGATCCACGCCGACATACCCAGCAAACAGGCAAGATGGGTCACCCCGCAGGTCTCCGTGCTGGTACGAGATACGCCTTCTCTCGGAATTTCCGGGAGAAGGGTATGATCAGGCTCTCGACCTACTTGAAGACGTACAAGTATGTTGGCGCCTTGTGTGGTACCGCAGACGCGGAGATGGATCGCTAATTGGCAAACAGGGTCGGCGATATTGTCGATATCAAGGTCAACGGTGCCGTCCAGAAGGGGTAAGCGAAAACCCAAATCCTTATACAATCGAGGAGGGGTGTCGGGAGTGATGGGGATCACAGCGTTTACACGCGCGCCACATCGAGAGTCGCATGATTGAACGGGACTGACGTCGGACACGAACAGTATGGCGCACAAGGTCTACCACGGCAAGACTGGCGTTATTTACAACGTCACCAAGTCGGCGGTCGGCATCATCATCTACAAGAAGGTCAAGCACCGTTACCTCGAGAAGCGTCTCAACATCCGGATCGAGCACATCCAGCCCTCGCGGTCAAGGGACGACTTCCTGCGCCGCGTTAAGCAGAACGCCGAGCTGAAGAAGAAGGTCAAGGTTGAGGGCCAGCCAGTGCAGCTCAAGAGACAGCCCGCTATGCCCCGCGAGGCGCGGACGATCTCGATCAAGGACAACAAGCCGGAGACGGTCGCCCCTGTTGCGTACGAGACCACGATTTAAAGGAACTCGTGGCGGGTTGCTGGATTTGGTGGGGTTAGACACGGCTTGCTTCTTTCTCTGCATGGGGTTCATCGCGTTCGGCACGGAAGGATCTCCTGCCTGGAATTGGTCTGGGATGCGGGAGTGCTCATAGGAATCAAAATACCAATGGCATGACCAATAGCGGCTCGCAGCACCCTCCTTGTCCATCCGACGTGGTGCAACTGTGAAGCTCGGCCCGTCGAAGCTAGGACATGGGGGTTAGATTGCGCTGGGGACTTGGGAGGAGTCCGCGATCACTTGTTATGCCCCAAACAGGAGACTGGGCTCGCTCTAGTCCAGGCACTGATACATACAAGACAGCAGCATGAGAGGACCCAAATTCAAGGGGAACGATTCGAGAGCAAGCTAAATCTAACAGCCTTCCTAAAGTAGAGGCCTGACCCCTTGTGTCCAAGACTGAAAATGGACCCCGTTCATTGAGTTCCCCGTGGGGCATTGACAGTGAAAATCATCAAACTGATCACCGGCCACCACTCACATGCCGAGCTTGAGGCTCCTCCATCGCGTCATCCCAGAGCTACCTCACTCATTTCTCTCTCCATTCCGAACTTCGTTCATCAGCCTTACCGCTGAAAAGACCAGGGCCTTGCCTGATCCGTGGCGGGGCGCTGATGGTTAGCCAATCATGGCAGCGCGGGGAAGCACGGCCGATCGCTCGGCGCTGCCTGTGGCTGGCTCCCACTGTGGTCCACTACCCGGGGGGCTGCTGCGCCAGCTGCGAGGTTCCGGGTTGTCTGTCATCAGCGACCGAACACGAACAGCTGACTTCCCAAGTTGGTTGGCCCGTCTGAAACCAAAGTCAATGCCCCGACTGGGTGCTTTCTATTGTACACCAAGTCCAGAGCTCAGAGCATTACTGCTAGAATCGATGCGCCCGCGAGTTATCGTCCAGTCTGGCAGGTAGCAGGGCCGACACTCTGTCACTCTGCCGCCGCCATAGTGCACTGAGTGCAATTGGCAACCGCCGCCATGGGTTGGTCCGCCTTCCTATTGACGTACCTTCTCGGAGGCATAACCTTTCTCCCGCTGCTGGTGATTGTCGTCTTTGCCCATGCCTACCTCTACCTCCCCTACCGCCAGGATGCCGACCTCGCGCAGACCGAGCCCGGCGACAAGGACGACCTAGTGCAAACCGGTGACGACCTCGAGCCCCTCAAGGCAACACAGAAGGATGGCATCAAACTTCGGACAGTTCAACATGAGCAGGACGTCGCCGCGGGCTACTTCGCCGTATGCCGCGAGTACACGCCAATGGGGATTAACGCGAAGCCGATTGAACGTGCGACGCCCGTCGGCTCGACCACCGTGGCTGCGCCCAGCCCCAGTGTCTATCAGACGATGTACCGCAGCATTTTCGACCGGAAACAGAATCAAGGGCCCTTGGATGCTAAGAATGGCGCCAACCAGCGCCCGAAAAAGGCTGGCAACGTGTTCTATGTGGTGCTCAGGTACGCGATGTATTGTCCCGGTCAGTGTCACGGTTCTAATTGGCCATACAGACACGGCCACTTAATGCTCTTTGACGACGACGAGCAACTCGAGGTGCGCCATGTTGTGTCCCTCGCCCATCACGACGTCAGCATATACTCCGGGGAGCCCGTGACGCCCGAAGGAGAGCTATGGATCAAGCGCAACGCCATCTGCCTCTCACGTCGGACGAATGGTCCGGAATTGAGCCCGGACAGCCAACTGTCGAAACCGTTCTACCTGTTCTCTGAGAATTGCTCTGCGAAGGAGGACTTTTATTTCGCCTTGCTGCGAAACCAAGAACAAACCGGCACTGCGGGGAACAAGGCACCGACACCCATCCAGTTTGGCATGGAGAACATGATCTCGCTAGTCCAGAAACTCCATGCATCCGAAGAGCACATGCAGACTAGGTGGCTGAATGCCATGATTGGAAGAGTCTTTTTGGGAGTCCATAAGACCAAGGACATTGAAAACTTCATCAGGGAAAAGCTTACGAAGAAAATATCCCGCGTGAAGCGACCAGCGTTCCTGTCCCACGTCGCCATAAAAGCCATCGACACGGGCGACTCCGCGCCTTACATCACAAACCCCCGCCTAAAAGACCTGACAGTCGAAGGGGAGTGTGGTATTGAAGTCGACGTGCGTTACACGGGCAACTTCCGGCTTGAAGTCGCAGCCACTGTCCGCATCGACCTGGGCTCCCGTTTCAAAGCGAGAGAGGTCAACCTGGTTCTTGCTGTTGTTGTGCGTAAGTTGGAAGGTCACGCACTCTTCAAAATCAAGCCTCCGCCCAGCAACCGCATATGGTTCTCTTTTCAACAAATGCCGAAGATCGAGATGACCATCGAACCCATTGTCAGTTCCCGGCAGATTACGTACACGGTTATTCTTCGCCAGATCGAAAATCGGATCAAAGAGGTGATCGCTGAGACCATCGTCTTGCCATTCTGGGATGATACCCCCTTCTTCAACACAGAACACAAAGTCTGGAGGGGAGGGGTCTTCCACGACGACGCAGTGAAATCCCCAGCCAGCCCCGAGTCCGCCGCGGCTCAAGAGGGAGATCTTGGTGAGGTGGAACGTCTTGAGGAGACCCATGGGATCCAGGAGACTGAGCTCCCGCCCATCGAAAAGAGCCACACCATGCCCGTTCTGGACAAGAAGCCATCAGTTGGCTTGTTTGGAAAGAAGCTCTCGAGCAAGGCGAGCAAGGCGGACCTGCCATCATCTCCATCTACGTCGTCGACCAGTACTGAGACAAAAAATGAAACGAAAAACGAGGTGAAGCATGAGGCCAAGAATGAGGTGAAGAGTGAGGCGAAGAGCGACATCGGCTCTCCTCCTCCAGTGCTCTCTGCTCCTTTCGCACAACCTTCGTCTCCAACGGTGGGGACTATTGCAACCAATGCAGACCAATTCAGGCCATCATCTTCTCCGCCGAGCGGAGATTCGGCCGCCTCGGCCATGGCGACGTTATCGGCGACGTCCCACACCCCATCACCAGCTCAAACGCCCAACCCCAACGCGTTCAAGCCTTACATCACTTCCAAGTCTTCCAACCTTTCGTCTTCTAGCTCGTCTAAGGATGCTACCGACACCGAAAAGGACGCAGACAAGACACCTCAAGTGCGGCGAAACACTGTGTCGTCGACCGAGAGCCACAGTGATGGGGGGTCACACTCCCCAACCTTGTCTACCAAAGGTTCAGTCCGCGGCCAAACAGGCACTATTTCTCGAGGCTTCTTCAGTCGTCGCGACACCACGTCTTCGGTCTCTTCCGGCATCAGCACGAGCGATTCGCAGAAACGCACCACGCTCAACGCTGTGGCGAACGCGGCAGCGTCGGCCAAGCGATGGGGTTTCAACGCGTTCCAGCGTCGCCCCAATGATGAAGCAGCAACACACGTTAACCACTCGGATGAGAGCGCACCAGCCCTCGACCTCAGTCAGCCGATGGGGCGTGGCCACCCGCTCCCGCCGCCTGGAACGCCGCTTCCGATGCCCGAGAAGAAAACATCAACGGCACCAATCCAAGTTCCCAAGCGAAAGCCAATTCCTCCACCATCGACAGAGAACCACGCCGAGCACACCAAACGAGCGAGCGAGCGCCGCCCTGTACCACCTCCCCTTCCGAAGAGACGACAACCGCAGAATGAGGACGGCGAGGAGCACGGGATGCTTGTGGTGACTGCGCCCGCTGAATCGGAGCCAACGACGCCGTCGAGCGCGTCAAACAGCCCTTCCTACCCCCCGCCACAGGTTGACGAAGTTGAGGCCTCTGGTACATCGCCGTTGAAGACGGAGGAACCCACAAAGGCGGATGTTGTAGGGTTGGGAGTGTCGCTACCCGAGGGGGCTTCAGTCACCAAAGGGGACCAGTTAGACGTCGCAGCCGGGGTGCCGGGTTCCGCTGCCGAAGACGAGGACTATTCCGCGTGGATGGATAATGCGGAACTGGAGGAATCGGCCCTTGTTACTACTACACAGGCAGCTTGAAGCTGATTAGAGTGATACGGAGTTTACGGCTACGGCCTTGGAGTCGAGGCATGGTGCATTAGCTGGATACATGGGCATATTGCTTAAGGCTATACCTTATGATTGTACGGGACATACATGGCGCACGCATATCATTGCATTATTAGGGGCGTGGCTTGATTATTCGAATGCAACTAATCTAAATCTTCTTCGCCTTTCGTTGGCATTGTCCATGCTGAATCGGCGAGCCTTGTCGTGTTAGACTAGGTAGATTTTACCTTACTCTCGAGCAGGTCACCACGCTCACCATCAAAAATATGGCCTTCTTGTTTCTTCCAAGCTCATTTCGGCCTTTGGGTATGTTCTTATGCAGGTTCGCTCCTGTTTCCCGTCGCCTCCCGCTCGCTTACGGCTCGACGCCACGACAACCAAGAACGGCTATTTCAGAAACCGCCAACGTTGATTGCGGTAATATCAAGAAAGGCCTGGCACCTTATATTGGGAATTTGCTTGGCCTCTCAACGGCTGCCCGTTCTGAGCCGTTGGGAGCGCGCGCAGGCCGGGTCCCACAGCTCAGGCTAAACGGAGGCTGAAGACGGGAATAATGGACACAGGGCTCGACCTACTATAGCCATCAATGGACGCGCCAGTGCTGGCGGCCGCAGTGAGCAGATTTGCAGGATTCTGGCCGAGGGTTTTGGCTGGAACAATGTGTGGCCTTGCATGGTAATCTGATAGGTGCGGGAATGTAAGGGGTAATTCTCCGTCTCGTTGGGGGATGGATAACGCTCGGGGGTTTCGTTATCCCGAGGCACTTACACACACTACCGTAACGGGATTGTCCCATTATGGGTGGAAGGGAGGCAGGGAGGCAAACAACGTCCATGCCGGTCCCTGACACGCTTGGTCGATCCTCTGCCGTCCGAGCCTCAAGCCCCCGGCGATGAACATCACCCACCTCTCCAGGATAGCGAGCTGTTGATCTCTCCCCAACGACCCGGATGGGAAACACATCAAAGCCCATACCCTGGCAGGGCGTGCAGGTTCGGCCCCGCTGTAGATATATGGAAGTGATATACACCCTTGTCGAGATAGTATGCCAACATGTCCCGCAGAACCGTGATCAAGCCGCCCTGCATCCGCCGTCTGTGGCCTCGCATACTTAGCGGGAACCAGACGGGAACGGAGCAGGTGGCGCCTGCATCGAGATTGAGACGGACGCTTATCGACATGGCCACCGGGGCCGTTCAACGTCGGTGCATACTCGAGGAAGAAGCATGAACGGCATCCTCGGAGCAGCAACCGTGGCTCGAGGGCATCCAAGTCGCTCATTCAGCCTGTCTCCCGGCGGCTGTTTTGTTGCCCTTGGTTCCGAAGAGGAGGGCAGTCCATCAGAATATAGAATCTGACGCTCGTTATTGCTCCGCAACACGAGGAGGCATCTCGCGGCCCGAAAGCAGGAGGCAATGATACCTCTCCAGGTTATTAGCGTTGCATATCCCTCAGGCCGGGACAGGCACGGCCGCCCTTTGGGCTATAGAGTGCGGTGATAACACGCAGCCAGCCAGGGAGGCAGCTGGGATGGGCGACCTTAATAAGTGGAAATCACTTCATCCGGTGGACCCATAGAGGAGGCAAGAGCCCGGAAGCTGGAGAGCTGCCAGGACGGGAAGCATCTCGGGGCCGGCCGCGGATGACAGAAATAGAAGACAGGAATAGAAACGCAATCAAGACGACGACCTTGTCGAGTCTGGGGTATATAATAACCGGGTCTCCGTCCCACTTGGGAGAGAGGAAGAGATGGTAAACAAGCTGAACAAAGGTAGCGCATCAAGGTACATCCAGGTCGCCCCGTTACGTCCACTTTGCAGAGACAGACAAACCAAACCCCTACAATAGTTAGTCTCCTGAACTTCCAGGTACGGTTGAGCGCCACAACCAAACCATCCCCCTCCCTCCCCCTCCCTGCTAACACAAGAAAGCAGGGCCCAACCCTTCTCCCTCCTCACACGATGAAGTTCTCCCTCAGCGCGCTCCTCGGCCTAGCCAGCCTGGCCCTCGCGGCCAACGAGCCCAACGCGGTCTGCCCCACGGCCACGCGCACCATCCAGAACCGGGCGTGCGGCAACGAGTGCCCCTTCAGCGACTGCACCTTCCACACGACCATCCAAAACCCCTGCGGCTGCCCTGCCACGCTCCCCACGGCCACGCTCATCGCCCCCTGCCAGGCGCCCTGCCCCTACCAAGGCTGCGACATCGACTTCCGCACCTCGGCCCTCCCCTGCCCCACCACCCCAACCACCACCACGCGCCGCACCACCACCACTCCGACCAGCACCCGCTCCGGCGTCGTCACCAGCATCGTCACCCTGCCCCCGCACACCACCACGCGGCCGCCCACGACATCGTCGATCCCCTGTCCCAAAGTCACGCGCACGACCTCCCCCGACGGCTGCGACCCGATCCGCTGCCCCGTGCCGACGTGCCGGGTCGAGTCCGACCTGGTGGTGCCCTGCGGGTGCGAGCCCAAGACGGTGTTATATGTGACGGGGTGCCAGACGGCGTGCTCGGAGGGGTGTTTGACGAGGGTGAGGACTAGTAGTTTGGCTTGTTAGGGTGGTGGTGGTGGGGAAGGGGGGTTCTTGTTTGGGGGTTGTCTGTTGGTTTGTTAGGTTGTTTGTTTGTTTCCGTTTGGGAGGAAGGGAGACTGTTGATGAGTTGTGTAAATAGGTAGTTCCTGAGTTGGTAAAATTGACTTTTTTTTTTCGGGTTTAATCTGTATGTTGTTTGGTTTGATAACTATCTGCTTGCCCAAACCTGGTATGAGGCTTGGTGAAATAGATGCCCGGTTGATGCAGGCCCAGGCCCAGGCCAGCCGCTTGCTGCACTGCACTGCACCGCGCTGCAGTGCTTCAATGGACCGGCGGAGAGTGCCGATCTGCGCAACCCAATCTCATGCCAAGACACCACCCGGCAGCCGCCGCGCAGGGCCTACCAAGTCTGACCTGCGTCCTGGAAGTTGCCCTGATTGGACCAGCTGTCCCAGGCTGTCCCTGTGACATCATGCACCAACAGCCATTGGCGGGGTGCCCTGTGGCCCGCTGTGTGCCAGCGATAGCCTCGACCTCTATGGGCCCAAATGGCCCTGTAACCCCCAGCCGATAGCTCCGTCCCAAAGAGGAGTTGGTTTTGTGTTTGTAAGAAGCGGTGACTGTGCCTCTCTTTCAAACAGGCTTCTTTCAAGATTATAACGATTGTACCTGAGAATACCCTCTCTCTTCTCTTGTTTATTCCAGTTTCCAACTTCCAGTTTCTGTTGGTTTCGTCTTGCCTCTGACCATCTCAGTTCCCATCCAATCTCACCTACTCTACCAACATCCACCATCCACAATCTACAATCTACACCATGACTACTCGCTATCGCGTAGAATGTATGTATCCCTCCTTCCGTACCCTAGAAGAGACACTGATCAGACAATAGATGCCCTTAAAACTCACCGGCGTGACCAATTCATAGGTGAGACCTCTTCCATGCGAACTGCCACCCCCCTGAAGCCGAGGCGGGCGAGGACGGCCGTCCACCGCTACGAGCTATCCAGAGCTTGGTAACAGCCACGGCGGTAGTCTCGCAACATCGCCGAACACAACTCCTGGGTTTGCATAGCATGGCTAACTCGACCCAGAATGGATCAAGGGGCTGCTCGCCGTGCCGTTTGTGCTATACTCCCAGCCCCATGGCCCCATCAACAGGCAAAGCATGAACGATCTCGCTCAGACACGCGAGGAAGCCCACCGGAGATACAGCGAGATTCTCCGTGATGTCGAGGTCATGATAGACGATCACAGTAGGCACCTACTCGCTCCCCTTTCCCAAGATACCAAAAAGTGACTCACCAAATTCCAGTTGCTCATCAACACGATGCCGAGAATCCCTTCCCATCCAAACTCAAACTCCTAGTCCCCAGCATAGGGCCCTTCTTCACTCGGCTACCCCTAGAAGCCGGCTTCAAGTTCCAGGACCACAAGCGCTACATCTCCTCCCGCCGCTTCGTCTCGCCCTCCTTCAACGATGTCCGCCTCATCCTCAACTCGGCTCAGATGATGGGCCGTGACCAGCTACGGCACCCTCCAGCTCGCACCTTTGACGGCGACGTAACTCTCTACGACGACGGGCAGAGCCTCGAGCCCTCCAGCCCCATCGTCCCCCGGCTTATTGGTACGTACACCATCAACCCCTTAAATCCACACTTCCATCCCAGAATCCCAATTAACCATCTCCCCAAAACACAGACCTCCTCCGCAAAAACGTCAAAATCGGCATCGTCACCGCCGCCGGCTACACCACCGCCGACAAGTACTACGCGCGCCTGCACGGCCTCCTCGACGCCCTCGCCAACACGGCCGAACTCACCCCAACCCAAAAACAATCCCTCATCATCATGGGCGGCGAAGCCAACTACCTCTTCGAGTTCTCCCCGTCCTCCCCGCACCTGCTCGCCCCGGTCCCCCGCTGCCGCTGGCTCACCCCGGAGATGGCGGCCTGGGACGAGCGGGACATTGCCGAGGTGCTCGACGTGGCCGAGGCCGCGCTCGGCGACTGCATCAAGACGCTCAACCTGCCCGCCGTGCTGATGCGCAAGGACCGCGCCGTGGGCATCGTGGCGGACCCGCCGTCGGCGCGCATCCCGCGCGAGTCGCTCGAGGAGACGGTGCTGGTGGTGCAGAAGGTGCTGGAGCTGAGCAGCGCGGGGCGGCGCGGGCGGGTGCCCTTCTGCGCCTTCAACGGGGGGCGGGACGTGTTTGTGGATATTGGCGATAAGAGCTGGGGCGTGACGGTGTGTCAGCGGTGGTTTGCCGGCGGGGGCAATGGCAATAGTGGCGGGGATGGAGGCGCCGCCGCGATCAAGGGGGATAACACCCTACATGTGGGTGACCAGTTCCTGAGCGCCGGCGCCAATGACTTCCGGGCGCGTAGCGTGGGCACCACCGCGTGGATTGCGAGCCCGGCCGAGACGGTGGATCTGCTGGATGAGTTGGCTGAGTTGATGGGGAAGAAGATGTCTTGAGGGAGAAGAAGATGTCTTGGTTATGGGGGTGGGGGAGGGATGTCGTCATGCTGGTTGAGGGGGTGAGCTAGTCGAGGACGGCTATGGAGGGTGCGTCTCTGTACTGTATACGAGAGTGTCACAGCGTTGTAGCGTTTCGGGGTCAGGAGTTCGGGATATACCTGGAAAGAGCTTTTAATAACCAAAGTAGTTAGAATACACGTTCTCATCCGACGCTATATTGGCCTTTCCTGTCTCGGAGTTACCTGAACTAATGTGGATATTCCTCGAGACATGTAACTACCTATGTAGTGCGCTGCCATCTGGTGATGTGTTTGGCGTGAAAAGCAGGTCGAGATCCTGGCTCTCAAGCGAACCGACCGTCGCTTGCCCTGAAAGGCAACCTCCAAAACATAAAAAAGGGGGTATTGTGCTTTATACATAGAGAAAAAAAAGATGGGGAAACGCTAACTAATACGACTCCCCCCAATCGCTTGACCGACCCTCCCAAGTCACCGAAACCTGCCTCCCTTTCCGCTTGCCATGCTTAAACTCCAATCCCTACCCACCCCCCGCAATGCCCTTCTACTTGGTAGTGTTTTCTTCGATTCATACCCCTTTCCCCTGTTCCAATGCGTGTAATGAAGGGACCAATCCGCCGTGATCGAGGTATGAGTGGGCTCCTACAGCCAGACAAAAGAAAACCGGCCGACGGGGGTTATTAAAAACAAAACGTGTAGAGGCCCCCGGGGTCCGTCAAGAGATATTAACGCGGCGCAAGATGTTTGGGGGCAGCGGCGAACCGCACGCCGATCCGTGGCTACCGGAACTCCCCAAAGGGCGCGCCAAAATTCATGCGTTTTTTGAACTTCAAGGGGACGTCGAACTGTTCTTCGTCGCCGCTTTTCGGGCTGCTCTTATTATCCTCGGAGTCAACCCCAGAACCGGCGCCGGGTTGGTCTTCGGCCTGAGTTTTCGTTTCCCCGGCGGCTGGTGGTGCCGTCTGCTTGGCCAGTTCCGAGTCCTTTAACACTGCCGGCAGTGCAGCCACGTTGTCCTTGCTGACTTCTTCCAGCTTGTCGGACAGCTTCTGGAAGAATATCTCGTCGTGGGCCGGCATGTTCCTCACCATAAGTGGGCCCTTCAGTTCACGGTCTTCGCTGGACTCTAAAGATGGGCTCGGGGTGGTCGGCGAAGATGTGGCCTTGCTGGTCTGTATCACCGGGGAAGGGTTCCATGACCTGTTGCGATCCAGATACGCCGCCCCCATCGCCGCCAGTGGTTGTGCCCTGGCTCGCGACCTCTTCATGCGGCATGGTCGGGGTACTGTCGCCGCTGTTGCTCGTTGCAGTAGCTGTTCCTGAGGAAACAGCGGTTGCTACCGACGAGAGGGAATGGTTTGGCGTGTGGCCAGCGTGCATCGTGAGGCGGTCCGCTTCCTTGGCTGCCAGAACTTGGAGGGTTTGTTCCTTCTTCGCCCGCGGGCTCTGGGGTTGATCAGAGCCTGACGGAGGAGAGCCAGATGGGCTGGAAGATTTAGACCCGTTTTGTGACCCGGTATCTCTAAAGGTGGCTTTCTTTACGCTGGTAGCCTTGATTGGGATGCCCTCCAACTCTGGATGGATTTCCTTGACGTCAACGATCGGAATAGGCTCGGCGGCGGCCTCGAGTGCCTCATCTTGCTTCAGAAAATCGGCCGTGGGTGCGCTGGGCCCATTCGGTGACCTTGGGGAAGCGAGGTCCTGGGCCCTCGGGCCCGGTATGGGCAACGGCGAAGACGCATTCCGGGCGGCTGACCCCCCATTCTGGCCCACGAGATGTGAACTCTTCTCCGAAGACAACGAGCTGTCGGGACTAATTAGTGATGTTCCTTAGCTTCCTTCGCGTTGGCCCATATTCGAGAAGGGTGCTCTCGCCCAAAAGGGGAGGCTATTCATGGCCAACGGGTTGGTGCCTCCCAGCCGTTCGATTTCCCCCACCAAAACCGCCTTCTCGGCCTCCCACTCGGCGCGCTCCTCCTCCATAAGGGCCCGTTCTTCCTTGTACACCTCCTCGGCTCGCTCGCGGTTCGCCTCCAGGTACTTGCGCTCCGCTTCCCAAGCCTCCTGCATCCTCGCCTTTTGCTGAAGGAGCCGTCGGACCATGCAGTCATGGCTGGATGAAGTCACCTCGTCCGCCGAGACGGACCGCGAGTAGGCTAGTCCGCCTCCCGGGGATCCCAACGTTTTGTTGGTGAGCCCAGCCGCCATATCTTGGTTCTTGTTCGATCCGTTTCCTGGCAGTCTGGGCGATGTGACCCCGTTGCGAGTTGTTGGCGGGAGACTGCTCGACCGGCTCTGATCGTATTGGAACTGTGCTTGCTGTGCGGCTGGCAGGATATGGGGTGACAAGGGCGAATAGATTTGACTTCCTCGAGGTTGCGAAACGGGACGAGGGTGTGTGGGGTTGTTGCTGTTGGTCACCACGACGTGGTCAAAGTATCCGTGGACACCGCGCGGGAGAGTCAGGGGAGAGATGATCGAGGAGGAGGAGTCGGTGGTGAGTTTGGGGAACGGGACATGCATGTCACTGTCCCGGGTGCCTGGAGGCCAGAAGGGGTCGGCGGACAGCTTCGCCATGACAGGCATTTTGTGTTTCCAGAGGTTTATACCACGAGCCCTTGGTCATGTGCAGAGCTGGAGCTGTTCCCCTTGCATTAGCTCGCCGTTGCTGATGTCAATCGATGTTTGTTGGCAGGTGTGGAGCACAATGGAGCATGTCGTGCGTGAAGCGCACGTTAGAGAAGGTCCGCTCGCCGTACATTCGTCCGTCGTTCGGTAATTGCGTACTGTATCGTGTGGACGGGACAGAAGAATGGGATGGCAGTCCGAAGACGAGACTAAATGGAAGCGATTAGGAGTGCAAAAATAATACAGTCGAGATTAGTTATTGAATAATGAGGTTAGGTAGAGGGCGATGGAAAAGTTAAGTAGGTACGGTAGTTCTGGTATACCCAGTCCAAATTATTGTCGAGGCTCTTGCTCTTCTGAGAGAAGGACCTGGACCGCCGACGTGGCAGCCCTGTCATCTGTTTCCGTAACTGCCTACTAGGTATGTAACCTGCAAGTGCTGCCCGCCTGGCCTGTGAAGAAGCGCCTGCCCTCTCAGGGCTGTGGGGCGGTGAGCCGGCGACCGCTTGTCCGCTCCCTTTTCAGGCTCCCCTCATCCTTCTTCAACCCCACAATTCACTACCGACGGGTTGTCGGCTGCCTACTCCGCGTGAAGAAAAACCCCAAGATCTCGCCTCAAGCCGTCCCAACCCACCCCTGCCGCCACGTGCTTTTTTTCTCAATTTTCCAATTGCTTTCAATTGCTTTTGTGATTCAAATTTTCGTTGAGCGTGTCCTGTCCTGCCATGGTCAATGCCAAGCGATTCTCTTTCTGGTGGAGCTTCGGGCCTTCATGACAGTGAAGATAGGGCACCACACCACCACTCACACCGCGGCCGTGGGGCAATGAGACATTTCATCCCCTCCAAGGAGGGGCACACGCTTTGTTGGCATCCTCGGTCCCAAGAATCCCTGCTTCGCTTTCTCAGGGTCCAGGACCCTGAAAAAAGTTGGTCTTGGCAATACCACGCTGCCACCGAAGCGACTGACGTGCTCTGTGTTTGGTGATGGTATGTACATACACTACATACGAACAACGAGCCCGTTGTAGTTGGCAAACAATGAACCCGTCAGCACAACATAGCTTATCCCTGGGAAAACCAAGATCGAGCCCCCTCGATGCGGAGTTGTAGGAGGCCCAATGAGCCAAAAGAGCATTTCCATGAGAACCGTAGGTAACTACGAGGGTGGTTCCCTCAAAATCACGACCCCTCCCCCATTGCGCCAAATCTCCGAAGCAACCCTGTGGTATCATCCATAATACAACCGCAACTCCTTATCTAGCCTCCCCGGTCCAATTCTCTTCCAGTCCAATGGGTAAGCCGGCGATCAAGACCGAGCAGCCGCCAGCATTCTGTCCAGAAGCAGAAATGGCCATGGCAAAGGCTGCAGCTTGAATCTGCATTCGCCACAGATGATGGGCCTATTGTTGGTCTAGTCAGGATCAATTACGAAATGACGTGCCCAGTGACTCTCGAGATGGACATTACCTCTCCTCAAAAGCTGTGATCTCTGGCATGCAAGGTATGTGGTGCTTATACTTGGCGCTGGGTAACCAGTCAGTTCTCGCTTTCGATCCGAGAGTGCAGAAACCTGCTAAGCTCCGTCTGCGGTTGTCAGTGTATGTATATGTACCATTGCTTGGTTGCGAGCCAACGGAAGTGGCCGCAGGAAAACTCTCGCTGGAATTCAAGTGTCAGCAGAGCTATCAAGTTCTGATAGCCTTATTATTCCCATACAGACCTGGGTAAAGTGGCACATTGTGAAATTGGCCTGACGTACGAGCCTGACGGGCTGTTTCACGCGCCCAGTTTTCGCGTTAGTGTAAGCTCGAAGTCGGGCGAAGGCAGATGATAACAGAAACCTCGATTTCAATATCTGGGTTTCGTATTGTTGCGATGAAAGTTTGCGATCCCCAAGGGAGGCCAGTTCCCACCCTTCCGGTGCTGTGGGTTTTCGTCTGGTTTATGTCCGGGTGAGGGTTGCGGCATGATATTCCTCTGCTCTTCGACCACCCGCTTGCTTGCCCCTCATGAACACGCAATCGGTAACACTGTGAAAGAGTCACAGGTCGGGCGAGACATGAGAGACACCCGGGCTGTTTGCTAAGTCTTGGCTCCTAGCATTTTGAACATGGAATCAAATCATTTCATCCTACAAACTTGAACCAGTTGATCAACTTGAAACCTCGGCCCCCAGTCTCATCACGGGGCAAGTTGTCTGGCCGAATATGCCGAGTGTCACGTTGAGACGAGCAAGTGACATGATCAAGTGCTGCTATTTAAAGTCGTTACCGGCCTCGAGGCCGTCTCACAATCCCAATGGGAAATGAGGAGTCGCAAGCCACTGCCCACAGGGCGCCAGCGCTCAAAGCATTTCCTAAACAAGATGGCAGCAGCCAGTTATTGTTTCTGTCCCTCGTCTCCGACACTAGGCCTAGCTATTTTTTTCAATGGTGATACTGCATAACCCCACGGACGACGACTGTATTTACTCTTCCCAAAGTATCTAGCACTCCCGTAGCTGTAGCGGTAGTATTGAGGACCGATCACAGCGAAAGGCCATATCCGATCACTGTGATTGTGGCTCGTTTCGGAACTAGCAAAACAAGGACTAGGGCAGTTGGACGAGACAATGGTGTGTGGACAAAGCTCGGGTCGATCCGTGGGACAGGAAAAGGAAAGTGGTACTAGACGAGTCACTCAGCCACTTTCGGTGAAGGATTTTAGGGAACACATAGCAGTGACCTTCCTCATATTGCTACTCATATCCCTTGGTAACTCAGATAACGCTCCGGATATCACATCCCCATCAACCCCTCTTACGGGGTGGGTTACTCAAGGCGGTCATCGGCTGGTTCGATAATAAAAGGGTGCTCAATATTAGAAACTCGCGCCACATCAACAATGCTCGATGGCAACTGTATTTTTATTCACCTGCTCAGATTCTTGCGGCCATGGTGCCTTATAACGTCAATGTTACCGAGACCCTTCAAAGTTTACTGTGGGTTTGAAAAAAAATCAGGGCTTAGATTGATTAGTACCCAGGTACCTTACTTAAGGCCCTCCTCTGTTGTGAGAGAATCTAGGTAAAAACCCAGACTTTTGGTATCGTGCAGGTTGTCTGGGCTCACATGCAGGTTGGGGCATTCAGTTTGAAAGCCAGATCATGATATCGCACGGCAGCAAGTACTCAATATATCGTTTTACGACGACTGTTTTGTCTCTAGATGAGGGTTAGCCAGTCAGGCTCAGAGCGGCAGCAACACCATGGCTAGAGGCTAGGCTGGTATCGTGTTTTTCTTTTTTCCCGTCTAGCCTCGAACAGGACATGCCTAGGTAACAACTCTTATCGCCATCGACTCCGCGGCATCTGAGATACATGAGCAACAACCTCTGCATTAGGTTGGAGCGAGTTGAAAGTGTTTGAGGGATGGAGGGTGTTGGAATGTTTTGATATGGTCACTAAAATAACCGAGTAGGCTCATTGGTAACTAATGACACATCTTCAAAGATGTAAGCTGCTTGACCTTGGTTCTCCAGTACCGAGACCCGTAATCCCTTTGTCTTGGAGGCATGGAATGCCACTACCATACCTACTCATGCTCATATGATAGCGCTGCTATTAGTATGCCTAAATCCCAAGGGTTGCAGTGCGGTGTTGTCGTTGCCTGAATGGCCACCGCATTACTAATATTTATCCTAAATCCGACGGCCTGGGAGAGTCAGAGGTATGTACAGTGTACACGCCGGGGTTACCACATCTTCCACAAGTCCACTTGCGGACGGTGTTGTCAGTGCCTTACATGTGACGTGCCTAGGTTTGGTAATGTTGCCAACGAGTTTCCCACGTGTTAGGTTGTCGCCGGGAGATTGGTAGTCGCATAGTGCACGAGTTGTATGGAAACCATCACCTGAGGCTGTGCCTAGGTAGACCTGTTGGGTACGAGTACATGTGGTGTCTCATTGTGACGATTGTGACGAATCTTAGGGGGCGAGCCTGAGTGGCTCCTGATAACAATCTTATACTGCTTACTGGGTCTTGTTTGCTTCCGCCAAAAAGACCCCATAGGTCATGTTAACACCGCGGGCCGCGACGGGGTGAGACAGGACTGCACCCGGCATCCGTTATTTGCCCCTGCTGCCGTCACAGGCCAAGACCTTGGGCCAAACTTGTCGCGAGACACCGGAAAGGGGGATCCGGATTCGATGGTGGAAAGGAACGGGGTGTGTGAGTTGGACATTGGCTCCATTGGGTCGCCATCCGCGGAACCCACACCACTGCAAATGAGAAAGCCCCGAGAGCCAGGACCCGCACCCTTCCAGACCCTCCAACCTCCATTATTATTACCTAGCAGATTAGTAAGTTCTTCTTCGCCCGGAACTGCGCTCGCACGGCTCGTCATAACGATCCGTGAGAAGACCGATGCCAAGTCCGTGGAGAAAGCCAGCAAGCGCCGGCAAACTCGGCACGACCGGAAATAAAGAAAAACTGGGCACGAGGCGGCCGACGCCAATCACCGGTGTCAAAGACCGCGGTCCGCCTCGAGGAGGAATCCCGATGGGCGGTCTCGCGACATCGGCGCTCCGCCCACTGTTCTTGAAGCGCCACTCCGGGGCACCACACCACAGAGCACCTCGTACTTTGTACATACCCCTGGGGGCCTGGTGGGTGTCCTCGAGTGCGGTCTCGAAGGTGGTGTGTGATGCCCATCCGGATTTCTTCGTGTGGAAACACCCCGCATCCCACCCTGCGAGCCTGCCACCTTTCCGACCGGGAGGCCTGGATGGAATTCCATGGGAGTGACCGCCTCGATAAGACCTGCCACACTGGACGGGGAGGAGGTCAAAGAGCCCGGCGAGGCGGTCCCAACCAATTGCCGTTTGGCTTAGACATCCCGATTAGTGACCGCTTCCATAGGTTGGCAAGCCGATTTCACTGCTGGCTGCAGGTACTGAGCTGAGACCCGCCCCGGTGCCGATGTTTTTTAGTATGTGCATTGTGGTATCCGTATCGTGGGGGACAACGTCGGCAAGGGCTCGCCGGATGCTGCGGCCCGGGGCTCAGCCTTGCCCATGGGCGTGGCAGCAGAGCACAGAATGTACATCTGGGAGTTAAGATCCTGACTGACATGACATGACTGAGACGAGGGTACGGATCCCGCAGAGTCGCCCTGACGTGGACTTCTATGAACAGGGCTGTGAAAGTGGGAACCAGCGCATCGCCGGGTGGTATACTACTCGTTGAGATGTGCGGGATTTGTTTTGACCCGCGTGGCCAGTGTCTGGAACGGTACGGATACAAATGTTAAGCGCAATTGGGTCTCGTTGTTTCAAATGGAGGGCAGGCAAGCTGAAGTTGGGACAAGTTCCTTGCTCAACGACTTGACTGGTCACAGGTCGTGTTACCCGGCTCAATTCCCAACAATGGATGTGCGCAGAAACCCCTGTGTGGGAGCTGTTCATGGTTTTTGGTTTCTGCTGCAGCCGACTCCTGCATCCTGAACCCACACCGCTGGTTGTGCTTCTAGAGTCAGCAATGGATGAGGTGCGGATTTGCTCCCGCCCTGCCCTGGAAAAAGGGAGGGCAACTTTGTGTGTTCCACCGCATTCGCTGCCTGCCTTGGAGCATGGGACGCGCACTTCTGTCGTGTGATGGCTTACTGGCACCATGGGGCCACTCCTGATGCCTGTGGATTTCCAAGGTAGGCTAGTCACTCAAACCACAGAACCGAGAGATTGTAGGGGATAGCGAATGGGGACGCGACCAAGACCTGAGCAACACAAGTCCTTGCTTGGCGTCACCAGCAGTTGTCTCTTTGGCGTCGACCTTGTTTGAGAAACGCATCACACGAGCGCGCGGCAGAACTGTTTCTTGAGGCACAACCGAGGACAATCGATCGAGCCGAGATGGACAGGCAGGATGCCCAGACGGGAGATCGCGATGCCAAGACGGTCAGGAAAGCTTGCGAGCCTTTCCAAGCCTACCCAGGGGCTCCGGTGTGCCTGTGAAGGCACCGATCCGACCAAGGGCATGTTTCGTGGTTGTTGTTTGGTCCGACCGCCAAGACGCTTTCTGAAGGGCCGTCTTGCGGTAGCCAGTGATGAACTTGGGATGAGGGACCGCGCATGGTCAGGTGGCGGCCACGAGTGTCTTCTCGAGGAACGGTGAGGCGGTTTGTTCGTCGGGATATGCCTCTGGGGCTTGATGCAGATGCGTGGCAATGCAACCGAGCCACTCAGTTAGTTAACTATCCTGGACGCGAAAGGGAATTGACGTGGGGGCGCGATTATTTGCTCGTGTGCTCCCCAGCCTGCCAGCCCCCGGTTCCGCGCTCAGGATGTCGGACAAGGCGTCGGCCAGAAAGAGCTGGTACACCCAGGCCGACGAGACTTGCCTCATTCCGCGGGCTGGCACCGGGCCGGCGACGGCTTGTGGGCTGCGTGCGCCAGTGAGCTTGTTGAGTCCTGGAGCTTGTTGGTTTGTTGGCTTGTCGTCGCCTTGTCCATCTTGTCGGCCGACGCCGAGACCTTGGCAACGGCCCCCCTGCTGAGCCCCTGGCATACCAAGAAACGCCACTATCCGATCGCCGGCCAGGTTTTGTGTGTACCCTGGCTCTGCTGGCTTCAAGCAGCTTGTGGGCAGCACATCGCAAATGCGCACTTGGTGTTGAGTCCTTTGAGCGTTTCCGTTTGGATCGTTGGTTGGGCTGTTTGGAGTGACAAAGACGCTCTGAGGCGTCAATCTCGAGGCCATTGGCGGAACGGGCACCCTCAACGTTCAATTGCTGACGGGGGGCGTTGCAGAGTGGCTGGAACTAGCGGACGCCCGCTGATAACTGAGTGGGTCTGAAACAAGAAACTGTCGCGTGCTGAGGTTTTAGTTATCGTGATGACACCATCCTTTATCACCCAAAAGTAGACACGGAAATCGCTGCGCCTTTGTTTCGAGAAAAGTGAACGCACAACGACACCCACCATGATGGCATTCAATTGCGCTAACGTTTCCTGCTTTGAGCGACCTGCTGGTATTCGTTTCGAGGGAGAACAGGGACAAAATCTGGAGAACCCCACGCTAATTAGCGATATGGCGTGGAGCACTGCGGGGATTTCGGCGTTTCTTTAACGAATCTTCGTATCGTGACGCGGGCCCGCTGCGTCGGCCTCAGCAACCACGACAACGCGATCGGGGCAGAACGAGAGGGATTCAAGCGCTGAAGTTCCTCAAGCTTGTTTTCGAAATGCTTTGCTTCAAGGGGCCTAATAGGGCTCTCGGGCCGGGGCACGTGCTAACTTACGCTTACTGGGACATGCATTGGTGCACAGTATGGTTCTCTCCTACCATCTGTGCAAGAAGAGGAGCCGACCGACGCAGACAACGCAGAGGGCCAAGACCTGTGTTGCCACAGGGTTGACGACGTGGTGAACGAGTTATCGATTTCCGATCGACCTCTTTTCAACACGATCATCAGGAGCCGGTTCGGCCTGGATATTGCGGCATATTTGGTCATTCCTCGAACGCCTTGGCGACGGATCCAGTTTCGGCGGCGAGTCGGGAGAGAACGATGCGCCGCCCCGACAGGTCTTGCAGGATGGGAATGTACCCTCAAAGAACGTCAAAGATGCAAAAGTCGATAAAAAACATAGCCATAAGAGTCACGTAAATCCGAAGTGCTTGATGAAGGTACGGAGTACTCCCGGGCATTGTCTGACGTTTTAGCAACCATGTAGGTTCCGTACCTGGGACTTGCCATGAATGTTGACGGCGCTTGCCCAAAATGCCCGCCGTTCTTGGGCTTGGCCAATCATCTGGCCCTGCAATTGGACGACCATCGCTCTTCTCTCGGTCTCTCGGCGCTGGGTGGGGGCGGGTCATCCCACCTTCCTGCCTCGAGGCTGCGCCGGTGAGTGTACCGTGTACTTCGGGCATACCTGCCAAAAGCTCCAACATCCGGCGGTGTGGTTTCGCTGTCCTAGAGCCGGATCGTGTTTTAGGACGGGAAAACCTGAATTGCGACATCCAAGACACTCTAGAAGGAGGAAGAAAAGGGTATTTTGGAGCGGCAATGGCGGATCGGAAGGGGCTCGGACATTTCTTCTACACGTGTAGGTGTGTCGTCCAAGTAAGCGTCTGGTTTCTCGCCATCCAGGTCCCGCCCTGGCAGGGCAGTGCTTGGCTCAAGACGTCCCTGCGAGTAAGGCCCCTATCTCAGCAGCCATGACCCTTCCACGCTGCTGGAGTGGCCAAAACATGGTTGATTCTGGCAGTTCCACTGGCCTTGCGGTGGAGCAGTGTTGGTTGCAAAGGGTGCAAAGCTGGGATGGCAGGAGGCTTGGGCCTTGGGGCGGGTCTGGGCGCTCGGCCTTTGGTCGGCGGTCGCTGTGCCTTGGGTGGGCCTCGGCGCCCCGCGATCACAATCTTGTGCCCGCAAACGTTCATCTGTTGGAAAGAAGTACCTGCGACTTGCCCGACTTTTCCTGGCGAGGCAGGCATACCTAAGCTCGAAAGGGCAAGTTCTGCAGCTGCAGCGAAGTTGCTGTTGCATGCATTTGCCGAATTTCGTACCTCCCACCATTTCTCCGCACGAATTACCTGGAGTGCCCCGCCCTCGATACAAGTACAGACACCGAGAGGGAACTGCGGGTTGCTGGGCGTTGCCATTGTGAGAGACCTTTTTTTGATCCATCCGACTCACGCTAAAACGCGAACATTGAGACGGTTCCCCCCACCCACCACGGAATCCCGCAAACCCTTGGGGAAACCCTCCAACTTTGAAGCGGCTCATCCCAGCCGCCGAACCCATTCTCTTGCAGGAGGCGAAAAAGGGAGTGCGACCCTTCTCCATTCCCCCACAGATTCCCACCATCTCGGTTCTCGAAATGCCGTTATAATACTCGCCAGGGGGCGCTCACTTTTTCCCTCGCTCCCTTTTCCTCCCCTTCGAGATCCCTCTCCCATCGCCAAGAACTTCTGAGCCAACCGGCAACCGAAAGCGTAGATCTTGGCCTCCTTTTGTGCCCTCGCCATTACGCCACGCCTGTTCCTCGGGGCTACACAAATCTCGCCCTGAGCGGAAGACAGCCTTGGCACCGAGCCATTTGTCGTCTCCCAAGACCACGCCCAGAAGACGATCCAGAGTGACGCAGCAAGGAGCGACAGCAGCACTTGCGCGGCCCCGCCTACATATATAAACCTCTCCCGGCCCCAGTTTTTCTTCGGTGGTGTTTACTTGGTCAGCAAGCATACCAGCAGCCTTTCTGTTTCTCCTTTTCGGTCTCGTCCTGGGTTAGATACCAATCACCTGGAGGCAGCTTTCGACGTTGGAGAAGCATTGGAGGAACCAGAAGCGTGGTGTGCGCCTTGCAGTAAGCGAAGGCGGCGTGCAACAAACCACGCCTCAAGCAGCTCACCCGGGCGTTCCCCGAGGCGCCTAAACCGGCTTCCCGAAGCGCCGAGTCGCCCCAGCTGGCCCGCCCCAAATCCAGTTTCGGCCGCCTTTGAAAAGCGGTCCCTTGCGCAGACGCCCAGTGGCATTCAGGGCCCTGACGTTTTTCCTTGTCCCAGGGGACCAAGGTCCTCTTTTCCTATCCCCCCCCCCCGGAAGGCTGCCGTCTGACGGCATTGCTCCCAAAAATGGCGGTTTCGCTGCTTGCTACACCGGCGCAGCCGTCTTCAATAGGTATTTACACCCCCGTCTTCAGTCCGAGCTGCGCGCGTTTTTCGCTCTTCACTCTCCCGCTGCTCTTTTCTGCTAGGAAACAAAGTAGCCAATTTGACACTTTTGAATTCTAGACGCGTGTGACCCCAACTCTCACAACACAAGCTCGTCCTCTTCGCCTCGGCAATATCCCACCGAGCTGACGGATCCCATCCCGGAAGAATGCGATGAGACCGATAGTGAAGCAGTAAACGAACCCGTCACCCCCGTGAGCGGCCGTCAGTCGCAAGATTTCCAGACCCTCGCGAACCCAGACGGCCACCTGGACGCGGCCCACGAACAACTTGCCTCCGATCAGGTCGCCGGCGCCTTTCCATCCGTTCGGCAGCCCGCCGCACTCAGCTCGAAGCCGCCCCTTGTCGTTGACACCTCGGCTACCACCCCACCAAGGGCACCCAGAAGCCCCCAGGAAACACCCCGGGCGGCTGGTCCCACGACGCCCACACCCGGAACCCCTTCGCTCGACCTAGAACCCACTGGTGCGCTTTCTTCAAGACGTTCGACATTCGGCTCATCTTCAAATTTCAGACGCACCATGTCTAGTTTTTTAAAACGTGTCGGGTCGCAGTCTGACAAGGCGACAGTTGGTGCCGACTCTGCCACCGCATCGACTTTACAATTGCCAGAGCCCGCTCACCGAAAGATGCCAAACCGCCGGTGGTCAATGAACAGGAGCTCGGCTACTACCCGCTCCAACTCACCACCGTCGCCGAGCTCACCGCTCGAGATAGCCGTTAAGTCAAGGGAGGACGCATCACAACCAACAATACCGGGATCAGACGCCTTCTTCAAGAAAAAATCGCGTACATCGACTGGCTTTACATTGCGTTCTCGCCCAGTCGTGGGGAAAGAGACATCCTCGAGACAGGAGCTCCAGCTCAGGCGACGCGCCAGCAGTTTTGATTATACCAAGCAGGAGCCGGCCGCGGACGGCGACTCGGAGAAGGCCATTCAGATGGAGAGATCTCTCTGGGGGCTCCCCGCCGAGACGGGAACTGGCGTGAAGGCTCGCCGCATGAGCCTCAGCTTACCCGACGATTTTACCGTGGATGTCATCGAGCTCGCGTCGGAATTCGAGTACCAGCACAAGCTACTGGGCCGGCACCGCAAACACTTGGGTAAGGGCGCGACCTCCAAAGTGACATTGATGGTGGCCAAAACCGGCGGCGAGCTATTCGCCGTCAAGGAGTTCCGGGGCAAGTCGTCGAGCGAGACGCGTGAAGAGTACGAGAAGAAGATCAAGTCCGAATATACGCTCGCAAAGAGCTTGCACCACCCCAACATCGTCGAGACGATACGGCTTTGCATCGATCGCGGGCGTTGGAACCATGTCATGGAATACTGTGAGGACGGCGATCTGTTCAACCTGGTCAACAAGAAGTACCTCAAGACCGAAGACAGGGAAAAAGACCGGCTCTGCCTCTTCAAGCAGCTGGTGACAGGTATCCACTACCTTCACTCGAATGGCATCGCCCATCGCGACATCAAGCTCGAAAACCTGCTCATCACAAAGGATTCGAGGCTCAAGATCACCGACTTTGGCGTCTCAGAGGTCTTTTCGGGCATCCACCCGGGACTAAGGGAAGCTGGCGGCCAGTGCGGGATAAACATGGGTGAGGTGCGGAGTTGCGCCCCGGGCATCTGTGGCAGCATGCCTTATATCTCGCCAGAGGTCCTTCAAAAGAAGGGCAACTATGACCCGCGGGGCCTGGATGTCTGGAGCTCGGCCATCGTCATGGTCAACCTCATCTTCGGCGGGCCCTTGTGGCACAAGGCCGAGCTCTCGCCGAATGCTTCGCCGCGGGAAACCTACACCAGTCTTGTGCGTGGCTGGGAGAAGTGGACGGATAAGCACACTGATGCTACCGACACCGTCATCACTGACATGGATTATCCGCACGTGTTCTTTTTCGACACGTTCGTGAAGCCACCGGCTCTGAGGCGCGTCCTCCTCCAGATGCTTAACCCGGATCCGGAGAAGCGGATCTCGATAGCGAACGTGATCAGTAACCGATGGGTGAAGAACATTGAGTGTTGCCAACCCGAAAGCTACGACGAACCAAACGCGGCGCACATGATCGATGCCTCCAAGAAGCCTGGCCAAAACCGCGCGAGTGGCAAGAAGATCTACTGCCATAACCACCTTCCTCCTGTCGCGCACAACAGCCACTCGCTCGGAAAAATGCCCGGCAGCGCTGGCTATTGACGTGGACTTGTATCGTGGCCAGTGAGCCGAAGAAGGACGTGGCCTTTTCTTTGCTTTTGTTAAAACTTTCAATTCCCTGGTTTTTTTTGTTTTTTTTTTCCACATGGGGTTCGGGGACAGCCCTGCAAAACATACACGGCGTTACGGGGCTTAGGGGGTGCATCATCGAGAGCACATCATTGGGCGGGTTTCTCTTATTTTTTTTTCTTTAGTTTTTTCCCATGGGACTTCTGCAGGCAAAGGCGAGATAGATTTGTTGACACGGCCTCGTTTTGCAAAGCTCTGTTTCTTTTTGTTTTGCCTTCTTGCCTCACGCTGTCATGCCCGTGGTCGGGATGTCGGCACTAGCCCCAGGCTAGTCTCTTAATAATGATAAGAGGAGGATATCGAATCGGTAGCAACACGCCGCCGGGTACATATGTTTGAGTGTTGTTACATAGATGGCGCCGTCGCGCGTTGCGTCATGTACACAGGTTTCTGGTCGCAGGGGGCAAGGAGGAAATACAGGTGCGATGATGAGGTTGAGCATAGTCCTCTTCTCTGATCTCCTATTACTTCCTCCTCGGCAAAACTGGTCTCTCAGAGGCAGTAAAAAAAATGGCATTCAGTCAGCCCCGTTTTGGCTCTCACGAAAGCTGTCTGACAAGTGTGGTTGGTTTTGATCTAACTCGCCGTCTCCCCGCGAGCTGCAGCAAGGTGGGATGGTCCCGGTCCATGGGCCCCATGAAACCAAGCAGCTTGCCACACAATTGGACCGCCTCGCCGCCTCCCCTAAGCAGAGTTCCCCGCCGTCGGTGTGTTCAACCGAGCTGAGCCGAGTCAGCTCACCGTCCGATCGACATGCTCAGGGGCCAAAACCAGCTGATCCCGAGTTTGGCCCTGGGCGGTCAGCAAAAGAGGGCGGCGTGCCCGCAATCCATCCTCATTCCCTTAGCAAGTGGACAAATGATGTTGCGTTGTGAGTTTGACGCTACTGTGTAACGAGACTGACCAACTGATGGGAATTACGAGAGCGCGGGATTGGATGAGTTCACGAGGGCAGGATGACGGACGGATTTGCTTTCGTGCAGCATGCCCTGCCGGGAAAAAGTCATCCTCACCGACAGGTCAACGTTACTGAAAGGGGAAGGGGATGCCCTAAGTGGCTTGGAAGGTTTCTCCAGGTTCCCCAGACTTTCTTTTCTGGTGTCCCACCGCATCAAGATTCAGAAGGCGGCGAGAACCGAAACCCCCCCCCCCCCCCCACGCCACGCCGTCTGCACGACATTGTCTTTTGGCGAACAAGCCCCTCCTGCCCCGCTATCCTGTTTGGCTGGTTGGGGGAAAAGAGATAACTCGTTAGTCAGAAAGAGGGCTGGTGATGTGCGCTTTGCTCGCTCATGTGGCGCCACGCTGCTAGCAAAGCTGCACTGCATCGAGAGTTTTTACCTAAGCTTGCCTAAGATTCCGAGCACCGAGCATCGTCCGTCTCGTCACGGGGACGCACGCGTCTAGGCAAACCCAGCATCATTCTTTCCCCTCGCACGCAGTTATTTTCCATCTCCGCGGGAATATCGGGACGGATTCGCCGGCCGGCTACCCCCTCCTGGGCTCGCTCGGTTGGCCGGCTGGTCTGAATTCTTTTTAGCTTCTTCCTTCCTCGTAAAGTTGTTGGAGGCGGTGGTGGGGAGTGTGGCAGGCGTCATTTCTTGTTTTCTTGTCAGCTGCTTGGCGGTTTCGTCGGTTATTTAGCGGGCACGACACACTGGGGGGTTGGTTGGATGGTGGGTTGCTATTTTGGCCTTGATTGATCGGACCGGCTTCCTCGATTTGGACGAGCTGCTTGCTTGACATCGGGGAGGGAAGGATTGTGGAGAGAGAGTCGGGTGAGATCGGTATACACAGTAGGGGTCTGCTTGTTTTGCTGATCATGCTGCTTCGCTCCTCCGTGTCATCCCGTTCATTTCCTTCCATTGTCACAAGAACCACGACCCACGGGGTGGTCGGTTGGCTCATCTAGGACGAATTGAGGATTGTCGGCCGTGTTCCTACCCTCTTTCTTTTCCTTCCATCCGTCAGCCAAGACGCCCAGAGCCTGGGCGCAGCCGGATGGAAGGTCTCGAAGGCCGGGGCTTGATTGCCACCCTGTTCCATTGGGATTTAGATATTGGTGAGCGGTAGATCGAAGGACCATCTTGCAGGAGCGTAACGATGCCGTTTCTCGACTTCGTGCTTCCGGGCATCATTGCATCAGAGAAACACGGCGACCCCGGAGTCTGGGACGGCGATTGCACAACAGCCCATCCAGCGCCCAGGTTTTTGGGAACCCCCCCCGTCTGACCAACTTTCTCTGTGCTCAGCTCAGGCAGCGCTGCAACTCATTCATCGGACCCCTCCCATTCATCGGACCCCTCCCATTCACTCGGACCTCGATCGTTTGCTCGTCTCTTCCCGCTGAGGGGTGCCGGCTAAAAGTCTTGACAAGTTGAACGCACCAAGCATTGGCCAGCTGCAAGACGGCGGAATCGATGAGACGCACTCTGCATTACGTGGGGGTCACCCAACTCGGCGTCCCCATCCCATGAGACGCGGGGGATGGATGGGGTGGATGGGTCCAGTTCGCTTTTGCATTCAGCCCAGTGCCGACATGTGTTACGAGGATTCGATGGCCCCAGTCTTTTGACCTGGAAAGGAAATGTAGATGATACAACGAAGTCCCCTACCCATGACACAATATCTCCGGGTGTTCGCAGCAGTTCACCCCCTTCCGTACGTTGTGTTACCCAGCAGCGGGAACTGGGTGACGGCGGTGGTGATGGTGATGCATGACGCACCCTCGGTTCTTGAAAGAGGAAATGCTCGGCAACAAATCCAACCCGGGGTGGCCGACATGTTTGTATATGTACATACATACATGCACTAATACACATACACTACAAACTCGGCCTCGAAGGATGCTACCATTCCCAAATTCTTACCTGACAACACATGGACATCCCGCCATCCACGAGCCCGATCTAACCCGAGTAAACTTGCCCAAAGCCACTCGTAACGCCCAAACTCAAACTAGACCAGAGGCATTGACACGTTCTCTTGGCCTGCCCGCCGAGCACTGCCAAGATAGACTGCTTGAGTGTTCACAGGTAGCATCCTTCCTGCATGTCTGCTCCTGTGCAACCCTTCCAGAACACAGAACAAGACCACGGTTCTGGCCCATGGCCATGCCGACACTATGAGTGATCGTGGCGGTGGCGGTCTCGGCCCTCACTCAGCCCAAGAATGGGCCCGCATATTATGTAGAAGACGCAGATGAGCTGCGTATCCCAAAACGCTGATGGTAGCGGCTGACACCTGCGTTTTCTCCTCTCACCGGGTAGAACGTTGTGATGCTGGAGTTGATAGAGATGGTCTGATCAGGTTTGCTTGTTCATGAGCGGCCACCAAGTGTTTGGCTACTTCTCTCGGACATGCATGCTTAAACATGGACATATTCAGTGTATCTGGGTCATCCTAGGAAGTCGGTGCTTCTAGAACAGGTTGTTGTCTGGCCTTCCCCTCCAAGCAACGCGATATGTAGCGGCCGGTCTGCTGAGTTGATGGCCCGGGGGCCGATAACTATCCAACTTGTGCCCCCCGACTGGATTCGACAATTCGATAGAGGGTGACAGTGCCGAGCAACTACATGGAAGCTGATAATGTGTTTCATACACCGCCTAAACATGCCGTTAAGAAGACAACAGGGGTTTTGATTAAACATCAACTTCCCCAGATCCATTTCCTTTAACTCGGGATACAGTTAAGCTAATTCTCTGGGCACCGAGGCCCAGGGGACGGCGTTCACGGCCAGGGACCAAGGGCTAGGATGCTTGCAAATACCTACGTAGCTACATCTACGGTGTGTTGCATAGCATATCGTGGCACCTTCTCATTACCCCGTGTACCGACGTCGGCAGCAGCAAAGCTAAGGACCCCTTAACAAGACGCAGCGCAAAACCACTGACAAGGGACATGATCTGGAATACTTCTTTTCATCTTGTCTTGTGTGTGTTCGCCAAATCCGGCGGTGTTCGTTGCTCCGCAGCTCCAGACTAAAATCTTCATGAATCTACCTACCGACCAAGGGGGAATAGGGGTAAATGACCAGATACCGTGGGGGAAAAAGCAAAACCAGCAAAACAGATACCCGTCCGGAGCCGTGATAAACATTAACGCGCCCGTGAAAATCGGCGGCATCCCCATCATGACCCAGACAGGTTTCCAGAGAGGACCCATGCCCGACACTGCCGCCGACCCACCGCCCGGGCACCCGCCCTGTGTTCTCCATGTCATAAACGGTCGTTGGAAACTTTGCATCTCATTATACCTCGTGGTAATGCGATTGCGACTCGGGCAAGGGGCGGCAGGGTCGGGTCCGCGCTGGCACCATTCTTCGCAAAAGCCGCCTTGACCGTCGGGGATAGCTGTGTGTTGAGTGAAAAGGAGCTGAGGCGGGTGTTCTAATCGGTCGCCACCGGGCGCTGTGGTATGACTGAGCCTACATCGAACGCCCACGCCTCTAGCTCGTGCCGTTCGCTGGCCCACGCACCCGGTTCATCGGGAAAGGGCTCTGCAAACCCATCATCTCTTGCGTATCCGCCCTCCGGCAAACCTCCAGAAGAGCGTTCTGGTCGTTGGGAGAGAGGTGGGTCATCAGGCCAGCGCAGAACTGAGGCTGTTCTTCTTGCAATTCTGTAGACGGTATTAGCGGGGCTGCTTCCATAATATAACGGACGCCACTTACTCTTGAACGAATCCCTGAAGGCGAGGTAAGGATCGATCCGGTCGAGTGGTGATTCCAGCAGTACACTATCCTCGCCGAGTTCATCGTCCGACTCTTCAAGCTCTGTTGCCTTGAGCTTCTGTGCCTGGTTACGGTGCGTGTCAGCAAGCTTCTGAAACTGAGGTATTCGTGAGTGCCAGGCGAGCCAGATGTGACACGGGTGATGTCCATTGGCATACTTACCTCCTCATTTAGGAACTCCAGGTAGGCTGTGCTTTCATCTTTGCCCTCGGCGGTGGGCTGCTCCTGTTCGTTCTCGGCCCCGTTCCAGTTCGCCTCCTCATCATCCCACTCATCGTCGCTCTCGTCATAGCCATAGGTCCCACTCTCAAACTGGAAATCATCCTTCAGGGCCTCCTCGCGGTCTTGGACATCGTTAGTTAAATTCGGCCCATAAACTTGCTGGGGCTTCCACTCACTGGACATTGCCTCGGGAAGAGTATCGAAAAGAATTTTGATGCCCTACCAAACTGTCAGCTAACATGTTCGTTGAGCGCACAAATTGGGAATCTAGAACCAACCTGTAGGAGTCTCGGCCAGCCAACCATGATGCTGGGCGGGATTTGCTCGGACTTGACGTTCAGGAGTGCAATGATGGCCAGGATGCAAAGCTGTTTGTCGTGCACCCGGGTGAACGACGTCATGCTTCCGAACCAAAGACTGAAGAACTTGTTCGTCCAGCCCTGGGCCTCGAGGATTTGCAGTGCGAGGATGGGGTCGTAGTAAATGCCATTGATGACCATCTCCATCAAGTGAACCTTATAGGACTTGAGCTTAACGTCTTGGCTAACGAGCACGCCCATCGCCATGTTAATGAAACCGTGGACGGCATTGTTGATATGCCCGCGGAGACTCAGCATCATGGCTTCGGCGAGCTTGCAGGCGCATATGCGATCGACACCCCCAACCTTGCCATCTGTGAACATGTCCGAGACCATGCCAAACAGAGCCTCAACATACTCGGGCTTTTCAACGAGCTGCGGGGCACCATATTGGACGAAATTGTCCAAGGCGGGGAGCATATCCTCAAGATACAGCTCGGCACCGGACTTGAAGGTTGTGTGGACAAGCTCGAATGCCTTCCACATGGTCGGGGAGATCTGCTTGGCGGCAAATGTGCAGCTGTCAATGATTTCGAACACCTCGTTGTACAGGTCTGGAACTCGTGTGTTAGCAGTAATTAAGAGAGTAGCCAGGGGAAAGGAAAGCTTACCATAGAGCTTGTTTTCTAGCGTGATCTCAATCACAGGCATCAAAACGCTCTCAATATGGAGGAGTATATCCGGGGTGCTCTCAAGGGTGAGGATCAGAGTACCAATGGTTTGAAGCACTCCCAGCGCGGTGATGCTCTTGTCATCGAGGTAGTCGCCAAACTCATTGTCCATGTCGTCCCGCTTCTCACTGTTCTCCAGCAGCTCTCGAACGATGCGAAGATAAGTGTCGCGGAGCTGCTCGCTAAGGGCCACGGCAAAAGGAGTGAGCTCGGCGGCGAAAACCTCAACGAAGTCCTCCATAACGTTAGCAAGGGCATCGATATCGGCCTCGTTGGCCAACTTCAGAAGTTGCTGCATGATGGTCGGAATGCTCGTCTGCATGCTCGTCCGGATTATGTCGTGCCGAATCAACGGTTGGAGCGCCAGAGCCGCAGTCACACGAACCGGGAGTTTCGGGTCGGCCATGCGATCCAGGATATGGCGGTAGATGGAAAGGAGGTTGTTCTGGTCCTTGAAATCCAGCTGCTCGAACTTCTCGATAGTGTCACAAGCCCGGGCCCGGAGGAAGCCCTGCTCGCTGGTAAAATCCGGGAAAACGTAGCGGACAATGAAGTATTCCACCTGAGCTGCAATCGGCGACTTCTTGCCGAGAATGACCGGCGCAAGAGTCCCGATCATGCGCAGGGCACCCTCCTTGGCGATGTGGTTCTTGCTTCCCTCCGGGGCCTGCTCGTACTGGTTCACTACCTCGTTGATGAAAGTGAGGAGCTCGAAGGTCTGTTTCCTCCGCGCCTTGGTCAGTGTGACCAAGAAGTTGGTGGCCGAAACGTCCGGCGCGGTAACTTCCTCGAAATAATTCAACCTCCGGTGAAGATACTCCTCGGGCTCGTCCTCGAACTTCTCGATGTCATCCTCCGTTAGGCAGAGGACCGGGAAGATAAAGTGGGTGACCAGGTTAGTTAGGTGAGGCTTCAGGTGTCCCCACATATCCTTGGGGCGAATACACTCGTCCATGAATACAATAGTGTAGGAGAGGCAGGGTCGGCTGAGCCAGATGGTTTTGGAAACCCACTTCTCAATCTCCTGGAGGTAGTGTTTGAGGATCTCGGGTGCGACCTGAGCGGAGAATTCTTTGATGAACCGCGTGGGAGGTTCAACTGACCTATCCAGGACTGCTTGCATGTTGCCATGTCTACGTCTGCGTTAGCCATTGTTGGACCGCTCAAAGGTGGGGGGGGGGTTCGGTTTGGGGGTTGTCCCTACCGGATGTACAGGCGGTTCAGGTTAAAGTACGCCCACTTCTTCGCCTTCCACCAATGGTGACGCTCCCGCTCGAGAGGGTCGCCCTGCATGGCGGAGGCCGGGATGGCCTTAGAGACGGTCTGAAGGAAGACAGTGCACCAACCGAGGTTAACGGTGCTCTGGCGGAGGAACTCGCAGAGCTCTAGCTGTGGGTCATTATTAACTTGTTTGTTCGGAGTGGTCTCATGCTCTCCGGATAAAACCTACCCAAGTGGCGTGCTTGTAGCACTTGAGTGCGATGTGTAGCATCTCACCCGCCTCATCGCCCTCCTGGTTCACCAACTCGTTGCATATTACCAGCAACCTGGGGAAGCTCGCCTCGATGATCTTATCAAAGTGAGCCCTGCTGTCGCTGTCGCTCGCTTTGAAGCGGTAGGCCCGGCAGACGGCGAGAAGACACTGGAGCCCAGCCAGGACCGAACGCGGGTCGTTGGTGTTGAGGAGCTGTAGGGCATAATCCATGAACGACGGCCATCTCTCGGGGAAGTCGAAGTGCAGGATGCGCTGCAGAATTGGGACGAGCTGATGCCGCACCAGGTTCTGAGAGCTCGCGAGGATGGGCAGCAGCCGATCCCTGAAGCGCGCCTTCTCGTCATCGGGTATCACTGTCTCGTTCGGGTAGTAGTCGGAGCGCTCCCACGCACGGTTAACGCGGTTCTTGAGGTAGATAACAGCTACATGGCACGAAGTGTTAGCATGACAACATGCAGTCGAACAACGGAGTCGATATCCACGTGGGGGGCGGAAAGGGGAGGGCAGGGGAGGGGAGGGGAGGAAGGGGAGGGGGCCGGGAACGAGGTTGAGGAAGGCGGGCGTACTGGGCAGTTGAAGGTTGATAGCCTGCTCGGACTGGACAAGATCCAACAGGACATCTGTGAAACCAGGCTGGCTCTCGGCCTATGGAAGACGGAAAGGTTAGCATCGATACGCAGTAGCGAACACCGCCGATGGCGTGTCGGCGTGCGGCCTGGATGTGGTGGTGCTTGGTGCTGGTGCTGGTGGCTCGAGGGCACGGGATGTGTGTCGACGGCGCGAACGCACATCCCGCCCACACCACCATGAATGACCAACAACAACAAAACAGCAACAGCGGCAGCAACGGCCACCCATACAAACGCACCTGCTTCAGCTGAAGCTCAGCCCTCCGGCGGCCGTCGGCATCAACGTCGAGCGTCGCAGCGATGCAACTTCGAATGGCGGTGGCATCCATTGTGGGCAAGCTGTCGGGCCAACTATCGCATCAAAGGCGCTTCGCAGGGACGGCGGGTTTGAATGGGAGAAATGGCTGGAAGCCAGAAGGGTAGGTGGTGGTTGTCGAGGGGCCTGGGTCCAGAAAAAATTTGGGCCAAAATCTGGTTGCAAAGCAGGCCGGCAAGGGCCCCGAAATGGCGGGGCAGAGTGACCTGGGAGTGTGTGGGTGTGGGTTCGGGCAGGAGGGAAAGCTCACGGTGTCTTGCCGCAGGCGCCGTCAGTGCATGGAACCAACCGCCAATGGCGCATGAGCCCTGTGTGCAGCGGCCTCAGGCTTAAATAGAGTTTAAGGTGGGAGGACGAATGAAGGTTACCTACTTCCAAAATGCGTCATCGTTTAGGTCGCTTTTGTGCTCGTTCGTTTGAGGCAGTCAGTTTGATATGTGATTCCTCGAGCCTCACCTAGCTATCTACGATCTCTCGGACTTTGGTCTACAAAAACGCCAGTTCTTACAAGCCTATCCATCCGTTGTTTACGCCAACGAGCAACTAACTAAGGCACCTACCCAGGTAACTACACAGTATGGAAGCAAGTCAGGCTCCCCTCAGGAGGTTAGGTGTCCGGACGGGCCTCATGCATGATGAAAAGGCATCAAAAGGCGAAGAAATCATGAAGAGTCGAGCTGCCGTGTAGTGACGGTCTCACCCTCTTGTGTATTTAACCTAGACCTTCCCTTTTTTCTCCAGGATTCCACGGCTGAGCAACCGACGGTGGATTTCCATCCCTCGTTAGTGATTCTCCCAAATGGGCTGAGCGCCCACCCGCCTTAGTCCCATCCCGCTCACCGCCTTTGTGGCATGGGAATTAGGTTGCCCTCTGGGAACCCCTCGGGCCCCTCCTCCGCTCCTGAAACCTGCCCCACCACTCCTCCATGGTTGGCCGCTGTGGACTGTGCCAGGGCTTTGCAGCACGCACATTCCTTTTGGAGCCGCCCAATTCGATGTTGTGGCTGAACCTGAGGTGTCGAATAACTAGCCCCGGGAATATTTGGCAGATATTCAAGTAGACTTATGCTACGAATGGTCGGTCGGCGATCAGAATGATCTACCTGGGGCAGTGATGGCTGCCGAAATCGAACTTTCTCTTCCACGGGCAGCCACAGAAATCCAGCCCACCCAGCCCACCTTCATCCTCTCCATTGAGGGAGCAAGGGAGGCATAAGCTCAGGCGCTAGGAGATCCCCGCGACATGGCCCTCTCGTTTTTTACCCCACTATTGCCGCCCAACTTTGCTTCAATTTTTGTCATCTCGACAGCAAACAACCTGTGGATAATAACGGTGGCGAACAAAAAGCACTCGATTTGTTCAGCATGTTATTGACTGCCCTCGTCTCTATGTACGTACAATAGCGGATAGACCTTTTAGGGGTTATCTGGCCTCATCTGGACCTGTGTTGAATATCTTCACGCCTGCGTGTCATGACCCCTCCATTTTGGCGTCAAATCTCCACTTTCAGCCCAAGCAAAGTTTGGCAGATCACCCGAACTGGAGAGTGGAATATGTACCTCTCACAGGGCAAAGAGAACCTGATGGCTCCGAGCCTGATGACGAAGTTTGACGCAGTTCAACATAGCACAAGTGTACATGGGGCAGAATAAGAGGACGGATGGAGCGTGATGACGATGAAGTTCACAACAAAGGGCCAGTCCGCTGGTTGCCACGGTCCAAAACTTACTGAAGCATTGGTTGAGAATGCGTGCTTAAAACAAAAACAAACACCAATATATCACCCACCGCGCCAGCCAAGCAAAGAAAAGCAAGCCAAGAAGACACAAGAGCCGCCCAGACCAGAAAGATCCCACTGTCATTCCCAAATGAAGTCACACACAACATTAACTCCCATACTCTTCTTCTACACCATAGAAGAGCACACTCGAAGCGAAAAGATAAACCCAGGAACAACTTGAGGCACCACGCCCTTGGGGCATCCCATCTTGACTTTTCTCCCGTACGATATACGTAATCCCGGCCAACTTACAACAAGAGTAACAATGAAATCCACTGGTACTAGATGGAACCAAGATTGGACCAACACAAATAGATGTCCAAACGTTAAACATATCTCGACTGAATACTGTAGTGATAGTCAGCATGATAAATTCCAAACTAACTGCAACCCGGAACCGTCATGGCAGCATCTAGTTTCCGGCGTCCGTAAAAGAGGTGGGAAAACAACTAACAAATGACAAAACGCCGCACGTTTGCAAAGGTGTACCAGCGGCACGTTCGGTATCCAAGCAAAGCGAGATCCACGGGCATAATCCTCCGGAAGTGACTGAAAAAAGGAATCGCAGCTCCATGCCGTTGCCGAGCGTCCGTGGTCTTCGTAAGGGAGAAAGATACGTCCATGGGTTGAGGTGTTGTTGATTTTCATTAATTTCCGGATGAGGCATTCCCTTTGCCTGGTGATTCGAGCACAATCGACTATCCGCGACAGAAATTCAAGATGTGGTGGTTTTTCCTCTTGGCCGAGTTAAAAGACGCGATCAAAAACTGACCATGTGATGTGAAAGCAAAGGTCGACGGCATACTCCTGGAATCAAGCTGGGCCGAGAGTACCAGCACGGGCGATCCATGTCCGAAAAGTAAGCAAGGAAAAGCAAAGCCGGGCGCTGAAGCGCAGATGCGAGCGGGACAAGCCTGTCCGAAAATATGGTCCAGTGTCGGGGGAGCAATGTCGCTCGACCTTACCGTGTTTTCTCAGCCTTGTTGGCGAATCAAACATTTATAACAGCAGCGACTAGAATGTAAAAACAACACAGTCTGGCTGCGAGCCGTGATATCCTGCATCCCAAACTCTCGGTCGAGAGTAGGGAGCAAGAATGGCCAGGCGGTGCTGGCCATCAGTCCAAGGTCGAGGGCAGGGTTGCTGAGCCGAGCTCATTCCAGAAACATCGGCTGTAAAAGTCCATGGGTTGCAGTCCAGAACAGGCCTCAGAGCAGGTCCATTAGTCCAGATGGAAACCAATAAAAAGCCATGTCCAGCGGCTTGCATGGATGTTTTCCGTGGTGGTGTCCCGTGTGTAAGGTTCATATGAGCTAATTAGCCTGCGGTGTGTCAGTGGTCCCAACTCATGAGTAAGATTGAAATGGCCTTGAATGAGAGAGAATGATGTAGCGTATTGCGATCCGAGGGGTTCAACTCGATATGTACAACCTCGCCAGATGTTCACTCACCCTGCTGTCCGGCGGTGGCCTTGGCCTGCGATGAGTTTGGTGGGCTCGTGGCTGGAAACCAAGATATGAGAGGCGGGTAAGGCATCAGATGAACCAGATGCAGATCCATGGTGACAAGGCATTCCTGGGAGGGTTCCGGACAGCAAGGAGAGGGACCATCCGGGGCAGATAGAAAGAGCCATAAATCACGTCGCCGCTCCATGCCTCGTGCAATGGAATCCCAATGGTATCATGCACCTCTCATACACCGCCTCCGCGGCAAAAACTTCATTAGCGAAATGTCATGCGTCGTTCGCTCCCATCCTTGATGCCCGTCGTCCAGAAGCCCTGTTCCCATAAGTGCCGGCAAGGGTGAAATGGAATGTCCGTTTGATGTGGGTTTCATGGCCAGGTTCAAGATCCAGTGGGATGTGCCGTCAAGAAGTCTGCGAGAGCAGAACGAAGGCCGGAGGGGGGTTTGCGGTCATCACAAGATCCAGAGCTGCAACTTGCAACTCGGAACACCTTGTGGTGATTATCCTGTCCCAGTTTTTGTCCAGGAAATGATGGCATTAACGTCGCAAGTAGCCGAGTCCGAGGGGCGAAAATGGAAAAAGAAAACAAGCGCAAGGGAAAAAAAAAGGCTGCGAATGACCATGTCCAGGGTCAACGTATTAACAAGAAGAGACATCAAAACGTTCATAAGGTCCACGCAGCCGTATGGAAGGTCCGGAGGGGCAAAGGCCTCTAAAGTCCGGTCCTGCGGTTCGTCGGGCAATCAGCGATGGCGATGGCGGTTCCGATCTTCGCGTTCCTGTTCTGAGCGGCGAGGCCTGTGGTCCCTGTGTTCTCGTTCCCTTTCTCTGGGCTCCGAGTCACGGTCACGGCGCGCGGGGGGCGGGACACTACCGGTTGCCATCTGGGCCGGCGCAGCAGTGGTAGGCGTGGTCGCAGACTGCAACGCAGGGTTTTGATGAGCATCGTACTGGGGATCCGTGGGGGCTGGGTAGCCTGGCCGTTGTGTTGTGCCTGCAGGGGAGCCTAAAACATCAGACGAAGCCGCTTCGGGAGGGTTGGTTGTTGCGGTCGCATACGCACCGCGGCCATAGAGAGCATCGGTGGGATAGCCCTGGGGGACAGAATTCGCAGCGGGCGGCGGGTAGGCGTAGGGATCTGTCTCTCCGCCGTAAACAGGCGTACCTGCTGTGGGTGCACTGTAAGTCCTTGAGGGAGCGGCTGAAGCATTGATCATGGCCGGCGGCATCCTGTTAGGCCCGGGAGCGGCATAACCCCCAGCGGTTTGGTAGTTTGACCCATGAACGAAGGCGCCGGCATCCTGGGCGTACGACCCGGCAATGGGTGGCGGAGGAATCCCGGGGTACCGATCGCCAGAGGTTTGGGGCTGGGGGGAGTACTGGGTCGGAGGCGGGTTTGGCGGATATCCGTAGCCCGGTTGGGCTTGATACTGTGCAGCGGCAGCGTGACCCTGGGGCGGGTATGTCGCCGGCGGGTAGTTGGCGGGAGGAGCCCCAGCGTATTGCTGGCCTGAATAAACCGGGGTTGCGCTAGGTCCTGGAGGAGGTGCAAAGTCAACGTCCATGGCAGATGGGTATTGGGCCTCGGCAAATTCCCGTTCCCGCTGCAAGTTCTTCCATGCGTTGTAGTCCTGTCCACGAGGTTGCTCCCGGGAGCCTAGTGGAGAGTTAGAGTTTCTTCTCACAAAAATGCCGTTCGGTTGGCTCGAATGCATTGTACCTCCAGCGCCTCCGCCTGAAGACCTCGACGCGGCGCGCCTCTCCTGCTCCCACCGAGCGGAGTCGGCCTTAAGATCTTGGATCATTGGCTGTATAGGGTTAGAAAAACGCTTCGGTAAAACGCCACCTGTCGCCAGGGTGGTTCAAGTTCGTCAAAGGACTCACTGATGTCAAGTTCCGGTATGCTGTGATGTAGTAACCCTGTGTGACGCGACCGTCTGCCGACTGCAGCGGACATTGTTGTAAGCAATTTGCGGGCGAGGGAGGATGCAACGCGGAAAAGAGGGAAGAGTGCTCGTAGCTCGTACCTCGTACGTGCCAGGGCGCACGAGTGCATCGTTCCCTAGGTATCGGCAAATGTCTGATGTGATAACCTCCCGGTCGATGCCATCGCGAGGCACAAAGTACTCGTTCTGGCGAGCCGAAGCCGGCGGTACGGCCGGCGCTTGCTGGCTCGACCTGTTGTTAGGTCTCCCGGCCATTGCGTGAAGGGGGGGTTTTCCAAGAAGAGACGGCAGCCAAAAGAACAACGAGATGTCAGGATGTCAGGATGTCAAGATCGAGTGCAGGGAGAAATGGCGGAACAATGTTTTGGGACCGGCAGTCGAAGACTCGAGAATAGCAAAGCAGCTAGAACGGTGGAGGAGAAAACTGGCGACGCGGCGGGAACAAGGAAAACAGGAAGAATAATAAGTTGGAAGGGGGTCGAGGGAGGCGGAGGAGCGGAGAAGGCGGGTGGTGTGCTGGAAGAAATGGATGGCGGGGCCCATGAGAGCAACCCGGCGCTTGGGGTTGGGTTGTCAGAGTGGAGCCCATCTGCCTAGCAAAATGTGTAGCACAACCAGTCACTGGCGGTATGCTATGGGCGGTGGGCCCAGTGCTCCCCAGCAGCGTCTCTCGGTTGGGCAGGTCCTCCTAAAACCTGGGCCGTCTTGGAGCAAGGCAAGGCTTGGACGGCAGCATCCAGTTGGCTGAAAGTGTTGCGCACACGTTGCCCCCGTGTCCCGTTACGGGGGAACACATGCAAGCCTTTTTGGGGGGACGGTGGCAATCGGGAAAAAAACTGTACGACTGGTTGAGACCGCAGCGTTGCAGGAGACGGGAGCTGGGAGGAGGGATGGGCACGAGCCCTGGCGTATGGGAAACCAAGAACTGAAAGCCTGCTTGCTCCTCGGGTTGCCTGTTCGCCTGCTCGCCTGCTCGCCAATGGGACAGTTTCCCTTTTGGACCTCAGCCTGGAGAAGTTCTTCCGATACGACGGAGAAGCACCGTTTTGGGGGCACACGCGAGAGGTTGAAAACGCTCCTCCTGTCCATGCACTGTAGTAGGCTAGAAGCTGAGTTCTGCCAGGGCGCCGAGGCGAGACCAGCAGATCCAATCATAGGGGGTGGATCCCCTTTTCCCCTTTCCCAGGGTTTTTGTCTTGCAACCACGAGTGGATGGTCGAGCTGCGGGCTTATTTTCAGGCCGCAGGAGGGAGGCCTAGTGCTGGCGCCGGCCACTGAGCGAGAGGAAACGCTCGGGAAATCAAAAGGACACATAACTACACAAGTAAGGTCTGGCATAACGGACTGTGCTGGCAACCTGCCAGTTGTCTCGTGGGGGGTTCAGGTTTGGGGAAGGTCGGCCGGAGAACGGAAGCGGGGCCTTGGTGTTCCAGCCCGCTCCAGATAACACAAAAGGCCCCGGGCAGTCCGATTCTCTCTTGCCAGTGACTCCCGAGTTAACTAGCGTCGGTCGCCCAAACGGTTTGGGCTGGAAGGACACCGAGAGGCGTGATTGGATCCAGCCTGAACCTGTTTTGGGATTTGTAGGGCTGAATGAATGCGTGTCATTTTTGCCCTCAAAGACCGTCCCCTCCCTTCTTCCCAAGAGACCTCTCATCAACAAGATGGGCTTCGTGGGCTTTGACGGCGCTTACCCGCTGAATTACGCGAGCGAAAATCTACTGCATCAAAAACTGGTGAAACCGCGCACCATCCCTTGACGACCTCGTAAGGAGGGACCGATTGGGCCTACTCAGAAGGCGGTGCATCTCGTCAGGCGACCTGGGCAACCGGTTACGGATTGAAATGCCTGCTTCTTTCGACAGAGTGACCGGTCACCTTTCGTCGCAGTCATCAGACGGCGTCGTTGCGTCGGTTGAGTGAAATCTGCGCAAAGACGCACGCTCTGTAACATCAGAGTGGCCGGACCTGGTGGCGGGTGTGGCAGTTGCCGGGTGTTTGGTGAGGTCGGGTATCAATGCATCTCAAAGCCCAACCTGTGTGTGGGCTCCTTGATCGGCGCTCCAGCCAATCATTGCATAGGGCAGCCCCCAGTTGTTGAACGCAAAAAGGACCACCGAAGCTTGGAATGGTTTTCGCCTCTAAAATCCGCGCCAAAGCGGTGTACTCCAGGCATGGGTAGCCAAACCTCGTGCCTTCGAACTGATATCAAACCTACTTCCGTTATCTGCCGCCGTCAAAGTCCTCAGTGACCGTCAAGCGTCCAAGCGGATGGCCACTCGGAATGCGCCCGGCGAACGGTGAGGATTTGCTTCGCAGAGCAGCCCTGCAAGCGAAGTGATGTCGAGACGCGAGACTCTTCCCACGCGCCTTCCTCCGTCACTCCAGTGGTGATCAGAGCTCAGGTAACCACCGGGGTCTCACATTCCACTGAACGCGAACCGTGCAAATGTTCTTCTTTACTTGAGATTCAGCGTCGCGAACGGCTGCCGTCGGCGGGCCTCGATGACGAGCATCCTCCCGTTGTAGGAGGGCGATGACGAGCATTGCGCCTGACGAAGACCACTCTGGCGGCGTCCGAGTGCCACTGGGACCCTCGATCCCGCGCTTCGCCAAGTCCAATTGCAGCGATGTATTGTATGGTTGCCTCGAAGATGCATGAACCTGCTCAACCGAAGTTCAACTTCTGCTGGCCGCGCTCCGCCTTCTTTGGTCGCCCAGGTCGCTTTGACGCTGCAGGTCCAGCTTGCCGACCCCCGGACTGTGGGTTCTCCGCAACGGTAGATGGCTGGTTGCCGAATGTCAGCATGCCACGTTCCTGCTCCTGGAGGTCTTTGGCGAAGTGCCAATCTTGGTGGCTTTGGAGTGCTTCCGAGCTCTCCAGACGTGCGCGGCATCGCGTGCAGGGATGATCACAGGCTACGACTGCCTTCTGGTCATTGGCTTGGGCCACGGGTTCGTCATCCGGCATGACTGAGCCATTGACTCCATTAACTGCATCCCGCCCTGCCTCCGTGCCTCGGCCAGACAGGACTTCACCGCCAGAAGTTCCAAAGGCGCCATCGCTGGGCCCCAACGCCGGGGGGTTCTCTCTCTTCGAAAAGAAACGTTCAATGCCGCCGTCTTCGATCCGCCGTCGTTTCTCTACCAGGTAGGATGACCCGCCGACTTCGGGATCCGGCCGTGTTCGAGATCCAAGGCTGCGGGCTTGTGCTTCCTCTCCTCGCAATAAGAACCCATCAATTCCCATGTTGCCAGAGATGGCGTCTTCAAAACCGCCGACGCTCAGGCTGAGGTTAGAGCAAGGCCACACTTGGCCTTCTTGGATGATTTGATTTAGGAGGTTCTTGGCGAGCCCAAGCAAAATCTCCTCGTCGAGGGAGCGACTTTGAGGTATGGGACCTTGGCGAGAGCGTGTCTGGGTGCCGTGGCGATGGTGCAGGTTGATGGTCTTGGGACGTCGCTTGTTCTCAAGCACACCCTCGTCGACCAATCGGGCAAATATGTCGGCGGCGAAGATCCTCAGCCATTTCATGGCTTGATCGACAGTGTTGATACTGGGACGGAAAGACTTTGCCGACAGCATCGACTTGATCTGGGTGCGTGAGTTCACCTCACTGGTGTCGTACCCTCGCAGCGTGTTGTACACCCAAGCGCCCGTTTCAGCGCCAAACTTGGACTTCAGCTGATCGATGGAGACGGCTAGGAGCTCTTGGACGGATTCCGTCTTGAACGTCTGACTGACTTGCTCGCCCAATTTGCCGCCCAGATTTCGAAACTTGGTAAACTTGAAGCCCGACAAAAACTGACGCACTGCCCGGTTCCGTATGACCGTCTGTTGATTGGGTTTCTTATGGGCAGAACCTAGCTTGCTGAGAAGTTTGTTTTTGGCGATACCGGCGGCGCATGTGTAGCGGAGCTTGTCTCGAATTGCAACCCGGATATTGCGTACAATTTCCGACGCCACGAGAAAGGCCACGTCGTCCCAGTCTGGGTCGTCGAATTCAGCGCGCTCCTCGTCCAAGTCGATGAGGGCGTCCGCCTTCCAGTCCAAGGCGGAAACAGGGGGCATCGGCAAGTGCTCGAACGGGTCGCCATCCGGAGGCCCGCCGGCCAACTCGGGAAAGCGCTCGAGCAGCACGGCATGAACGTGCGCGGATAGGTCAAGAAATACTTCGTCTATGCCGGCCTTTTCCACTTTCTGCAGGTGTGAGGGGAGGTGCTCCTTGATAACGGCTAGGATTCGCCTCGACTCAAGTCGATAGGGATCTAGCGAAACCTTGTCGGTTGCAATGTTCTCGGCAGAATCCGGGCGGTACGCCCTTTGATTAGCGTGTAAGCAGCATATCTTTTCCAAGTGGAAGTAGCAGTCCGCATCCCACCTACCACTTGTCATCCCCTTCCCGCCAAGTCGCGACGTGTTGGTTGATGATGTTGGGACAAAGCTTCTTCGCTTCCGTCGCAGTGCACATACGGCCAATCCCAAAGGCACGTGCTGGGTAGTTGACAGCGATGAGGCCCTGCCTTTGCAATGTCGCGAATCAGTTCTCTAATACGGCTACGATGAACAATGGGGAGACCACACCATTGCTGCACTGCAAGCGGCCTGTCTTCGGGTACCCCCAGACGCACCATCTCGGCTTGGGCGTAGAAGCAATCGAGGTCTATGTGTGTCACCACTCTGAGCGGACAAGAAGGGTTGTATGAAGCCATCTGGCTCAAATTGCGGAATGTGAACTGCGACTGCTTGTGGGCAGGCGCGCCAGCCGGGGTTGAGTCCCGGAACGAGCGCTGTGGGGATGGCATTGTCGCGGGAGGGTATCTTCTCGATGCGGTATCATCCTGAGAGCACGACGGGAGAGATATGCTATCGCATTGAGGGTGTAGTGCTCGGGGTTCTGGATCGTCCGTCTCTTCGTCGATGGTGGGGTTGTGAGGGTGTGGGGCAGACGCGCTCAAAGATCTCAATTTATGACCCAGATCGAGCAGGTAATAAATAAGTGGGCCCGCACTGGGAAACTGGTCGCCCTCTCGCCGACCACCCCAGTACAATAATGCAAACCACCCAGCCACCTTAACCCATAACCGGAGACTGTGCCCAAGAGCATTGGGCAACAACAACGGAACGGGCGGTATGGGTAGCGCGGTGTGCCAATCAGACCAAAAAAATATCGAGACCAACGTCCAAACCGAAGGCAAGGGGCCCCCTAGCCGCCGCTATTTACTATGTTGGTGACACAAAACAGTCGGGCGCCAATGTCTCAAGTACGATGCGTTGTCCAACTATGTCCACTATTACTCGAACCACATAACAAACATGATCGTGTGTGTGCGTCACCAGCGGCCTAGAAACGCGGCTGTCCATGCCGACCCGGGGGGGTATCTATTCTATGTCATTAGCTCCGTGTCCCGTTCATCCCATGTTTGGTCCTCTCTCTCTCCCGCTCTCCCATTTCAACCCGCCCGTTCCCGGTTGACAAGTCCGGAAGACAAAATCTGGTCCGCAACTCTTGGTACAGAGGCCCCATCTCGTAAAAGCTCTCGCCATCCTCGTACCGAGAACAAGGCGACCCCTTAATGGGAAGCAGCCAGTCGATGAGGCTATCTCCCATGACTGATTTCCAGTTACGATAATAGCCTAGGTTCCATGGATTCTCGCCCATCTCGGTTTTGACAATGGCGAAGGTCCGAGTGGCGAGTTGATCCCGGGGAGAAGAGGACTCGGTCGTGATGGTCTGGAGCGTTGGGTTTGTTGTATTCGTGGATTTAGGCAAAGGGTAAGTGACGACGTTGTAACTTTGGCTTGGTCGCGTGCCTTGTGGGACCCGTATCGCGAGCTGATGCACGACGTTCTTGGACTTGAGGTAGTCAATGGTCGTGAGGTTGACCAGAATGTAGCGCATCGACGTCGCCGTCATGGTGAAGGTGAATAAACCGAAAAGAGCAGCGACGGCCAGAGCACCAATGATAACACCGTCGATGCCCTCGTCGTTGCGAACTTTAGACTGGAAGCAAATGACGGCCGCGATAATGACGATGGCGCAATGTATAGCCGTATAAGAAGTAAATTGAACAAAGAATTTGAAGGCTGTAATTGCTTGATACTTAGTCACCGGAATCGAGGGAAGGATTGGAGAATCGAGCGGGAGCCGAGACGTACAGGTTTCGGCCACTATGCCACCCACCCATGGGCAGTAGTGATCCATTTTCTTGACACATCTTTCGATTTCACTACAGTGATGTGCCCTGTCCATTTTCCAATTGCAACAAGAACTACACCATCGCGGCCGCCCATCAGTTTCGCAGACGAAGACATCCTTGCTGTAGAACTCCTCGAGCCCGGGGCTATCCGGGTTGTCATCTGGTCGTGCCTCGTATCTATTCGTAGCCTCGAGGTCCCGTTCTCGTCGGCTACGCCCCTTCGCCTTCGCTTTCTGTTCGGTGGCTCTCGGGCCCAGCGGCGTCACTCCTGGGTCGAGCTGGATAACGAGGAATACTCGGAGGTATGTCGCGAGCATAAAAATCAGGAATATAAAGTGTAAAACAAGGAAAGCGATGGCGGTGCCGGGTTGGTGTTGTTCGGATATGAAGAAGTCCACTGGCAAAATCAATCAGGCGACAAAGAAATCTTGGGAGAGAAAAGCAGACGGTGATGGGTAGGGCATACCACAAACGCGCTTAACGACAACATAAGTTGTGAAGCCAACACAGCCACCAAGAATGAGCGGGATAATGCGTGTCGCCCATCGCGTCTCTGGTCGATGAGCCGACACCATCGCGTTCCGGCGCGGCGCCGTCAGCGCAAAGTAGTCCCGTGTTGGTTGGATGGAAGGAGAAGGAGCGTGGAGAGAAATAAAGGAGATGCGATGGCTTCAAACAACAGCCGAAACCGTGAAAGTAAATCGGCCCGGTGGCACGGAGATGCAGCGCATCCGATTGCCAGCACACCGACCGGTTACCGGCGATGGCCAGGGGCGTCCGAGTGCATTGAAGGCGAATGAATGCACAGCGTGAGATGTTGGAGACTCGAACCGAAATGACGTTGTGTGGAGACATGACCGGAAAGATTGCCCCGGGAGAACATGCCAAGCCAACTGTCAAAACGCTCTCGTCGCCCCATAAATTTCCCATTCTGGAAGTGTAAACGGCTTCGCTCTTATCACGAAATAATCTTGAACTGCGATATGCCACTTGCCGGAGTGGGGGGTAATAAACAAAATACAGCTCGTCAAGCGATTCGAATTCCCCGTTTCATGTGGGAGGAGCCAGTTCCATACGAACGTCGAGCCACCAACTTCATGGCTTATGAGCCAACTCAAAAATTGAATGGGTCTGTTCCGAAAAGGGTCAATCAGGTTGAACGGATACCTAACGAGTGGTTCAACCAAATAAATGGCTACCTGGAGATGTGGCGTGTTGAGGTTGAGTCAAGGTTATCATTGACATTGCAACCCAACAGTCCCCAACCCCCGACCCTCAGCACCGGGCAAGGAAAAAATCTAGTGGTGCCTTGAGCATGATATTGGCAACCTTGGAATGCCAGTGGCGCCGAGGTGACCCTTAAGGGCAAATTCTGTTTGTTCGGTAAGACTCTGTGCACGCGATTCTCGACGCCCAGTCTGTAGCGCTTCAAATCGTGGTATGGACGGATATCTCCTCCGATCAAGTTGGTTCCAATCATTCCTTCCGTGCCCCAAGTCTCAATAACACGACGAGATACTTCTCCGATAAAAGGGGCACTCGTTGGAGGAGTACCAGCACTTCCCGGCCGTCCCCTCAAAAGCCGATATGGTTCTCAACCAGCAATAGCATCCGGCTGCGATCATTACCTATATGGATGGTCTTGGACACCGACGCCCCGGATCAGCCACGGCCAAATTGTGGTCAACACCGCTCAAGGTTCATTGACCAACGCGCGCGTGGCGTTGTTGGCTTTTTATAGCTGCTCTAGGCAACTGGCGGAAACTAACGCCACCGAACACACTTCTCCATGCACATGGGTCAGCGGCGAGATCTCAGCCGCGATGGAATAAGCAGACGACCGCGAGTAGGCTCATCGGCGTGACCATTCGGCGTTGTTTGCCTAGGGTGGCGGCCGGTGGTAACAGAGCCGCATCGCAGCCGGATGGCATAAAGAGAAGGCCCGACTTCTAGAAACAGTTCACTCCTGCGCCCTCGCTTGAACTGCCTACCTAAGGTAGCTTCTAATCAACCAACTTAGAACGCGCGAGCCCGGCTTCACGCAATAGGTATGCATCTTCCGGAGCGCTGACTTGAAAAAGTTTCACGATAGGAAAAGGGGTATGGAATACGGCACTCAAACTCCCCACAGACAACCGAAACGTTAGTGACAGCCGGGAGTGTGCTTTTGCGCCGCCATGGACCAGACTGTTGGCATCCCAAGACCGTACTGCAGGGCGGGAGGACTCCGTGTCACCGAGTTGGTGAGAGCTAACAACCTACCTACCTAGGCGGGTTTGACTCCTTGCATAGGTATTCCATCTTGACCTTTTAGCACCCCCGCTTCGATTATCTGCTCCCTTCAAGGTAGCTCCTTTTTAGCACTACTCCGACTCTCCAAGGTGGTAGCGTTGGGGTTGTAAGTTGTACAATCTCCCCGTCTTCTTATTTTTCTTCAAAAATGAAACTCGATCGAGCTGACGGGCAACAAGCAACAACATAAAAAAGCAGTTTGACGATGGCTCCGATGCCTGCGAGAGTGGCCCGATCCCGCTGTCGCCTCTGATGGCGATGTGCACCGCCTCGGGCGAGTTCATCCTCTCAGCCGCTTGGCCGTGCCACCTTGGCCACAAGCTGTATCGCTGAAAAGCGTTTACCGAAGGGTCGCAAACCGCAATAATCCTTTCGACAGTTTGGGCAAACTGAAAGCTGTGGCAGTTTACAACGGCCGGTTCCGCCCCTCGTTCAGGATTATCGCCGCGACTCCTCTCCTCAACAACACCAGTGTTGGCGGACTGATCGGTTTCCTGACCGATGGCAATATGAAACGAAGCCGAATGCGACATTCAAACGTTGCGTCATTGACGGAGCGCAGGTTTGACTCAGAGCTGACGCGGGAGATGCATGCCCCCAGGCAGCATCATCAACACCGGGACGCAGGGAGGCAAGGCTGCAACTTTGCGGTGAAGCTGCCCGAAAGCAGAGCTCGTCTGTTTGGACTCTTTGGGGCATGTTCACGAGTTCCTGCCTCAGCCACTGTCGGTTGTGCCTTGCGTGGAGCCAGCTAGGCGGGTATGGAGAAACTGCTCGGTCAACGAGCTCGATGTCGCACTTTGGTTGTGAGCCGGGCAACTGGTTGTCGGGGGAGCTGGAAAACACGTTGAAACAGGGCTGCAGGGTTACCCGCTTCATTCCCGTGTGGACCGCAGCGTCTCTGATAGGGAGCTCACGAGCCGGGGGTTTCTTGGCCTATACGGATAAGCGCATGACACTCGGATTGGCCAATCGTTCTGGGCGCGATGAGCGGGTGGGGCAACAACGCCGCCAAGACTTTTGGTTCAGACTGTGTTCGCAGAGCCGCATCAGCAGAGGGAGGTGCAAGTCGGATCGGGCAGCGCCGGTTCCAGAGACGTCACCCCAAGCTTTTGACGGCCCTTTGCCATTTGGATTTTCCCATCGAAGGAGCGAATCACTCGCCCTCGGCCTCGTCCACGTCCACGCTCACGCCGATGGTTACACGAACCCGACCCCTCGCGAACACGGCGGTAGAGCAACGGTGACCTGGATTTGGGATCGCTTGGTCCTTGACCGGCGGCAATGTTCAACATCGATTTCACGACTAGCTAGCTTCCTTGCCCCGGGCCTGCTCGGTGCTCGGTCGACCGTTGTGGCTTGTCGGGCGCCTCGGGCCCGAATTTCAAGCTTGGGAGTCTCGAGTCTCCCCCACTCCCCCCATGGTCACAATAACAAATTGTTGACCCCACCTAACAAGCAGGTTGCTCGTTCTTCTGTCTGCTGCGCCCACAGGCCACCGACTGGATTCCCCTTGCCATGCCACAGGTGCGACATGCGCTCTCCAATGGATCAGATCCTCTCCCATCTTGACCAGCATCGAGTGGCTGACGGTTGCGCTGCTGTGTCTCCGGAACCCGGACCCGGCCGTCGTCATCCAGGCATTTTTTAACGAGCAAGTGCTTCCCATTCTCCACAGATTTCAGGTGACTCCCTCACCGGACGGCGTCGCCTTTCATACGCTCGCCTCGTTCTTCAAGCTTTGCAATTCCGTTTGCCTACTTTGCCCCTTGCCGGGTGGGCACGATGGCGGAGCGATGCAGTGGCCTAGCAAGCCCTGGACTCGCTCGACCTAGGCCCGCCAGTCTGCCCGGCAAGGGAGCTTCGCGGCCCATCGAGGCGACAGCATAAGCGTCCTTGTTTATTTTGTTGTGCCCCCAGAGTCACCAGTTGCTCGAAGCATATAAGCTCGAGCTCACGTCCGTCTTTGTGCTTGTCTATTTAGATCCCCTATTCAGCGTTCCTAGCTCGTCAACATCATCTACATATTGCTTTTGTTCTCTCTGAATCCCCAGCTCTCACAACACCAAAACATTCACTGCAAGCACACCTCGCGATCATCATGCCTAGAGAATCAAGCAGCAAGGGCTACGCGGAGCGCAAGTGGTATTGCGTAAGGGTTCAACACTTCATGATGCGAGAAGAAACCTGGCACGCTAACACGGAAACAGCATGCCTGCGGCGACGGCCCTCTCAGTTGCCGGTTCGATGACTGGTGTCCGATGTGCTCTCACGGCTGCTGCAGAGACTGCGAGAAGGTCGTCATTACCTATTCCAATCGTTAAGAGGGATCGGCCACCCGTCAACAGGCTTCGGTACGAGGGCCATGGAGCATCTCGTCCCTCCTCACAACACCCATCGGCTTTTCATATCCACATTGGATGTCTATTTATCGATTGAGTTGGTTACGGCCGGGTTGGATTGGTGGGGTTGTTTGGCTTGGAGTTGTCTCTTTCACCAGCAGCACATATAGAGTGGATGGGAGGTTTTGCATCGCGGGCATTGGAAACTTGGAACACAGTACACCTTAGATTAGACTCGGCAGGCCTGGGCGCGAGCCTGGATTCTTAGCGACAGGGGCAGCGGCGGTAGGGTGGGCTTTTCGTTGATTTGGGTAGATAGATCTCCTAGCGTTGATAGATATCGTCATTCTTTACTGTCATTGACTATCATCCCATGGTAACGAGGCAGCCACACTTACTTCTCCCGTCAATTTTCTCGGCTTCAACCTGGCCGCTGACGTGCCGGCGCAGCGATGTGGACAGGAAGACCCTTGCATGGGCGGTTGGGACGTGGCAGACTAACTAAGCAATAATATTTATCTACCGAGACAAATATTCTCCAAGATTTGGCTATCAGGATTCCCAGAAAACCTCATCCAGTCACCGCATTTTCTGCACTCGGCAGAATTTCAGCCCAGGCTGAACCCCTCCAGCTTTGCCCTTTCCAAGTTTCGTTATCCATGTCCGATCCCACTTGAGCATCAACTGTGTGCTCTTCGAACTAAGGTTTCTTGGACCATCTCTGGAATTGATAAGCAACTTACACACCTTAATTAGCTAAACTGGAGATGGACTGGGATACCCAACTCTTCATCTTTGCGTAAATACATTACCTGCTAGTTCACCCCTGCCCCTCCGCCGCTCCGTCCGGATCTGAACACCGGGGCACCTGGGCAGGTGCACAGCCCGGCCGAACCCCGCAGCCAAACACCTTGCCCGCTAGCTGGTATCCTGGTCCACGCGCTTCCGATGATGGGGGAATCATGGAAGCTGAATGACAGTATCACAACAGCAATGGAATGGCGTTGATCTGCATATGCATTGATTCGCATGGTAATCCAACCATCCAACCAATCACTAACCTACATATCCCCTGGATGGCCAAACAAACTCACCCCCGGCACTTCCTCCCCGGCGCCGGGACCTCGGTGTACCAAACCATGTTGGCGGGGTTCTTCCCGTGGAACCAACCAACCGTGCCAACCTCCTCCCGGCGGCGCAACATGGTGGGAAATGCCACGTGGAATGTCTAACCAGACCATATGTAGATACTGTGGATATACTTGTATGTACTTGGCCATGTCCTTTCCTGGGGGCCAAGGTCACACTGACCCCTCCAGCGTCTCGCTCGGTGAGCATACCCAGGTAATAGCTCGGTTCAACATCGCAAGTGTTGACGTTTTGCACACCAAGCACGTCCTCCTTGACGGTTAAGCGATGCGCTGCTGTGGCCGCACCGCATGCTGGGTTCTTCATTTTGGTTGGGGAGGAAGCAAAACACCAATCACAAACATCACAAACCCTGGACTGTCTGGTGGGAACGTTGTGTTGAAAATGCCATTCCTGTCTTTGCCTAAAATGGATGATGACCCATGTTGAACGCCAGAACGGAGAGGCCACGACGGCTTCTCTAGTTCCGCGATAATGAAAAAGAAACCCGATGTCCCCATCCCCCACAGGAACAATAATATGCAGGGCATACCAAAGCAAACCTGTACCATACCCTTGATTTATCCCCCCAGTCTCGTCACACGACGAGAATACCCTCCCCCCTCCCCCTTCCCCGAACCTGCTACAATGAAAACAGGTAACACCGAGTCCCTCCTCCTACCCCTTACCCCCCTTCGTTTCCTTTCCCACCTATCCCCCCGTGTAATAGTAGCAACCGACTTGCAAGCAAAAGAACGCCAGAGCAAACCCGGAAATGCCACCCTTCCTTTGACGCCTATAGCTTCTGTCTTCCTCCCCTCTTTCGTAGATACCAAGATCGTACACCTCGCTGTCGAAACGGCAGATGTGGCAATGCACCCCCGCCAGGCGAGCACCCTTCACATTTTCCCTCCACCTCTGCCAAGCCAGGCAAAAGGCCGGACAGGCTTAGTTTGCAACGGTGCTAACCAGCTTGAGCTTGGGCATAGTCTTCGCCGCGGCGGTCATCTTGACCGACGTGGTCGACGAGGGGCTTCCGACAAGCAATCCTGACTCGAGAGCCTTGCGGGAGGGGGTTAACTTCCGCGAAGACGTCTTGCTGGCGCCTGAGGAGATGGTCAGCTTCGGTATGTCCTTCTTGGAGGACACCGATGAAGTCGGCGTCGAGACAGCCTTGGCCGCGTTTTTTTGGGCGGGTGAAGAGGAGCTGCCCGCCGCGACGATGGTCAGGCTGGGGCTACGGGATGGGACGGCAGTTTTGGTCTTGGGTTTGGTGCTGGCCACGATCGCTGTCTTCTTCCCGGGCCCTTTCTTGGAAGCGCCGCTGCCCAAGACCCGCCGGACCGTGGTTGACGTCTTCGCGGCCTTCGTGGCCGTCGACTTGGTCACCTTGGCTGTGATGGTCTTCTTTTTCGTAGCCACAGAGATGCTTGCCATGCTGCGCTTGATCGTAGCCGCGCCCTTAGCTGCTCCCTTGGCTGCGCCCTTTGCAACCTTGCGGCTCGCCGACGAGAGAGTCCGCTTGAGGCCAGTTGCCGCCTTGACCTTCTGCTTCTTGATCGGCTTGTCTTCCTCTTCGTCGTCGCCGTCAAATTCAAAAGCGTCCTTGAGCTTCCGCTTGGTTGACGTTTTGATCGTAGCTTTGGACGAAACCTTGACCAAAACCTTGGATGTCTTGGAAGACGTCTTCTTTGTCTTCTTTTCCTCCTTGGGCGGCTTGGGCGCCTTCACCTCCTTGGGCTTGGGGCCCAACACACCCCTGCAGTTGGGACTACCACAGAGGCACTTCTGCACGTTCTTAGCGGAGAAGGGATCAAAGTTGTAGTCGTATGTGAGTTCCTCGCCCGTCATGATGGGGCGGTCTCCGGCGAAAAGGGCCATGCGCGGTTGGCCGGCCACAATCCACTTGATCATCCGGCAGTTAGGAGAGCATGAGTGGTTGACGAACCGCGCGATACTACCGGTGGTTGCGTCGATGATCATGTTCTGGTCAAAGGACATGAGGTAATAACACTGCAAAGGTCAGTCATCTATCTGAGACTTTTCAGGGGTCAATAGACAGGATAGAGAAGACTGACCTCATTATCCTTGTACTCCTCGTTCATCCGGCGCTCGCACTCGGCTTCGGTGATGATCTCGCCAGTATACTCCATGATGATCTGGTTTGCCTCGAAACAACGGTTGCTCCGAACTCCGTAGCCACGGTCGCCCGTCTTGACAACCTCGACACCAACACGGTACCGGCCGCCCTTCTTGGTGCGCTCCTGCAAATCCTGAAACGCGCGGTTCTGGCAATGGGCCTTGCCGAAGTTGCAGTTCGTGTCATCGCACTCGTACAGCATGATGCGATTTTGACAGTCCTCGTCGCAGCCGTCTGCGGGCTGGCAAACGCATCTGGACGCGAAATCCCCAAAATGAGGTGTCTTTTTCCAGTATGAGGCCGCGTCTCCCACGAAGCGATCTAGAGAAAGAGTTAGTAAATACTATGCCATCATACTGGTATGAAAACTCACTCTTTGTCATGGTGCGATACGCGGCAGGCTTTGGTTGGCCTGGCGGAAGGGGGTTGCAGACGTCAAAAGGCAGCTTGAAGTCACGGCCGTTGATGAGGACACGCAGGCCGTTGTACATGGGCAGCGGAAAGGTGTGGTTAGGCTTGCCGCTCGGCAACAACTCTGGGAGCGCAGCCAGCTTCTTCTTTTCTTGAGCATTAAGGCCCTTGAAAATGTCCAAGGGTGTTTCCTGCCCAGCGTAGAGGCCCTTTTCAAGCCACTTCTTCGCACGGGGCTTCTTGACCGCGGGTGCAGCAGGTTTCTGCTCCTCCGCTGCAGATTTCTCCTCGCTCTTGACGGCCTTCTCGTCAACCTTGACTTTCTTCAGGGGTGGCTGGGGTGCAGGGGTCTCCTGCGAAGGGTCGACCTCAACATATTTCCCATTGCTCCAAACCGTGTACCGAACCGGGCGTGTGTCAATGTGGGCAAACTCATTGGTGTCCTTCAATCGCATGAGCTCGCGAGGTAGTCGGCTAACCGCCTTGTCGACCGCCTTTTTACCTCGCTTGCCCAGGGCGGACAACTTGGTGGTGATGGTCTCGGTAGAAGCGCCGGAAAGACGCGTCGCACGACGCGTCAAATGCACTGGCGCAGGGCTTAAAGACGATTTCTTAGCGACCCGCGCACTTTTCGGGGTATGGAGAACCGCGCTCGACCGCTTGGTTCTCGACGCGTCGACTTCGATTTTGGTTGTTTGGCTGGCTTTTGCCAGCGCATCGCTCAATTTTGTCGCGTCTAAATCGCCAAACTCTGTTGTTGTCCCGTCTGAGATAGTGCGCCGTCGCTTTTCTAGTACTGTGTCTCCCTTTGACCTGCGCCTCCCGTGCACGTCGGTGCCCATGAGCTTGGAGAGATTATAAACGGGGAGGCTGGATCGGGCTCGTCGGGGCCGGCTAGCGGGGGACAGTTCAGGTGGTGGCGGTTCTGCGACAACAATGGCATCGTCGGCTATCGGGGTCTGCTGACCGGACTTTTGCTGCTCAATCTCGGTCACGAGACTGGAAGTGACAGTGATGACCGCTTCGATGTTAGACGCGATAGTAGTGTCTGATTTGGGGTGGTCTGGCTCTGAGGCCAACGACATGCTGTCGGCGGATACGGTGGTCGGAGGGGTGGAACTCATCGACGTGAAATTCGAAGAGGCCGAATCTGTTGCATCGCTACTTGAGAAGCTCGACCCGCAGAGTAACAGCGAGTCAAGCTCCGCAATTATTGGGGCTGCCTCAATGGCGGCCATTGTTGTGGGTGGTTATGGTAGGAGTTAGAAACTTGGATGCCTGGTGAAGCTGGTTAAGGTTGGTGCGCGATGTTCAGTCGGCAGAATGCAGGAGTGCAGGAATGCAAACACGTGGGACAGGGCAGAGTCAGCTTCTCGGCGAGGCGGCTTGAGCTGAGTGAGTGGTCGGTTTATGCGGGCCTCGTTGATGTGGCGCGGGACCGATGCAACAAAAGAAAAGGGTGAGGTGTAAGACGGGCAATGGAGATGGGGAAGCTTCAAAAGAAAAGTGGTATTAGTGCCCTCCACGTCGTTCGTTGCAAGCAAGGGTGAAAGGGTGAAAGTGTGGAAGTGTGAAAAAGGTGAGTGGATGATCAATTGCAAGACGACGCGTCAGGATGGCGACGTGTGCGGAGTCTGCAATGGGCAAGGGAGTTGCGTGCAAATGGCTGCGGGAACAATACCCACATCAGTAAATAGCTGTGGTCGGGAGGACAGGGGTGGGGAGCGAAGGTGTGAGTGGTTTGGGGAAGAGAAAAGGGAAGCGGGTTGGGTCGAGCGGGAAGAAGAGCCAGGGGGGGCAACGGTATTTAAACCAGAGATCGAGGGGGAACGTGCCCCCTTCCATCACCCCCATCAAATACCTTAATCAGGATGCAGCACGAGAGGACTACCTACCTCCTCATGTCAAACTGAGACTCCTTCCCAGACACTCACACAGACATCACATGTTCCTCTTGCGTTTCCCCCTCCCCTTTAACCCCCCCTCCCCCTCTTGGATGAAGACATCCATCTCTTGACAATCGCTATGGTACATACAGAACCTTAGGTGTGCACAAAAGTCTATCTACCTCCCGAGTGAGACAACCTCCTCAGGCGGCCGTGTGATCGGGCAGTGGTGGACAGTCGCCATATAGGGTTCCCACAGGCCCGCTCACCAACAAAGTTTGAATAGTCTGGATAAGATGTTTCCACCGTTTGTTTTAACATGTGCAAACCTTTTCTTTGTTGGAATGGCAGGGCGCCCGGTGTTGGGTTGTTTTCTGTCGTGGACGGATTGGATTGCAGATTGGCGATCTGGAAGTGTTGCCTTGAGATTTGGTTTGTGGAGAGGGGAGCCAGCGTCATGTGTGTAGGCGGCGGCGAGAGCATGGGCCGGCTCGGGTTGGACCGGAGACCAAAGGGGGTAGGGACCTGTGGACTCGACCAGGTGGTAACTCAGGTAGGTGACCTCCAGATCAGTCTCCTCTGCAGTACACCGATCGCTAGCAATGACCGCATTGGCATTATCCCCGAGATCACACCATGGTTAAGGCCCTTAAAATGTCTAGGTTTCGCTTTCGAGAACTTCCAATACCCCTTTCTTCACTTTCGTATCCGGAGGGAATCGATCCGTGTTCACCACCCCTCCACTACCCCTGCTACCCTCGAAGCCTCCTTGGGCGTGCGATGCAATGATCCTCCGCATTTCATCACTGGGATCATTGACTCTATCCGCGCCAGTCCGGGTTGTCATAGCCACTCACTCCCCTGAATGTCCAACCTACCCGGGACGGAAATATCTACACTGGAGGTTTCCCGGAGTTGAAGCACCTCATATGACTACTTTTGACGAGGATGGACCAGCTCCGCTTCGAACGGTGAGCCATTCAATGTTGGGATGTCGAGGTTGCCACTCGTCTCGGCCGTTGTGACGAGACCCTCATGTTCCCGGGCTGAAGCCCGAAACTGCGGGGCTATGACACCAAGAGGTGCGAACCAGGGAATCACGGCCGATGAAGCTCACTCGACAACTTGTATTTGTTTGCCGAGTGTCGAGTCTGGGTTTTTTTACGTCAAAGTTATCTAATTACTTCCCAAGTGCTCGGTAGGTCGAACAAGCGGCGCTGAGAACACCCTAAGCCACTTCACTCTTCTTTTTTACAAACCTGTACACATCACCTGGATCCTCATAGAGTTGTAATTATAAGGAGGTTAAGCCAATGACTTCTACCGGTCACGAGTCGGTTTGAGTCGCAGTCTTATTGTTGCTGGAACCGAGTTCGGTGAACCAGAACCGAGACTTGATACGGCAGCGTGTCCCCGTCGGAAGCGTGGACTGCAATATTGTGTTGCCTTGCAGGATTATAAGGCCCCAAAGCAATGCGCCCAGTTAGAAATCGTTGGATCTTTTGCCAAGTGGGCATTTGAAGTTCTCGCCGGGTTCAAGTCAGGATAGCAACATCGTGTACCCGTGTGACCCCGGCGGCTGGCCTCTCGACTGCATCCCGTTCCTAGATGGAATCACACCATCGTTCTTAGTACAAGTGACGGTACAGCTGAATTTTGGCCAGAGACTCACTTTCTAGAGTTGCCGTCGCCCTTCTCCCTCGGGTTCAATTCGTCCCTGGAAATGGCACGTCTCGTGGGATGCAGCATCGTCGAAGCAAGGCATTGGTTAGGCAAGGCGCACAGGAAGCGCTTGCGGACAACTACTTCCCGTGATTGGAGACCCCATATATTGGTTACGAAGGGTACCAGATAACCATTTCCCTATCCCGCACGGCTCAAACCCATGATTGACGAGTCATGGGCACTCCAGGCCAGAGCTACCGCTATCATCAGGCAGTATTTGGTAGGTCTTTAAGTGCCTTGACGCCCGTTACTGCAATAAACTTACAACTACTCCCATATTATATTATTCTATCTACGGAATTCCGGTTCCTCATACTTTGCAAGTCTGTGTTGGGTACCTACCTATGCCACTTGCCTCGCGGGCTTCATCATCATCACCTTGTGGCTCCTGACTTGCGCACTGACGCGAGCTTGAGCTTGAGCTTTTCATATGGTAAACTAAGTATTCAGGACTTGCGCAAGCACGTTCTCCTGCTTTACTATGCCCGCAGGTAGTCAGATAACAACTGCTGTTGTTTATGCGGCCCATGCGACGAAGGACACGTTACGAAACCACAAACCCTTCGTCGTCCCGATCACAGGTAGATTAACTGTAAAAGACGTAGAAAAATAATCTTTACGATGAGAGCCCTAAAAGGTTTGAAGCCGACATTCTTGAATCGCATCCCCCCGCGAGTTCGGGGATTGCAAGGGATGTAACCGTGAGATTGATCTCGGGAAACCATCGCCGATGATGCAGAAGACAGACTTTTGTCACTTTCAACTTTTATAATAAAGATCCCGTCAGGAGCACGATACTGAGCATACTGTTCCCTCATATATGGAACCTGTCAGAAATAGGAGAGCTCATCTGTTGACTTTAGCTTGTCGTGATTAAAGTTGGCACGCCGTATGTGGCGCCATAGACCGAATTCAACGGTACAACCAGAGTTTCCATCAAAATATAATGCCGCCGTAATTCAGATCTAATCGCATCAGCAGATTCTTGCGATGGTGCGCCGTCGAACCCCAAATCCTCAGGATCGTTGAAGTCATTTATTGAGAAGCACGGACCACATGGTGTTTTCAACCCCTGCATCACATGGTGCGCCGGCCAGCCAGAAAGAAAAAGAGCTGAAAGCTTGGCGAGCTCTGATCGCGGCGCGACCCCACCCACAGCTCGCGGCTACCAAGACATTCGAAAGCTCCACTATCGTGGGGTCGGTCCGCTCCCTGCCAACCCCGAGAATTTGGCAACCTTCAATCCAGTTTGAAGTCGGCTCTGGTCAACAAGCCCCACCACCGGTGACAACCGAACGAGCGGGCAAGCGAGCGAACAAACGAGCAAACCCTACAATCGGCCGGAATCCTTTCATCCATCACCTACGATTCCCCCGCACCTCGACCACCAACCCACCGAAACCTTCACAACCCCTCTCCCTCTGATCCAAACCCCCAAAACCCATCAAAAATAAACAAACTATGGCGGACCGACCCCACCGAGGCGGGCACGGCGGCGGCTCCCGGGGTGGTCGTGGCGGGCGTGGAGGAGGAGGCCGGGGCGGCGGCGGCGGCGGCGGACAGGGCCAGGGCCAGGGGCAGGGGCAGGACAAGGAGCGGCCGAAGAAGGAGAACATCCTGGACCTGAAGAAGTACATGGACAAGCGGATCACGGTCAAGTTTAATGGCGGACGGGAAGGTTCGTTTATTATCCCCCTCCCCCCTCCCCCTAGGTGGTGGTGAAATGAAGTGGTGATGGGGTTGGCTGGGCTAACAGACTCGGTTGGTTGTGGGGGCATCTAGCGACGGGTGTGTTGAAGGGGTATGATGCGCTGATGAACTTGGTTTTGGACGAGGTGGAGGAGCTTTTAAGAGGTGAGGCCCCTCTTAGTTTTCCCCGATTGCACCGTGTTGGCGCTGGGATGTGGGAGTTGGGATGCTGACTGGTTTTGTGACTTGGCAGATGACGAGGGCAACGAGATGACTAGGCCGCTCGGGTTGGTGGTGGTGCGTGGTACGCTGCTCGTGGTGCTCAGCCCGGTCGACGGGAGCGAGGTGATAGCGAATCCTTTCCTTCAGGCGGAAGAGGAGTGAAGTCTGCATCCATCTTACGGATGTAAGATCTGGATTTTGAGGCCGCTGCTTGGGGCCCAAGGACAAAAGGGCAGGATATTTCCGCCCTATGGAAAGAAAGTGTTGCCTGGACTGAGTTGGCAATGACGCCTCAGGATTATATCTCAGGAATGGCCTACACGAAAGTGCGAGTAAGCTTCTCACCATAGTTTCTTGTTCCATGCTATACCAGCGCAGATGGATGCTGTTCATCTTGATTGGGGGGGCATGGCCTCTTAAGAAAGCCGGCATGAACGTCCCCGCCTCGCACAGTTGTTACTTTAAGTTGGCCACAGCAGATTGGAGCTCGAAACCTTTGACCGATATTGAGAATACATCATGAAATTTTGTTCTGTTATGTAGCCGCTAGACGGTACACGACCACTGATCAACAACCACTGATACCGTTAGATATTTATATACGCTCACTGTTGCTCGCTCGCCCGCCCCTCTACCACCGTACGAACCGAGCTGCAACGTGTTGCGGCTTTCCAATTTACCTGTTTTTTCCTCCCCATTCATTGGCATGCATTGTCTTGCAAGCAGCCCCGCCTGGTTATATCCCAGATCAACAACCCTTTATCATACGTCATCCTAGAGATCATTGCCCCTGTACCACGGCTGGATCGTGCTCCGACGGATACTGAATATCGGCCTGCTGGTCCACCCATGCTAAGACCCGTCGCCACCACCCTGGCCTTGGTGCCGGGGCACTCGCTAGGCCATCGTCGCTTTTTCGGTTCAACTCCGCTGAGTTAGGCACAGCTGGAACAGCCCCTGGTCGAGTGGAGTCTGGGAGAGCTGGTGTCGCCGGCTCCAGACTGTACTTTTCTGGAAACAGCTTGCCCGGATCAGGCAGAGCGGGAACAATGACCGTCGGTTTAGGGTCTGCCAAAGTGGGCCCCTTTGGATCATCCGACACTAGGCCATTTCTTGCTGGAGATGGCTGTGCCAAGTTGGGGACAGGCCGAATCGTTTTCGTTGGGACCAAGCTCGTGGAGGCGAACCTGACCGAATCACCCCCTTCCCAATCGATCGCCGCCATATCGTACCTCGCCGGTTTGCTACTTGCTGACACACCTCTTGCCAGCTCATTCTTCTCCGTCTCCTCTTCCGCCGACTTAAATCGCCTCGTTCCCCCCTTTTGTACAACACCACTCGCCAATGCAGTCACATCCGGAACGGCCTCCACCGGAATATCCCTCTCCGAGAAAAGGCTTAGGGACGCGGACTTCACCAAATCGGCCCGTGCTGCTTGACTCTCCGCAACACCAACCCATGGTGGGCTAGTCCTCAACAAAGCACGCCTTAGACGGTTATGTTTCATCATAGTACCACTCAACAAACTAGAGTTAAGCGAAGCAGATCTCGGCGGAGCGAAGCTCTTCGAAAAATGCTTCGGTGGAACGGAGACCTTCCAAGGGGGCCTCCGCAACACCGGCGCCATCGGCAGTTTCACCGCCTAGTTGTTCGCCCCGGGGGCGCCGGTCTTGCTGTGTTTCACGAGTTCGTTAAACGCGCGGTCAAACATTTGCTTGAGTTCCCGGTAGCTGAGCACAAATACGGTCTCGTTGTCGCGGCTGGTCAGGACGACCATCTCATCGATGCCTGCGTCGAGCTTGCTAAGGCAGCTCAGCATGTGACCCACAGCAAGATTGGGCTTCCCGTCAGCCTCGACTCGGTGGAACACATAGTCGCGGAAGAGCTTGAGCTGGTACCTCTCGCCCGTCTCGGACCAACTCTGCGCGCCGCCGGGCTCGGCACGCTCGATGATCGTCATGAGCTTCATCATACTGCGGGCGATGCGGCCGTTTTCTAGTTCTCTCGCAAGATGGAATTGCTTTTCGTCGCCGTCCTGGAGAGCAAGATCGAAGAAAGCCGTCATGTGTGTGGCAATGCCGCTGATGAAGTTCTCGATGCTTTTGGACTCGCCTGGATTTGACGGCGCTATGAGCCATGCCACGGCGTCTTTGAGGTTTGCCGAATACTTCGTGACCAGGCTGTCGAGGGCGACCTGGATGTTGTTCAAGTGAGCGGGTGGGGCACCGGTCGCTAGGGCGAGTATGAGCTTGCCAAATTTGACGAGATCTTCCTGTTGCAGCTCTGCAACCGATTTAGTGTTGCTCTCGAACTGGACCACGTCCAAAATGGAGCAAGCCGAAAGCCGAATCCGGTTATTGTCCGAAAGAATGATCTTGCTTGGCTCTAGGCACCGAGCTGCAAGCTTGTTCGAGTGGATGGTCTTGAGTGCGTTTGTGATCTGGCAAATGTAGCCCCAAAGGACATTCTCCGGTACGGCGCTCGGCGCTCTATATCGGTTGCCGTGAGTGGGCTGGAGGTGGTGTTCCTGCAGCGTTTTGGAAAGTGGATGGTAGTCGTAAGCGAAAATTAGGGAGCTGTCGCCGAACTCCCTGGTAGTGAACGCTTCATGGACCGTCACGACATTGCCGTTTTTGATCTTCTTCCATTCCTTCATGACAGTGAGGATGGCCTTTTCGTTGGTTAACCGATAGCCTAACACGGTAGGGTTAGTAAGTGATCGTCTAATGTGTCAATCTGGAAAATTTTTGCTGTTTCGGACCTTCGAGTCTTCTGAGGGCGTAATGTCTCGCGGTTCGGCTATTTTGGGCCTTGTATACCCAACTTGGATACCCAAACGAGGATGTGTTCTTCCTGTTATTGGTATCTAGCGGGAACAGGGAGTGCCATCGTTCGAGTTGAGGCAGCCCGGAATCTGGTATCTTCAGCAAAAGTGAGGATGGGTTGATGGAACTCGGGACAACTTACTAGGCATCACCTGCTGAGTGGCGAACATCTTCTTCTGGAGCTCTTCTCGCATCTTGGCTGGTATGAAGAAGTCATAGGTTGCCCGCTGCCAAGGCTGCAGTTCTTGCCGGTAACTATCATGTGGCTGGTAAAGGTGGTAGTTGGGCGGTTGGAGTGGTCCGGCGGGAAAGGACCCGTGTTGCGGATAGAATTGAGCCCCAGGTCCCCCGAGGGAATTGTGGTCAGAGGCGTAGAGGTTATATTGCCCGGCGGAGGGTAACGTTGAGCCCAAGGAACCCATGGTTGTGAAAGGATCGCTGTAGATACCGTTTTCTTGCGGCACGCCATTCGAATTCTGATACAGCATTAGTGGATGTTCTGTTTCCCCGAAACTGAGGGCATTACCGTGTTGCCGATATCGTAATTCTGCGGGGTGAACTCCCTAATCGCGGCCGGATTAAACACTGAAGCCTCGGCGGTTTGCTGCAGGTTTGGTGCTAGCATATGATTAGAGATAGGACGGCCAGTTCGGGTCGTAATCAACTCACTGCCAGCCCCGCGGGGCGTAAATGGAGCCGCATTCGCGGCTTGTGAGGACAGGGTAGTTTTCTTTGCGAGTACCTGCGGTTGGCTTGATGGTGTGAAAGCAGGGGAGTCGACGTTAAACGTCTTCTTCGAACTAGGAGGAGGTTAGACAGGTGAAGGATGGTTGTGCGACTAAAATCATAATCTAGACCATGTGGCCCTGGAGCTACAGCCTCGGGTACGCCTCGGACCATGGCGGCGAGCCGGAGCCCATCATTGGATTCTCTAGAGCATAATCATCGGGGTGCCACCGTGTGTCTCCTTGCTCTCTGCTCTGTACACCGGCGGCAAACCCCATCAAACGCATGTAGAACACCAAAGGTGGACTCGAGATCATTGGGTTGGCAGCGAGCATTGGCCGCGGTGAACGGTTCCTGAGCCATCCACTTACAAATCTGCTTGGGGTGAAGGGTTTTTGTTTTGATCATGGTTGAAGGTACAGCCTTGGGTCCTCGTAGCGGCAATTGCCATAGATGAGAATATTGCGACAGAGCGTATCCTTGTTCTCTACGAGTTGTCCGTCAGCGAAAGAGAGCCCTGCGATGCCGGAGAGAACCGACCTCGGCCTTTGGATCTGGGTGAGCCGACCTGGCGGCGGAGGTCATTCGGGGGATATCGTGTCGCGGCCATGGTGGGTGCTCGGTCAATTCAAGGAGACGGCGCCTTGGTCGATTCTACGATGTCTAAAAGACAAAGCAGCGTCAGCTCCAGAAAGAAAAAAGGCTAAACATGATACAGCGCGGCACAGCAGGTAGAGAGGTCCGTCCTCACTTGATGATGGCGGAATTCTCCCATATTTTGACCGAGCGGGCGATAAGGCACCCATAGAAAGCGTCATGCGAGCAGAGCACGGAAGTGGGCAACAATTGCGCAAGGCAGGAACTCCAATGGGCGTCGAGAAAACAAAGGATAGTAACTACGGGGATGTCGAAGGGGCGACAATGATGCCAGTAGTTTACCGCAGTTGGGGTTGGTGTGAGATCACCGCCGAGCCAAGCTTGTCGGCGGGCGTTCCAGAGTTGCAGGTGCAACTTGAAGGTGCAGCAGAGCCATCAAAGGGGAAGAAGCGCGGGCGGCCACGCGAGGTGATTGGTGTGGGGGCGGATGCCCCTCAGCCAGAGTCAGCCTCGACATGCACGGACCACATCATATGCAGGTAACGGGATTGGGGCGCTGTCTTTGTGTCCCTTGTTTGAAGATCAGCCGCAAGGGTTTAGTGGCATTGTTACCCGCCACGGGGGTCTCAGCACGCATGTGCACCGGTGGCGGCATGCTGACCTCATCTTGAAGAGCTGAGGCCACTCAACCATCAACAATTGGCATCGCTTGAACAATCCGCTTGGTTTGTTATTTCCCCCAACTACTTCGTAGACAAAACTTGCCCACAAAGAGTGGCTGCGCACTCGACGATAGCACGGAGCACTAGTCCGTACATTTGGATTACGATTGTGCCACCTTAAACCGTTGGACTATAACTACTTACCTACCTCAGAAGCCGAGCCTTCCTCCCGACCCTGGTTTCACTCGAACCCGATTTCCGCAAACGCCAAATTCTCCCATGATTCCGACTTCTTTGCACCACAATTGATGCGACCAATATATACTCTTTAATTCGTTGAGCTTAGACGGGCGAGGCGTCCCCTCGACGCAGGATGACGAGCGCGGGCGATTTCGATTTGAACAGCCTTTCTGCGACTCAGCAGGAAGCGCTCCAACAGTACACAGATGTAACAAGCCAAGAGATTAAGGATGCGATTCCTCTTCTCGAGAGGTCACAGTGGAACGTGCAGGTCAGTACGCCGCCTCTACGACGACCAACCTAAACTGATTTCCGTCTAGATTGCTATTGCCAAGTTCTTTGATGGCGAAGGCCCCGACCCAGTCGCCGAAGCCCAGGCAGCACACGATAATATTCCCCGGGCCACAGCGAGACATGAAAATCTACACGAGAGCTTGCTAGATGCTAGCAGCCGACCACACCGACCGGCAAGACGGCCTCAGACAGAACCTGCCCCACGCGTCGTGCCCCGTCCTTCGGTGCTATATCGTACGCCATTCCTGGTCGCCGTACTCTTCGCGCCGTTTCGAGTTGGATACAAGGTCTTCGCTGGCATCTTCGGGTCGCTCTTTTATTTCCTATCATTTCTACCACAATCCATACGCCCACGGCTTGCGGCATCTTCCATCTCGAAGGGATTGAGGCAAACAAGCGGGCGAAGAGTGACCCTCCCCAAGGAAACGGCCCAGAGGTTTCGGCGGGATTTTGAAGAAGAATACGGAGCACACGGCCTCCCATTCTTCGAGGGCGGCCATGCCCAAGCATTTGACACAGCCAAGAGGGATCTCAAATTCTTACTCACGGTTTTGTTATCTCCAGAACACGACGACACAGAGACCTTTGTTCGGAACACGCTCTTGTCACCCGAGGTTGTGAACTTTATCAACGATCCCGCCAACAATGTCATTGTATGGGGAGGAAACGTGTTGGACTCGGAGGCATACCAAGTCTCCAGGGAGTACAACTGTGCCAAATACCCTTTCTCTTGCGTCATCTGCCTCACACCCAAGGAGGGTAGCACACGCATGGGCATTGTAAAACGCCTTGCCGGGCCCTTGACAGCAGAAGCATACCTCGCTGGGATTCAGGGCGCCATCACCAAACACGGCCCTGACCTGAACGGCGTCCGGTCAGAGCGAGCCGCGCAGGAGATGGCACGAGACCTCCGCTCTCAACAAGATTCGGCTTACGAAAGGTCTCTGGCCGCGGATCGGGAAAGGGCGCGCCAAAAGCGGGAGGCGGCGGCGGCGGCTGCGGCGGCGGAGAAGCGCGCGCAGGAGGAGGCCGAGGCAGCCGTCCGCCTACAAGAGCAGCGGCGGAGATGGAGAGAATGGCGGGCGACCACCATCGCACCGGAGCCCGACGCCGCAGCAAAGGACGTCGTCCGCCTGGCGCTCAACATGCCTCCCTCGTCAGGCGCCGGTCGGGTGATTCGCAAATTTACCAACACGACGACGCTAGACGAGCTGTACGCTTTCGTGGAATGTTACGAGCTGTTGCAAGCCGAGCCCGGGAAAAAGAAGGTAGAGAAGCCCGAGGGCTACGAACACAAATACGGGTTTCAAATCGCATCGGTCTTACCGCGGGAGACATTCGAGCCGAGTGCAGCAGCAACGGTCGGGGAGAAAATGGGCAGGGGAGGCAACCTTGTCGTTGAAGATCTCTCCCCCGATGAGGACGGAGAATAGAAGATCGAGGCAGTTATTATGTACTTGATAGGATGGCAGGGGTGCACATCTTAAGTACAATCTAGCTAGATACCTAAGGTACCTACGTGTAGAGCTTGATTTTCCCTCCCCAAAAGCCCCCCACACGTTGTACTGCCTAGGTAGGTATGTTTGAGTTATCATCCAACGTCCCCAGTCGACCTGCAACGGCGCATTCAAGGTCTCAGCCACATGGCCACTCCACTGCAGGTCGATTGTGGGCCGAGACAATGACTGCGGGGCTTATCTTATCGGTCTTTGGTGTCGAAGTCCAAAGCCAACGCTTTTCGGGCCTCCCACCGGACAACTAGTGGACACTGGACGGCGGTCGATCGCGATGGTTGCTTGCGCGTCCCGGCGACGGCAGCGAGGCAGTGCATACTCTTATGTCCGGCTTGGCAACGCTTTTCGCCATGACCAACACCATTGTCGGCGAGAAGTTTGGGGTCAGGTTGAACTTTGTTAGATGAGCCACTTCTTTCTTGGGAGAAGGTTGGTCGTCTCTCCGTTGATGATTCCCCAGTTTTGTCTGATCTACGCGTCTGGTCCCTTGGCGCAACCACCCCGTGACAGGTTGCCGGCGGATGACATTGTCCCACACTACTTTGTTTGAGTTCGGAGTTGTTGCCTTCTACATACATAATATCAATCTGGGATTCGCTGCTTTTGGTGACTCCAAATCCTAAGACTGCGTTGCAGTGAAAACGGAGCCGAGCGAGACCAGGACCCTTGCTGCCTAGCGCTTGGACGGTTAGAACGCGGAGGGCGGCGAGACGACACTGGCGGTAATTATAAGCCACAGGAATCACTAATTGCTGGCAATTCGCGACAGCATCCAAACGAAACCATTATTTTGGCGGTATTTGGGCCACTCCTATCCCGTCAACCCCCCGAGTTCCCCCCTCCGACATCTCGACGTCCTTTGCGCACTACTTGCATCGAGTTGAAGCCAGCAACGGTCTTGCGCGCTGCGCTGTCGCATTCGACGAGATGGGGGGCTTTAGCATGAACAAGGTGCTGGGCAACTTAAAAAAACGACAGACATTTGGTGGATGTAAGCCCGTTCCTCCCCAGGATATTCTGTCTACGCGCAATCCATAGCGACCGAGATGCTGACGTGTTGTTGCTAGCGACGGGCAGCGTTGACGAAACACCGATCGATCACGCAAACGATACACCCGATTCCATTGCCGTGCGCTGTGTGGTATGAACCAACGTCATCGATCACCGGCCGGACTGGCACATCGCGGATGCTAATTAGGAGACATAGAAGCAATTTTGCTTGTCCGTGGGAAGTTCGTCGGTACGTCAAGGGCTCGCCTGCCCCGCGCGGCCTTGTGATGGCCAGAACGGCAAGCTAATTTCCGCATTGCTGTGCGCTTAACAGGGAGATGATGTGGTATTCCTTCCCTCGATCGTCGAGGCTACCGTTGCCTCCCCGGCCGCCGCTGCCGAATCCGCCCGCCTGATCCGCAAGTTCCTGCAGCGCGACTACTGGTCGAAACCATCGTGTCAATATAATGCCATCATGCTCGTCCGGATCCTCGCCGACAACCCGGGCCCGGGTTTTACAAAGTTCATGGACAAGAAGTTCATTGATGCCACCAAGGAGTTGCTCAGATCTGGAAGGGATGCGAGCGTGCGCCAAATCCTGATGGAGACGCTGGACTCGTTCGAGACCAACAAAAGCCTCGACGAGGGGCTAGCCCCGATGATCGACATGTGGAAAAAGGAGAAAGAGAAGGCTTACAAAACCTATGGGGTGAGTGCTGACTGAGAAGCGAGCCGGGGAAAGTCTAGTCTATCCGCTAACATGCCTACACAGGGAATGTCTGGTGTACCAGTCCAGCCGTCGATGATGATGCCACCGCCGGGCTTCAACCCATACCCTCAGCATCAACCCCAGGCTTACTATCCTCGGCCGGGCCACAGCAAGCGTCTTCCGGACCCAATCGAGCTCACAAACCGGTTAGAAGAAGCGCGGTCGTCCGCCAAACTTCTAGAACAAGTTGTCGCGTGCACCCCCGCCTCTGAATTCCTTTCCAACGACTTGATCAAGGAGTTCTCGGACCGGTGTACGAGCGCATCCCGCAGTATACAGGGCTACATGGCAGCCGAGAACCCCGGGCCGGATAATGACACGATGGAGAGCCTCATCGACACCAACGAACAACTCCAGCAGGCGCTGAACCACCACCGCCGCGCCCTGCTACAAGCCAAGAAGCAGCTCGGCCTCGGAGACAACCGGGCCAGCACCTCCAGCCCAGCGCCGCACCTCCCATCACCGATCAACCAGCCGAGCTCCGTGCCACCCGTCCCAGCCAGGAAAGCAGTCGGCGGAGGAGGAACAGGGGGCAACGGCAAGGGCAAAGCCTACCTCGACGCGCACGATTACAGCAGTAGTAGCGCAGCCATCGCCGGCCCGTCGCGCTCAGCGAGCGGCACACCTCACCGCCACAGCACCGACGACGACGATGACAGTCAGGACCCTTTCCGTGACCCGCCGGCCGAGTCCCACTACACAGCGGCAGCAGCCGGCGGCTCCTCATCCCGGCCGGGAGCCGGTAGCGCGCTGGGCGGCGACCGCGGCCCGCCGCGGCTGTCATTTGAGCCGTTCCATCCCGGGTTTGGCGGTGGCTCGTCCTCGGGGCCGGCGGCTGATAAGGGGAGGGCGGAGCCCGTGACGCCCGTGTCGGACGATGGGACGGACGTGTACAGGGCGACGCCGAAACAGGATGGGGGGCATGTCTATCGGTACTAGATACCCTTGGTCGTTCGCGGAGTGTGTGTGACCCCGGTGGTTTCGCTTTTCAGAGATATGATCGTTGATTTTTGCCTTGGGTACCTTATGGTTGGGAAATGTGGCTCTGCTGGCTTTTTTGTTGGCCCCTAGATGGCAGGGTTATCTCTTGCGTAGTCATTTTTTTGCGTGTTTCATGAGCGGAAAGATATGGCTTTGCTACCTTTTGCTTTCAGTTTGTTCCTGTGATTCGAGATATCTTCCTCCCCTGGATCTACATTCTTTGTGTGGTTGATGGCGGCCTTGTACATACATACGCGAGATTATCTGGTTTTCTTATATTCAAGTGGCCGGATGTCGGTATGGCCGTTTATGTTATTCACCACAAGCTTCAGTTTCCTGCTGCTTTCCCGCAATCGCCGCACTCGCCTCCGGCCTGAAGGCAACCCGCTACCAAGTCGATGGCGGTAAAGTGGGTTGTAAAACAACAACCACTCACCTACATTAGCTTAGCGATTGGTTGGTAAATACTCACGACACTCAGTTGTTACATAGTAGTTATCAGTCCTATCATGACGACCAACGCTAGTACCAAACCAAGAAGTAACATATATGGAAGAGGTTGGAAAAACAAGTCACCCTCCTGTGGCGGCTATGCGGCTAGCTAGGTACGGTAGCAGCCAAGGCTCGCCGGCTGCCCTCTTGAAGGGAGGTAGCCGGCTACGAAACCCTGTCTGGGGATTGCTCCGAGAAGGGGGTTCGCCCTTGGCTGCCCTCACTGGCTGGCCACTCAGCAACCTGGAAGTTGTGGATGATATTGGGGGTTGTGAAATTTCTATATCTGCTGTTGACCAGCCACTGCAGTTTTACAACCATTCATCGAGACCACCACTGCCATGGCAACTAAACACCGGATCAACGCTGGCTGGCCCCCTCAGTCAACAACATAGCAAGGTTGAAATCCTAGGCCGTCCATAATAATGATCCTCTCATTACAGCTCTAGAATTCACTCTTCTCTAATCATAGTCAAGACGGTCGCTTAGTTATTCTTATTGATGTCTTTTAACTCAAGTTAATCAAGAGCCTAGACAATTACCAACACCAAAGACCTCAACCTATTTTTCCAAGTCGAGCCATCAGGGACTTTGTCTATAAGCTATTTTACAACACTTTCCGGAGCGGAACCCTAAGGAGGCACGACGGTCTCAGCAAGGCGAAGAGGCTCACTGCTGATTCAAATCCGGACGGGAGCAATAGGCTTAAGGGACTTCTTGTTTACACGGGGAGTCCCGGAGGTTCTGACTCCTGTCTGCGAGTGTGGCGAGAGACGAGAGACTGCCGAACACCTGGTAGTGTGGTGTTTGGCCCCACCGTTGACTCGAAGATGGGAGAGAACTAGAATTCGGACACGACGGGACTTTTACTCTGTCCTACACGGCATCAATCCCACGACTGCACGGCCCGCGAAGAGGATCCTCGACTGGCTGATAGACTCGGGGAAGCTGCCGATGTACAGCTTAGCCAGGAAGCTCGAGCTGGAAGCGGCGGCCTGAAACGCCCCCGTCCTGAGGCCAGGAGGCCTCCTCTCTTTGTATACGCAGACTCACCAGAACGCATCGTTCCCTGATTGTTGGTATGGGTTTTTCACCCGGCCCGGGAAGGCACGGTTTTCCCGTACACTAAATAGCAGAGGGTCCGGCACGCCCTAGGGCATAGCGGAGTATGAATAATAATATTTTACAACACTTCTTTCTTACCTGTACTCCTTCCAGAGAAAATAGTCAACCTTTTTTGTGATGCTATCGCGAAGAGGCCAGGTCATGTCCTTAGGCCGCCCCAAGCGACGCTTCGCATAATTTATATATCATTTTATCCCGCTAATTAGTGGTCTCTTGTCTCACTCTGACGGTTGTCGAGAAGAGGGTAGAAGAAGCGCGGTTAATACCTTCAAGGGGACATTGGCAGGGAATATTGAGTGCAAAAGTTAGGGCTTAGTATCAACATATGACCACAATGCTCCCCAATCATTTGCACCTAAGTCGTTTGAGCCGTGCTTCGCTTCCTCCTCAGGGCTGGGACTCATACGTATCTTCTTCGTCTCTGGATTCAGGGTATGGTGCCAACCTAACTATCTCACAAATCCCTCTGCTGTTGGCTTCGCGAGGTTGTTTGGTTGCCCCGGCATGGCCGTAATGCAAAAATACAAATCAGGTGGCCGCAGGCCGCAGTTACCTTGTACGACACAGAATACTACTCTGAATATTACTCTGAATACTACTCAAAATACTACTATGAATACGACTTTGTGTTCTGTCCCGCCACTAGACTTGAAAGTATGTACCCCGATGGCGCCAGTCCAAACTCGCAGTGCAATATGGATGCATGCCGCCCATGCTCAACCGTCATCTGCTCGTATCCCGAGACATGGCACTTGATGACAGTTTTGTATCAAGCACACTCTTTTGTTTGCCTTGGTAAGTCACCGCAAGCTCCTCGGTTCGGGTACTGAGTGTGAGCTCCGGGATGCAAGTTTGTTTGCGCTACCTCACATGTCATTGTGAAGAAACAGTTGAAAGAAACCAAATAGTTTCCCTTCCTGATAGACTACACCCCGGACTTAAGATATAAGAGGAGACGACGAAGATGCTGTTGGCGACCGATGCAACCTTGCTCCAAGGGCTCGCCTCGGGTAAGGGGGAGCGACTCGGCAACTCTTCACAACTCTGATCGGGCAAGAAATAAATGAAACAACGAACCTCGAGGCCCAAGACCCCTTGTACCCATGATGTTGACGATTGAAAACCATTGGAGGTATTTATTTCCAGACTCCACTCAATGGCTGTTGCCCTCGCAACGCCCCTTGTTGATACCCATGTTGAAGTCTCCACCAAGATGGGCGTGATGGGCCTAGGGTACGACGAGGGCGGGTAACGTTGTTTGATTCTGCACATTCGACCAGGTGTTGAGAAGCAGAACCTCGTATTGGGCGGCGTGGCTTGTTGTTAAGGTATCGGGAGTCAGTACGGGAGGGGGGGGAAACATGGTCTTGAACCAGTTCCTGCTTCCCTTGGTCAGTCTCCATCAAGTTTCTGGGCAACGAGCTGTGAAGAACCCGAGGGATGGCTTGGGGCCCGCGGTTTCCCAGGTCCCCTACTTAGCTACTGAGCCTTGACCAGATTCTTAGCAAGAACTAATCAATAATTCGTGGCGTTTTTCCCGAGTCAGGACCTCAACTAGTCGGACCCTAGCCAGTCGGACGGGCTTGGTGGCACATCTCTCAGGTATCGGATTACCAACTGCTGCCAAGTGAGGCCTGAGGACACTCTACCACACGCATTCAACTCTGTCCACGAGGCTTTTTCTGGTAAGCAGCCGTCAGCGTCAGGTGCAAGGAGTGGACATCAGGTGGTGAGGGCCATGGCCTAACTTACCGTCTGGAAGGATTCAACGATATGAGTTTCGAGTTGATTCTGGTTTTCCTCCGGTAACAGAGAGGCCGGTATTCCATAACGGCCTCAGAGTCCGTTCCCATGTTCGGTTTCGCTCTCCAATCGAGGGTTCAGGTTGATGAAGCCTCTATGTCGGAGACTTTTGATTCTGTCTTTTCATGATTGCACGGCCCCTCCTGATCCTTCGGCTGGTCGCTAGGCTTCCCCGGGGTACTTGACGTGGTTCGGCACGTCAGTAAGCTGACAGCAGCCTGCCAACCAGTTGCGGCATCATAAGCGCCAAACCCTCGTCCAAGCAAGGTTCCCGAAGAGGGTAAAATGGTGTAAAGTTCCAATGCCCCCAACCATTTTGGCCGCACTAGTTTGGTGGTTATCGACAGAGCCCACTGCGGCGCGGCAGTCGGTGGAGGGCTATTCGCCGAGCCTGAAGCTTCTTAATCCCCGAGCTCTTGTTCATCGTAGAGGCACCAATTCCGATCGTTCTTGGGGTCGGACAGGTCGGTGAGAAGGGGGGCGACCGTAAGGCTAGGCGGTTGCTAAATTTAAACCGGTCGAAGGGGGGGGGGGGAAGCGGGCGCTTTGTTGAGGGGACCCAACAGCGCTTCTGGAAGGGCATTATTAGCTCATGGGCGCCGTTTTGGGTGGGTTGGATATTAATGACCTATTGTCCGGAGTTGGGGGCGCTTTTTTGAGTTTGTCGGGTTTGGCTAAGGGCACAAATTGAATGCGGCGGGTTCCCCTCGTTTAGTTCCTCTCGTGTGGTGTTTCGCATTAACCCGTTCGATCCTTCCCTTTAGCTACGGCAGAGGTTAGGCAGGTACCTTAGGGTAGGAGGCAACTGCCCGATCCGAAGCTTGAACCAAGCAAGCGTGTGGCACTGCCCTCCCGCACAATTTGACAAATCCAATGTTTTATTTTAGTTTCTCTCCAAGAGTGAGCCCTCCCCGGCAACTCGTTCGCGACATGGGCCACAAACCAGGACGAGGCTCACCTCAGATCGAATTTCCCTCTGGGATCACACCACCGTAGGGTGGACTTGCCGGTTCTCGTTGCCGTTTTAACGGACTGAAACGGTCGTTAGAGAGAGAGAGAGACAGAGAGAAAGAAGGGATTGCCAGCATATTGGTCAGTTGTAGCCGCAGTTCTCCAGGCTTCAATACGAACTCACCGCAGTGGCGATGAAAATAGCGTCGTAGAAGAGGGCAATTTGCGAATGGAGACGTCATCAGCGAAGAGTTTCCGCCAACTTTTCTCCATCAAGTGCGCAATCTCTTGATCAGTCTGATCTTTTGGTGCCATGGTAAGATCTCACGACGGCTGGAGCCTCCCGCGAATCCCTCCCGGAAGGAAGCGCCCAGACCGCTCTTCGCATTCCACTAATGAGGCTGATGCGCAATCTTGATGCCTCGGGGATTCCCCTTCCTCACCGGCCCCTTTACGTTTAGCAACCGGGCCATTCCTAGTCCCTTGTCGGTCTGCTGCCTGATAGACACACTTCGAAATAACTAACAGTCATTGCGTAGGTCCTTTATAATGACCGCGAATCCGTTTTTCGGTTCTTCGTTCTTACAAAACCCATACGCAGTAATACCACCTCCGTTTCCACATCAAACTCCCCATGGCCGCAAGTCAGTTTCCTATCTTGCCCCCTTTTCCCACAAGGGGTTCGGCCCGTGACGGGGCTCAGCACTGATTGATTCAACGCCCAAGCCTGGGGGCCGCTGGATTGCCAAATGCAAAGCGAGAAATCCCACTGGCCTGCGGTATATCCGGTGGTCAGGTGATGATTAGTGACGATTGGACTGAGGGGGTGATGATGTGTTATTTTGCGAGTCATGTCGCATAACACCATGGGAGCGTCATGGATGTGGCTTGCTTTTTTTTTTTTTCTGCGTTTGACTCCGTTGGGTGCGATGGTGAGAGGGGCGCTGATGCCCGAAGGATCGGACTTTTGGTCCTCTCACGAGCGCCGCGATGCCGCAGCAGCAGCCGAATGTTGGTCTCATGCTGGCCGCTCCTTTTGGCACCCGCTAGCCACTGTAAGGACAATCCACGCCACCAGGCTGGCCCATTATGCTTTTGACCCTGCAGCACTGCCTGAAAACGGCAACCCGCCTAACTACCCAAAATATGATACAAGGACTGCCTCGCAGCAAAAGTGGTGGTGGTGTGAGTCGGCGTAAAATACGTCACTTTTTTTTTTTCACTTTTACACGCCCTAGTGAGCCTTCTTCAGCGCCGCTCCTCTGTGCCGCACAGCGGGAACCCGAGTTCCTCTTCCTGCTTTCCTTGTGAAGGCCGGATTCGCTGGGGAACGAGAGGATAAGGGCACAGAACGCAAGGCAGTGCTAATCTCTTGTGAACAAAGCATTAGAACAACCCCCTGTGGAGTGTCTCGAGAGCGTGTTCTCAAGGCGCTTGACGGGGCTCCATGTGTGGATTTGTTTAAGGCACCTATGCTACACAACTTTTTTCTTGTCACTCCATCGACAGTATCAATCAATCAAAGGAGTGGTGAAATTAATGAGTGTGGCCAGATGCCGATTGCAAAAGGCTCGAATTACTCATCGGGCCAGTAATCAAAAGGCAACCACCCACCTGAGGAGACGAGATCGGATGGATGTTGACGAAGCCGGCTGTAAATGACACCAACGACTCCAAGCTGGAGGGATCAACCCTCCCGCACGCACCCCGGAGCATCGAAACGGAAACACCCTTCAGGCTTGGCCTCCGAATGTTCCCAACCCGGAATGAAATAGGGGTTAATAAAACCAAGCGTCCCGCTGTTGCACCGGTGGCTCGCCCGGGGCTAGACACCTGCGTCAGTGGAGCGCCACGCCATGCGAGATGCGAGAAAAGAGTTGTGATAGCTCGTCGGCCAGGGATGAGGCCCCGAGAGAAAACACGGCACGCCCGGCAGCCAGCCAGCCAGCCAGCAAATAGTTGCTCTCGCGGCCCCATCGGCATAGCAACGCACCAAGCAGCCACATCCCTGAGCCATCGCCGCATAGCGTGTCACCCGCATCACCGACCATCCAACTAACGAGTTGTCCCCCCTCCCCCATCCGACCAGCGGCACCAACAAAGCAGCACGCCTAGATCGGCCAAAAAGCCGAGCCTGGCCCAGTCCAGTCCAGCCCAGTCCAGTTACGTGTATGTACATAAACACTTTCCCTTACTGTACTTGCGACGGCGGTGGCCCTAGCGACACCCCCCTTCCTCCCCAAGCGATGCCTGAACAACGTCGCCGGGATACCGCGGCTTTGCCCGCCCGGAAACCCCATCCCCGCCGCCGTCGCCGCCGCAGGAGCATCCATCAGCAGCACTTTGCTACCCCATTTGCCGAGGATCATGCCACTTTGGGGTAAGCGGGCGCCGGAGCGGAGAGAGGGTAGGACGACGACAGCCAGAGCTCTTTTCCGTTGCTCCAGCTTTCTCCGTCCCCTGGTTCTGCGTGAAAGGTAGGTAGGGGAAGATACTTTAGTGCCCATAGTTAGTGTGCGGGTACATCATGTGTGCCGCGGCCAGATTCTCTCCGATTCTCTCTCTCTCTCGTGTTTTGGCTCCGTCCACCGTCACAACCCCTCTCTCCCCCCTCCCCCATCCTAGTTTAGTGAGTGGGCTAAGTGGCATACACAGCAGTCATCCCTGCCGGGGCGACTGCGGGATGGTGATCTGTCCCGCGATCGTTGGCCGACTCGCTTGTTTAGGGTCGCAGTCGGACGCTGCTGGCCGTTTGCTGCAGCTACGGGGCCGGGGCTCGGCGGGAAGTGGATAAAAAGACACGCTGGGCAATGCTGTTTGCCGGGGGGGACGAGCGGGTGGATGGTAGATGATTGGGGGATTGTCAAAGAGGAATCCCAGACTTGATGCTACCTGTAGCAAAAGCGCTGGTCCTCGATTTTTTCTCCGCCCCGAGCCCGGCTTGAGGTCGGGACTGCTAAAACTAACGTAATCGGACCGCTCACTGTTTACATCGTGTTCGCAAAGCACAGGTGGTGATGAAGAGAGTAAAATGGAAGCGAAGGGAAATAGAAACAGCCAGGGGGGGGGGGGGCAGATGAAAAGGGGAAAAGATCATGATGACAATTGTGCCGCGAGGCAATTCCTTTCTTCCACCACGCACTTCTAACTGAAGATCAAAAACATAACTTGAGCCGACCCAGGTAAAGCAGATAACCCCCAGCACAAGGATGCCCTTCGTTGAAGAGTCCTGGCCCATAGACATTGAACTCAATATGCCAACCCCCCCGCCTGATTTCAACCTCATGACATGATTGAAACCGCCCAACAGACGAAACATGGAGAAAAATGGAAACCACGGGAATCATGATAAGCGGAAGCAACAAGATAGGAAAGAATAGCGTGAGAGGACTGCGCTTGCATTATTCTGTCCTCTTTAGAAGATGATGAAAATGCCTGACAGCCGACCCCCGCGGCGCAATTTTGTATGACTAAGTCGGTTAATTCCCGAGTTGATAACCCAGATCTGCTGGTGACGAGCAGCAAGCCGCCGGTTTTTCAATTCCGATCTGCCGCCAGCCCCAAGAATCCATCATGAAATCACGATCGCCGATTCAACCTCCCCAGCATGCTTTGGTCAATTTCGTTGACTGTACGAGGTGCGGGGCCCATCAGGTTATCCAGACTCATCGGATTTGGCTGGCTCTTTGCCTGAGGTGGGAGCTGAGACTGCTGCTGCTGCTGCTGAGGCTGTTGTTGCTGCTGCTGCTGCTGCGTCTGGGATGGCCCAGCTTGTGAGTTTCGCATCTGTGACGGTGGCGGGATGGGGCGGCCGGGTGTGTTCTGATTCGGGGTGGGAGGTGTGTCCCGGTCATAAGGGCTCTGCTGGTACGAGTGATAAACTGTGGGCGGGGTGCCGTTGCTATGGATTGAAACAGGAGATCGCCTTCGGGGGTCATCGTCAAGCGGGTAGTTTGGCGGAGGTGGTCGAGCGCTGTGCTCCTCCTCCGGCGGCCGGGTTCGTCGGCGGCTAGGATCCTTGTCGTCGTAAGGTGGTGGTGGGTAAGACCCCGTGGGTGAATGCATCGGTGGGGTGTATTCAGCGGCCGGGTACGGATAAGCACGAGGTTGCTGACCTGACTGGGCGGTGGGGGGTAAAGGTTGGCCATAAGCCCCGTAGAGCGGCGTCCCCGGCGGAACTCCGCCCGGGACCGCCGACACCGGGACAAATGCGGCCGAGGAATTCGACGACACGGGCTGAAAGATGCAGTCGATTCGGAGTTTGTCGCAGTTGGTGCATTTACCATTAGTGGTGTGCGTGTAGCCACTGCAGCGGATCTATCAAAATACCGAGTCAGAACAAAACTTCTTGTAGCAGGGTGGCACTCGGTTGATTGTAATCAAATACCTTTCTCTTGCGGCAATATCGGCAGGCAATCGACGTCCTTTGCCTCGGTGCGGATTGTTGTTGGGAAGGGGGCGGCGGTGGCGGAGGGCCCATTCCGTAATAAGGCCCGGGCGGGTACCTATAGTAGTCGGCGCCGTACCCGCCCCTGCCCGGCGGGGCCTGCTGCGGATCGTAGTATGGATCAGGAGGATACCCCCTCCGGTCGTTGTACTGCCTCTGCTCGTCGTACAACCGCTGCTCATCATACTGTCTCCGGTCGTCGTACTGCCGCCGGTCGTCGTACTGCCTCCTGTCGTCGTACGGCCTACGGTCATCGAACTGCCGACGGTCTTCAAACTGACGTGGGTCCTGGGGGGGGAAAGGTGGAGGATAACGAGCATCTGGTTGAGGAGCGTAGCCGTTCGGGGCGGGTGGCTCCGGCATCCAGCCCCTCGGGTCCGCTTGGTATCTTGGGTCTGGTGCATAAGCCCTCTCTTGGTACCGCGGATCCGATTGATACGGCGGGCCAGGAGGCGGGTAGGGCATGGGCGGGAGCGGCATGCCGTCTGGTCCTGTTGCGGGGAGTCGCCTTCGGTCTTCACCCTCGGGAGGAGGTGGGTAGCGCAGGTCTTCAGCATTATCTCGTGGTGGTTCCACCCGTCCTCTGCGGTATTCGTCTGCCATTTTCAATGACTGTGGGTACGTGGTACGGTTTGGCGTAAGAGTGATGGGATGGGAGAATGCCGTTTCAGTGATTTTTTACTCTAGAGTGACCCTCGTTACCGGCAAACTAGAGAGACATGTGAACGTCCCAGTTGCGAGGGTCGTGGTATTCTTGGCAGGCCGTGCAAGTAGTCGCCTTTGGCCCTGTCAAGCACGGGTTCGAGGTCCAGCTGACAGAGAGAGTGAAGTGACGTGACCCTTGGTGGTAATTCCCAGCAGCAAGCAAAGGCCCCGGCGACAAAATCCGGTGCAATGGGTCACAAGTTGAAAAATGAAGCCGCGAAGTCGGCGGGGAAGGAAAGTGGGTGGGATGGATGAATAAATAGACGGAAAAGGTGGGCGGGTCAGCTGGGGTTGGGAAGGAAGGTGGGCGGGTAATGATGTATGGATGTCGCGCCCGGGGGGCGGGAACTGGAACGAGCCTTTTTATCAAAGCAAGGAGCGGGAGTTCCCTTGTGCTGACGGCCTGGGTCCCGAAAGTTAGCGTTGGATGAGATGCGGGTGGGCACGACCAGCGGGGGCTGAAAAGGCAAAATAACCAAGGGGGCTGCATGAAAACCATCAGACCCCTTGGAGTGGGAAGGACGCAGGCCGCTCCTGCTGTAGCGAATCAAGCGCCTTCCCAAGCGTTCAGCAGCGAAGCGTGAGCGGTTTCGATCGCCCACAGTGGGTAACCAAGGAGGCACCGGCTGACAGAACGGCACGGGGGAGGGAAGGAGGAGGAGGGGGGGGTGTGGAACATGGATGAGGGATGGAAAGCGGGAAGGAAACGGAAACGGGCGTATTGTGCAGGTGTGAGCTGCATGGTACTGGGGGGTACCAGGTGGTGTTTGGGAGGGGGGGTGGTTGCATCGGCTAGGAATGTCGCAGAGCCGGCATGGGCAGGGTGTGGGAACGAAAGCCTGTGCGCACGGCCAGACTGGAGCGGATTCGACCGAGTGACCATACTTGGAGTTAATTGGAAGGAACGCAGGCTGGCAGGGAACCAGTTTAAGACGATGCGCTTGCACCAAGGAAAACTGGTTCTCCTTCGTACCATCCATTCTTTCCTGACCGCCTCCCATGGAGAAATGGAGAAACGGAGAATTGGAGGTAAAATGCTCCGCTCAATCCGCCCCAGCCGATACGATGGCATTCGGTGAGCGGCAAGGTGAGTCGAAGGTGTGACTTTGAAATGAGACGCGCATACGGAGCGTATGTACAGTAAGCGTAAAATACACGACATACCAGAACAAGGTACGGTACCCTGCCCGTGCCTGTCGGTTCAAAAAACGTGACTGGATCCGTTTGTGAGTCTCGAGCCTGGCGATTGATCGAATTCGAGAACGAGCAAACCGAACCGGGCTTGTCAATGGTTGCTGCAACTTTTCGGTGGATCAAGCTCCTCACAGATAAAAAGAAGACCCAAGATGTTCCGGGATTTCGGGCTGGCCCGGGTGGACAAGGGAGGTATGATGGAAGACCTTCAACTATCAAAGCGCCAAGCTGGCGCTTCGCCGTTTGGTCTGGCTGATGTGGAGTCGCAGTCCGGGGAGGAGGAAATGAGGAAAATCTGAGATCAGTGTGTTAAGCCGATAGTTATTGCAACAGGTGATAATCGAGGAAGATGGGAGGGAAAAGGGTGTTGAAAAAGATGGGTTGCTTATGATGGATTCGTCGGTGTTCCCGTATGATGTGGCCGCAGCAGGTGTTGGGTCACAGGCTCAGCGGCGCATGCGCAACACCCCAGCACCGAATTCCGTGGGCCACGGGCGAGGTGGGCAAGGTCAAGGTTTCAAGGGGTCCCCTGAACCGGTCCCAGCAACGGAGGTGGTGGCTTGGGGAAAGGGTGGATCATGGAAGCGACGGAACTTCTTGCTGGGGAGCAGGTGCGGGCCGCGGTCCCAGTTCAGGCGATTGCCCGGGGTGGGCGTTCCCGCCCGGGCCAGGGATGTGTTGGTATTTACCAGAGTAAGGAACATGGAAAGCCGGTTATTTACAATACGCATGTGTTTTCCGTTTCTCGCCTAACAAGAAGCAGGAAAACTTCAGATGCAGTGCCAGAAATGCAATGTTTTGATCCCGACGGGCTTGCTCTCAGCGGCTTGCTAATCGTGATATTGGCTTCAGAGGCACCCACTAAAACATACTCTATCAATTTCATGAGATAGTCGATATTTGTTGTGTTTTGCTGCGTCATGACAGCAAAGCGGCGCTGGGTCGCAGTTGGGGCCGCAGGACAGGGGTTCTTATCCCTTATTTGCCGCCAAAACATGGCGTTTTCTTCTCAACTCCCATCTCGCAATAACTCTACCAGACGCGAAACAAAACACAGCTTTGCGGCGATTGGCATTAAAGAAATCGCAGGACGCCTATGCGCCATCCCTAAAAATAATGCATTGCCTGATCGTTACGCGCCCGCTTCTATTTGTGCCTCTTGTCTTGTATGTACATGCTCGCTTCGGTTGGGGGCCAAGGCCAAAGTACACAGTTGGGTGGCGCTGACGGTGTGAAGCATGACAGCATGGCGCGGTACCTACTTTACCCAGTACTGGCAGGGCTAGGAATACCAAGTCCAAGTTTTCTTGAAAAGGCTTCCGTAAGAATACGGTGGACTTGAGCCAGTGCCAGCAAGAACCGATTTTCGATCCGAAAGACATGCCCGAAGCCTCGGCGAGCTCGGTTACACAGTCCAACCGATATGCTTGGCTTCGGCCCGGTGCACTCGTTAGGTCGGCAACAGCTGCTGACTCCTCGGTATGTACAGCATGTGTGTTTCGTGGCTTGTTCGTCAAGTTGTCGTCACCATCCATCACGGCTTGGCTCGCAGCAACCAGGCTTCGTAACTCAGCACGGCGTTTCTTGAGAATAGGCTATCAAAACACGCCGGTAGAGACTTACCAAACGGCTATCCTGTGCAAAAAGCCGAAGGAGCGGGTTGAAAAGGAATGTCGAACACACACTTAAATTCGTGCAGTTGCCCAAGGAAGGAGGCGGGGGTTGATTACATGGCTTCGGAATATTTTATCGTTTCAAGCGAGTGGGCGTATGAATCTCCGTAGAAATTGTTTTACATACAAGACATCCCATCCCATCGAATGGAACGACCGACCGAAAAGCGCCGTAATTCAAGGAATTTCGCCAAACCACATCTGGTCAAACTGATGGCATTCCTCTCAAGTTGAATGCCGATCGAGCCTGTTGCATGTGTAAAGTCAGCGCCATCATGGGCTGAGACTGAACACGCTCGTGTGATACAATTTGGCGTCAAGTTGATCGACCACCGTAGGGTGAGACGGATGGCACACTTCCGGGCTCCTACGTCTTGCTTGCAGATGACGCTCAACGCCGGCCGTGATACGCGAGAAATGCAATCAACATTCCATTTATCAGCAACTCCGCTGCAGGGAGACCAGAGCTGCATTTGCCACGTCGTACAAGCCAGCTCGGGCAGCTATCCTTCAAGCCCGCAAAGTTGCCCGAGGGTAAAACGAGGAGGTAAGGGAAAGAGCCATCATCAGATTCGATACAAGAATCACCGAAATTAAAATGCGGTGGTTCGGACGGGAGGGAAGGCGCAACCATCCGACGTGAGGAAGCGGTGACCGAGGAAAGATAACAGCAGGCTTCCGTGGGGTTGCAATTCATCCCGTCACTCGTGTTCCTCGACTCGCACGATCGATCATTCCTGTGGCACACCGGACAGAAACTTGACGGGTCGCAGCAGCATCGAGCAACCAAATTTCCGTCCCGTCCCGCACGTTTGTGCCTGTGTCTCTCTGCCTCCGCTGGCCTGAGATGTGTCACTGCCGCGAGATTGGGTAACCCCGCCTTCGCTGCGTGCCAATCGTTGCGATACATTGACAACCCCGAGTTGTGTTCTAGACCGTCCGACGTGAACCGGGCCGAGGGCATCGCTTGTCGACAGCCGTAGGCTCCTCTCGCCGCACCCCGGCCTTGCCGAGAGATCAGGCGCAACCAAAACTTGGTCTTGCGGGCCTTCCCGCGCAGGCGCCGAGGAGGGAAGATCTGATCGAGCCGCCGATTACACGGCGCAGCAATCCAGGCCTCGAAAACATATGTGCATATACATACATGCTCGCTTTGAGGGGTCTCTCCCCGTCGATATGCCCCGCCCCATGATGCGGAAGGAGACGGTTCAGGCCCAAGAACGAAATGGCGCCTCCAGCTGAATGGCGGGGCATCGCCGCCACCCCATCTCTCCCGAGCCGCTGGGAAACCGGCGTTGCAGGGGTATTTTCCCAGTTCAATGCTTCTCTGCCCGCATCCTCAGCCGGCCACCATGTCCTCGTGAGCAGTGGGTCACCGCAGCGGTTGGGCGAGGTTACGCGACTTGAAAATGTCGCAGTCTGTTTGTCGCGCCCAAGGTACCTAGGCTATCCTTGTCCGACCAACTTTGGCGATGCCTTCCCGATTCCGGAGCTGTCCCATGGAGCGTCGCTCTCCCGCTTGATTACGAGTTCCGGTACGGCGTGATTGATTTTCTCGCACCTGTTTACTTTTGAGAGATGAAAGCTCTCCCACCCCCCAGCCCTGCATCGCCCCTTGTGGCGACTTGCAGCATGGTGGCGAGAGATGCATTCGAAGGAAAGTGAGAGATGATAGAACCTGCAGCCGAACCACTCACCGAGATTGACGGGGAAGCACCGCCCGCCCCGCCATCACGACCTCCAAAGCACGCTGCAGCAGACGACCGATGACGAATCAACGCCCATAGTCCGACGCGGAAGACCACGCTACTTAAGCTGTACTAAATTAATGAATCAGCAGATCGTACCAAGCTGAGGTGGAACATCCCCGCGCAGAGATGGCACGCGGCAGGCATCGGTCACAAAAAACGAACATTGAGGGGGGACTTGTCGGGGCGGTGCAAACGGACATACCCTCATACACATTACCTTAGGTGATGTACATGTACATGAAGAAGTGGCTAGGGAGCGAGGGTGGGTTGCAAGCCCTCGTCGCCAAACTCCTCGTCAAAACCAAATGGACGGTGGGTCGGCTCTGCGTCCCCGCCCCGGCACCCGTGCCTCCGGCAGCTCGATGCAAAGCCGGCGGTGGTCGTGGTCACACACCAAGGAACTGGCGGCACGCCGCAGCCCGCCTCGTCGGTGTTGCCATTCCGTCACACCCTGCACAGTATCAGCAGGAAACCCATCCTGTTGTGTGCTCGGGTGTCCGGCTCTCTGTACCAAGCCAAGGGCACAGAATTGAGTGCAAGGGCGCTGTCGATTCGGCAAGCCCGTCTTTCTCCGCTGCCAAGCAGCCCTCAGCCGGTGGGGACAAGGATCGGATGGATCGATGGAAGTGACGGCGGCATGGATTCGCGTGCCGCCCGAGCGCCCGTCCCCTCTTTAGGCTCATCCCGCTGTCCTTCTTCCGGGTCCAACCTTTGATTGGCCCGTTTCATCTGCATCCTTGCACCCTTTCGACTGCTCCCGCATGGCAGGCCGCTGCGGCACATGCAACTGTGGGAGTCATTGGCTGACGGGTTTCTGGATCGCATTCTCCCCCGAAGGCTCGCTTCTCCCACCTCCAAGGCACGAGGAACCCGTGTTGAGACAAGTGGCAGGCTGTGTCGCCACCAATGCCGTGTTTCAATCACAAAGCTCACTCTCCCTGCATAACGCTGGAAACAGCCATTACGCTAGCTTTGCTTGAGTTAGCCAAACATTTGATGAGACAAAGAATAAGAACAGGATTTTGAAGGCATCGTCGAGTTTCGGAGCCAGGGCCGTGCGCCATAAGAAAACCAAACGCCTCTCGCACGGCACGAATGCCATTCGGCTGCTTGTTTCAAGACCAGGTCCGGTTTTGTGAGGAGCTCCCTATGCATACCTGGGTAAAGTTATTGGCTAGGATCGGGCTATTAGGCAGCTCCGTGCGCAAATCCAAGAGACAACGGCAGCAACCGCATCTCTTATCTCTAGTACTAGACACACCCCATACATCTTGTAGTCCGTGGTTCTTTGTATCGCTGACAAGCCGCTTTGATGATAGGTGATGTGTTTTTTTTTTACAAGATTGCCGGCCGAAGGGGAAGTCGGTTAACCCGCTCATGAGTACATCGTCCTGAATGATGCAGCATGTCGAGACCCCGAGTGACATCGCTGATTTATTCGCACCCGCAAAAGGGATGAGGCATCAGTAACGGATTCTTTTCTGTGGTTGTCCAACCGGTAACCGTTGCTTCAGATTAACATTGCCCGGGCATAGTTAAGGCAGAAACCGCAAATGATGTCGCTGATATGTCAAAGACGATGTTCGTTGATGCCTAATCTACATAGGTTACCTTGAAAACGCCCTACACAGTAACAACTAAGCGTACGAAGTCAGGTAATTACCGTGTTGCTGAAGGCATTACACTATGATACTACATGACACAGACGGGACAGTGGGTACGGGAACGTCCCGCGCCCGCCGTTCCCTTGCCTTGGGTTAGTCTCCGTCCGGATGAGTCCTGGAGGCGATGCTGCGTGACGGTCCCACACGGTTTCGAGGAGGCGAGGGCGCTAATGCGCGCCGGTTAGGAAACACCAGGGTCAACAGGGTCGGCAGGGTCGAAGAGAGCCAAACAGCAGCGGCACACACCAGCATCTTGTTGATGGGCGACAGCGCAGATAGAGCCTGAGAGCTCTGGGCAAATCAAGGATTGACTGGCACGAGATTGGCTTGATCAGAAGCCCTCATGTGTATCGGGCATCAACATGCCTCCCTCATGCAGTGTGGCCTTCATGCAATTGACTCGACCCCATCCCACGAACAGGGACCCTGCCGTCGGTTGATTCAACTAATTGAACCATTCACCCAGCTCATCACGGTCATCCGCAGGCCCGTCAGAGGAGCGACGGCCCTCAACATCTCGCCCCAGCATAGCCCGACGGGTCCCTGCCTGTAAAGAATAAAAACTACGATCACGCCGTTCCAGTTCTTTCCAGGACCGGATTTCGAGAACGGGATCTAAAAGGCGAAACGGTCAGCGATAAGGTACGAAGTGACGAGCGGGTCTCACTCATCAACGAAACGAGGAGTCGAGTACCATGGGGGTGCCCCTTTGATGACTGATTTGCGTTTGGCCGCATATCCCTTGCTTCGGATGCGACCGTCGTGCCCTCGGAAGTTCCAAATCGTGATCAGTTGACCCCCTTCTTTGCTCGGCGCTCCCACCCCCCACACACACAAAAACGATCAGTCATTTCCCAGCACGGCGAAGAATGCATTCAGCGAAGCGCGCGGTGCCACGAAAGGCCGAGCGCATCCCCGACGCCTCGTAGTTGCCTTCTCCCGATGGCAGAAAATGTCATGGCTCGCCAGTAGCGAGACAAAAGTAGGCCAATTCCGAGCCTCTTGTCGAGAGTTTACTCGGAGCCCAACGTCAGACACTGTTTCCCCCCCGGCGCCGCCCAAGCAAAAGCACGCCAGGCATTGGGCAAATGCGGCGGCGCAAGAGATCTTGTGTGTCCGGCCCGTTTGAAAAGAGGTGATATCTATGCAATGTAATCCCCGTTTGAAATAATTTTGGCAAAGGAAGGCGGCCGATTGAGGTGAGACGATGCCTCACCATCTGACGATTGCGAGGCACGGGAATCCCAAGGGAAAAAATGGGCCATGGTTGGCGTCGTTGCAGGCCAACCAACAGCGATCCGCTGACGCACTCAAGCGGCGTCAAACAATCAGGGACCGGGCCCAGGCCGCTTCTTCCAGAATTGCACGAAAAGGCGGTCAACTGGTTGGGGAAAGTTTTCGCCCCCAAGCCGCTGTTCGCATCGCGATCTTGGGATGCACCAATCTCTTGCCAAAAATGGTTCGCGATGGGGTGCGCGCAGTTGTGAATGGCCGAGTGGCCGCCTTCTGTTCAACCAACACAAGGACCCATCCGAGGTGCCCAAGACAAATCAGCGCAGGGCTTGGCTCTCACGTGACCTACCCGTCCTGCACCCCACATTCTCCCGTGCGCCAGTTCCCGAGAGAGACGAGGGGATCTCATGTTGCTGGCGGGGCTGGAATCTTCCTGAGATAGTTAGCCTGGAAGCAGCCGAGATTTCCCCCAGCTCTCCCAGTCTCTCGTCTTCATCTCATTTCCATCTGGCCGCCATCGATTCTCCGCTATCTATCTACACGATGCCACCTTAATTAGGCGCTCCACCTTCAAGGACAAAAGCGAACGGAGCACCCTCCGATCATTCGACAAGAGCATGTTGTGTGAAGGGAACCTCCCTCAGGACTGCAAATTTGTGTGGTCTCCTGATTGACTAGTGTAGGTCCGCCGGACATTTCCGCCCATTTTGCTAGTTAGCAGTCAGTAAGCAACACAACAAACCTGGAAGTGGGCGATCGAGGATTTTGGCGCTGTCTCCGGCTTCCGATTGTGTCTCTCGGTTTCCGTCTCGCCTGGGTGATTGGACCCCAAATCCAAGACGCGCCTCCAAGGCTCCCGCTCTTGGCCATCGCGTCGGTCGGAGGAAGGGCAGCCAGGGTTCCCTGTCGCGCCACGTTGCAATGGGGGCCGCGAAAGTTACCATACACAGGAGTGTTGATTCGATACCGTAACTTCCCGTCCCGCCCTTCCCGGTGTCATTCATCCTCTCTCTTCGGTCGTCGGTCGTCGGTCGTCGGTCGAGTTGCACGTTCCACAGTGCACGAGGCACCAGACCTCCACAGCGGCGCGACAAATCTACGATCCACAACATCAAGTACATGCATAACTAATCATTGCTTCTCCATATTTCGTACCCTCTTTGTCTCTCAAGCCTCCCGCCTCGCCTAAAACCAGTGTCGGCTGACACAGGCCGGAGCGACTCGGCGGCAATAACTTGGAATTTGTCCCATGTAGGGCTGAGCCAATGTTTGACCGCTGAAAGCCGACGACCAACAGAACCGCCGGAGTTGCTCTCAACCACCAAAACGCACAATCCGGCTAAAATACTAGCTTCCTTTTCCTGGGACTGTTGCCATCAAATCATTGCGACAAGTCCGAACCTCGCCACCCGACATGACATCGCGTGGATGGGTCTACCAAGTTCCCGGGTTCGGTTCGATTACGAGTCGGACAGGCGGGGGTGGATAAACGGGGTTGACAAAAGCAGAACAAAAACCCGCTGTTTGCGGAGGACTTGTCCTTTCTTTTTCGGTCACAAAGCACGGAAGCTGCATGTCCGTGGATTGAGGGATGAGGGATGAGGGAGGGAAGGGAGGGAGGCACGGAGGCACGGAGGGTTGGAGATCAATCAGCACGGCTCGGCCAGCAGTCACATATTGATATCACTCGCACATATTAGCGCGCGTGGGATCCTGCAGTGTCTGCCCATCAGCAACGCGAACTTTGCAGGGCAACCCTACCTTCGGCGCATTTAGTTATACGTACGTCTCCGCCAAGTTCGCCGACCTCGAACGGGCGGACCGTGACGAGCTCGATGATGGGGCTTCGATTGGTGACTAAATGACCGAGACGTGCTGTGTCCATGCCGATCGGCCGCCCGGGTCTCCGCGCTACCGGTTCGCTTTAGCGTCGGGGCCGGGCCGTGAACATGGTTGGCGATGCGCTGGCACAGCAAAACCCCCGGTGGTTTCTCGCGGCACAGCCTGATTTGGACGGGTTTCAGTCATCCAATTTGAACAAACCAACGGGCGCTGTCGCTGTGCCGCAGCGGCTCGGGTAAGACGTCTGGTCCCGGGGATCCTTCGATTACCCCTGGCCATGGTTGGATCACAGCCGAGTTGCCGAATCAGCAGCCCCGCGGCACAAGACAAGCCGTGCGCAGAAGGTTTCCCGTGCATCGACTGTGATTTATTGCAGCTCGGGTCCGGTACCACCACTCGCGCATCGCCCTCCCGCCAAAAAGACCACAGGCGACCACAAGCGACCACAGGCGACCGCCCCAAAGGGCAAGCCGGGCAAACAGCGGTGAGACTGCCCGCTGATGGAGGTCGTGTAGGTAGTGGGCTGTCGCCCCCCCTCACCCACGCCTTTGAACAGGGCCGCGCGATAATTGCTCGACTTGGCACCGCACATCTCGAAGTGCCCCGTCACTTTTGTTGCGCAGTTGCGCGACGAGCGTGATCTTTTGTCTGGGCTGCTTCCGCCTGTTGTGGACGCGTTGTGGTTGCCATACCATTTCAGACATGCCTTGATTTTCGTGCAACAAGAATCAAGGGGAGGGGGGGACGACGGAGGCTTTCCATGTCGCGGGTCGATCCAACGGTCAGGCAATCCAGTTTCACGGGGGGAAGGGAGGGGGCAATGACGCCTCTTACGGCCCAACGAAGGGCCTGAAAAAGCCCGCTGGAAGCCGCCCAACGGCCCCGCTGGGGTTGCACCGCGCCCGTGTTTCGAGCCAATAATAGGGGGCACCGCTATTATCCAACACGCTGTAACACCCTGAAGCGTACCGAGATGTGCCGCCCCAAAATGTGGGATCTGACAGTTCCTCCCGAAGCGGGTACGGACGGGAAACAAGTCTTGTGAGACCCCACGGGCGCACATCATCCAAGCCTCCCCGCGACATGTCAGACCAACCTGATGAGAGGAGTAATACGAAGGAATCATTCCCCGAAAACGGAATGCTCCCGGATCACCGCGTGGGTCTCGCTAACGACCTGGTGGCACTTATCCATACGTGTGTGGATGGGTTGTGTGTGTGTGTGTGTGTGTGTGTGTGTGTATATTGTACGAAGTATGTACGGTACCTACCGACCGGGCGACCGACAGAGCATGACTGCATGTATGTATGTGCTTCGTCTGCAATGGTCCCCCATCCTTCCCTACCGCGCAGGAGAGAGGGCGGTGGTCCATTGATCACAAGGGACGCGATGGAAAGGGGGGGTGGTGCACTCGCATCTCGCCGTGCCGCGCGCCGCTCTCTTGTTTCGCGACCCTGACCCCCGGCTTACCACGCCGACCAGCAGCACACCAGCCTCCCCGCCCCTGCGCAGCTAACCCGCCAACTCGCAGCAAGCCTCTTGCCGTTCTGTTCGTCGTGCAGTTCGCCGTGCAGCGCCGACATGCCGCAGCCCAGCCCAGCCGGCGGCTGCCCGTCTTGAGGCATTTGGATAGGCCGCACACCGGCCGGCATTTCGAGTATGGGGAGGCGCCTATCGGTCACACCCAGACATTCATGAGACGCAGCCAGTCCGAAGAAGCATGGCTGCGTCGCGCAGATTTGTTGCGCATGGGCGTGTGAGACTTTTCTTTTCTCCCTGACTGTTGTCTACATACACACATACACACACGAGGCGAAGACCGCCCACATTACCACCCAAGTGACATGGTCCATGTCAACCTGGCCACCGTTCTCAGCGGCCGACATGCTGCTCTGCATCTCCGTGCAACATTTTGTCACATACAAAGGTACGTACATCCCTCCCGGACTTCGTACCCAAACACTGGGTAACGGGGATGAACAACCCTCTTGGTCCCTGCCCACCCCGGGGGCGTGTTGTTTTGCAACAGAGACAGGTCTGTCTGCGGACCGAGGGCGGGGTCATGCATTTCCTTCCCATGGGATCGCCGGCGCGATCGCTTCGTCCCCGTTTGTCAGAATGAACCACCCCAAAGGTCACGCTAAAATATGCCAGTTGGGGTTTTTGGCATCCAAAGCATCCAATACGTCTTGGACATGCTCCCCGAGATGGCGGCGTCGTTGCCGAACGGGGTTAAGTGCGGAAAATGGCGTGCTGGCGAATCGGCCCTCAAATCGGGCCAGTTTACCCAACCTCTCACAGCGTAGCGTCATATTCCAGCTTTTTTGTGACCTGTCGACCCCATTTGCGGGGTGTGGGGGGGTTTGGAAGAGAGATGGAGGAGGGGTGGTCGAGAGGCGGACCCAAGGACCCAAGGATCGGTTCAAAAGCCTTTTTTCTTTTTGTTGTTCTTTTGTTGGCTGCCGCTCCGGCTCGACCATCTGCCGCTGCATGACCTTCTTATCTCATTGGACTCCCGAGTCTCGGTCCTCTCCGGTACGTCCTTGTTTGCGTTTGTCCTCACAGTCCAATCTCGCTCGTCCCGCTCCCGTCCCGTCCTGGCCCGTCTGTTCACGGCTGGTTCTTGGCCGTCACAGTCCCTTCGTTTTCCGTCTGCTACACAAAGGAGAAGATGGGAGCTCCGTTTTTGTGCTTCGTCGAGTGTGTGTGACTTGCAAGAAGCTGGAAGGTCTGACGGGCTTTACTTGTATGTATGTATGTATGTATGTATGTATGCATGTATGTGCATACCATATGTTGTAAGGAGGGTAACTTGGGGGGGCAAACACCACAAGGATATCACCAAACTCAATCCTCTGAGTCTCATCAACTGGCTTGGAGAGTTTTCGCTGACTTAGCTACTCATCATTTCTTTCCGAGTGTGTGTCTCAAAACTCTGTTCGTTGACAGGAACTCTCCACGTCATTTCTCGGCGAAAGTGGCCGAGATGTGTCCGCAGAATTGATGGAACTGATGTGTATTTATATGGCAGAACCAGCAATCTTGTGTACACAAAGTCATCAATACAGAACCATCCGCCTTATTATCAACCAAAGCGCTTCATTATCTAGTGCCCAACGACCCTAAAACGCCACACAACACCTTCAAGAAACAACCAGTTCCTCTGATCCTTACCCCTGATTCAACATGTCTGACCACCATCACCACCACCACAACCACAACCACCATCACCATCATCATCATCATGGGACTGGGCCCTCCGCCACACAAGAGAACCAGGAATATTTCAAGTAAGTGGGCTTCCTGATAGCTTCTTTAACATGAAAGCGGAAGTCTATCAACAGAGGGGATACTTAGGCCGCGATGGCTCTAAATAAAACTGCGCAACTATAGACCGGAAGCTAATGCAGTCTGTAATTATAGCAAGCTGGCCGCTGAATATGACGCCAGGCACGAGAAGACGTTGAACAAACTGATTGAGGAGATCCGGGCGAGGGTCGATTTCATTGGCGTCGACTGGGCGGATGAGGAGGACGATGAGGATGCCGGCGGCGGCGACGATGTGGAGAAGAAGGGCGAAACGGCCCAGAGCCAGAGGAGCGTGAGGCTGTTGGATTATGCTTGTGGGACTGGTGTTGGTGAGTCTCCTTTTTCCTTCTCAAGCGCAGTTGTGTGTACCCCCTGACCCCCACTTTGTCTTGGTTTTTGCCCTGGACGCTTGAATGTGTCAAGAAGAACAGCCTCGGCGGTTCTTGGTCGCAGATGTATCTTCTACTTTCGCTATACTCTTTGACTCTCGTGGATGTAAGGGCAGCACGGCTGACTCTCCGTAGTATCTAGGGTAAGTCCTCTTGAACCCGAGACAAGGGCTCAAGTTCCGTCCTTAGAAGACTTATCAACAACTCCCTATGATTTAACTCTGACGATGATGCACAGGCACTCGCCCCTTACACCACCCAATGTGTTGGCATCGATCTGTCGGAGAACATGGTACGTCTCCGTTATGTGTTGGCATCTCCAACAACCCCTTCCTCTGGGACACGCCACGCACAACTAACAACAGACGCCAGGTTGCCGCTTACAACACCCGCGCCAAGAATCAAGTATGTCCCAGATACCTTCGACATACCAAACCCAAAGCCTGACTAACACCTAACCAGGGCCTCGCCCCCTCTGAAATGCACGCCTACCAAGGCAACCTCTGCGTCCCCGACGAGCCCAACCCAGCAGCGCTTGCCGCACCCGAATTTTCGGAATTTGATATCGCCGCCGTAGGCCTCGGTTTCCATCATTTTGACGACCCGTCCCTGGCGGCGCGCCGGCTGGCCGAGCGGCTGAAGACGGGAGGCGTGCTGATGATTCTGGATTTCTTGCCGCATGACAAGATGGATGTGAGTTCACCCTTTTTTTACTATTATTAGTAATCATGTCTCTCTACCTCGCCGCTGGGGTCACACGAGGCGCCCACGGTAGAACAGAGCGAGCACGTGGCTAACAGCATGGGAACAGGAGTCGCACCCCGCGATGTCGACGGTCACCCATCATGGCTTCTCGCACGAGCACATCAGGCGTATCTACGAGGAGGCAGGGGTGGACAAGGACTTTGGGATTGAGGAGGTGGCGGTGGTGTTCCACTTTTCAAAAGAGGACGATGCCGCGGTGAAGAGGAAGATCTTTATCGCGCGCGGTACCAAGTCTTGACTGGGCTTACGGCCACGGCTATAGAAGGGGCCAGTTTTGCCCTCGGGGGTAGAGGGGGTTAGTTAGCTTGTTAAATTTGGGGCATAGAATATTGTTTTTAGATCTGGTTAGAGTTGGGGGGCCTAAAATTGAGAGATGGTATGGTCGTCTACCTATTCACGGGTTTGACGGGGAAAACAAGATGTCTGGCATGGCTGTCCGTATCTACCCGCTCTATCTTACCCAACAAGCATGGTGGACCTGGTCCGAACGGCGTGAACAGCTAGTCGGTGCGTCACTCTTTAGTCTTCTCCCTCACCTCTGCAGTGCACGTTAGCAAACCCCATGGCCAGGGGTTGAGATCCTGTCATGGTATGGAGGCTAGCTAGCGCACCTGGAATATCCACAATGAAGGCACCGCCAAGGAGGATAGCAGGCTCGTCGATATTGTGATGTTCGTAGCTAAGAACCAGGGATCAGTACAAGCAAACAAACAAACCTAACGAGACATGACTAGAGAGAACTCTCACCTTAATGTCCCGACACCGCCCGCTTCGAGTAGGAAGCTAGGGCCCTCGTGGAGAGACTGGTTAGCCCAGCGCTGCGCAAAAGCCCGCAGGATGTCTACTCAACGTTGTCAGTTGATACTCATTCCCGTTTGAGTTTTCCCCTGGAAGCTTTTCGGGGCACAGTAACTTGCGAGGTAATCGTGAAGGGGCAGAAACAGAGGAAAGAGGAAATGCAACGTACGGCCGTGGGCTACAATCAGGATATCGCCGTTAACCCCTTGTCCTGTTTGTTTACCCATGACGGGTGCATGCCACTTCTCTCGGATATCCTTGATCAACCGGTCAAGGCGCTCCGAGATATCGGCCGGGCTTCTGCGCGGTTGTTAGCCTTTGCTGGGCATAAAAGCACAATCCAGACGGGAAAACTTACTCGCCTCCCGGGCAACCATCGCGCCAAATATCCCAGGCAGGGCTTAGTCCTTGCTGCTTTCGGAGTTCCCGGATGTGAGGGGTGGTGATGCCTTCGTAATCACCGTAGTCCCATTCGCGGATGTCCTCGGTGACCTCAATCCGGGCGTCACAGCGCCGGCCTTCACAGAAGGGCTCGCCGTGTGCTTCCCAAGGTAGCTGGTCCTTATACGCAAGGTTGAGCAGCTCTAGCGTGCGTTGGGCTCTGCGCCTTGGGGATACATAGCTGCTAGATTATCAGCATCCCATGCCATATTGGCCGAGGGAATTCACATATGGGAACTCACATATGGGCTAGTTTGCTGGGGACAATCAAGCGATCGTGACCGACCAAGGCCTTGCCCGTAGCCAGAACCCGTTTCTCACCGGTGCCTGTCAGGGGGATGTCGGTCGAACCCGTGTGGCGGCCGTTGAGTGACCATTCGGTTTCGCCATGGCGGACGATGAAAACGCGGGGAGTCGACATGTCTATCTATTTAGGTAGCCGATACCTGATGGAAGGAGGTCAACCCTTTTCACAGTTTAGAATCCAACGGAAACTTGACGAATGAATGACCAGAGATGAAAGATTAATGACGGGCAATTGCGGGAGAAACTCAAACGGCGCAGTAGGTAAATAGATCAAGAGGTGGTGCAGCAAGAGAAACACAAAACAGACGATCTTTGACATTCGTTATCCATGATATATTTTTAGGGTAGGTATTCGATGTGTTGTTTCGTGCCTCCATTCTCAACAACCCCTCCGCTCCTCCCCCCTCTCCCCTCCCGAAGCTCTGCAAGGGGATTACTCAGGCAAGTCAGGGTCGGCCCGTACACAGTAAAACGTGACGCCCTTGGCGGCTCTGAACGGTAACGAAGAACCGCCCCACCAGCTGAAGCACGTTTTGCTGAGTGAAAAATGTGGGCACTCACAAGCTCACGACCGTTGATTTGCCGACCACCACCGCGCAGTGGGTTTGGGCTGCACCGCTGTAGTGGGCTGCTCCCCTCTTTACCTTACCCCTGCGACGGGCCGGCACGGTTACGTCAAGCGCCGCAAGATCTTCGGTTTGACGGCTATCAACATTTTCTCCACACCGGCGTAACGTTAATGACGGCGGCGACGGGGACACGGACAAAAACAGGCTTGGCGGGGAGAAATTGAGACTGTGAGACTGTTAGGTTACGAAGTACACTCGAGGTACAGTAAAGGGATCCTCAGCTCAAGGCTGCCATCGAAGGGCGGATATCAAGACCAAACCAGCATAACTCACGAGGTCAAACACCACCTAAGACGGCCCCGTCGCGCTGGTACTGGGATTGATTGCTACCCGGCGAGCTCGCCATTGACATCCCCCTCACATCTTGGGACACTCATCACACCCCCCGGCAGCCCAACCCACATTCTCACACACCATGCTACAACCATTCAGCAAAACCGCCGTTGCGGTCACCACCCGAGCCGCCACCAGGCGAGCTCCCACGGCCAAACCAGCGACGGCATCACGGCCATTCTCATCCTCATCCCAATCACAGTCACGATCTCCACCACCAACCTCATCAACAAGACCAACAAGAACAACAACAAGAACCACCGCTACCACCGAAGCCCAAGCCCAAGCCCAAGCCAAAGCCGAAGCCACCCAAAAAATCAGGCGCATCATCTTGACTGTCTCCTTCGCCGCCGTTATCTTCACAGGCACCATCTACGGGGCCGGGCTCAAGACGCAGCAGGAGTGGAAAGCCGTAAGCATTTTTCCAACAAGATCTGATCCCCTATCCTCTTAGCGGGGGAAAGACAAAGCTCACGAGGCCTAACTCGCTACTAGGAAAAGAAAAAGGTGCAGGAAGCTAGCGTGGACGAAAAGGTGGCCATGCTGGAGCGGCAGAAACTGGATATGCTCCGGCAGAAGACGGAGATCGAGAGCAAGTTGAGGGAGTTGAGGGCAAGGATAAAGCAGAATGCTGAGGCTGAGGCTGATGCTACTGCTGGGGGAGGGCAGGGTAGCAAACCCTGCGAAGGGTGGCCGGGGCGGTGGTCAATAACGTTTGAAGCATATCGCGAAAAGAAATACCCTCACCCCCACCCCCAACCACGGCTTGTGTATCAGTAATCTCCCGTTAGATTGTTTGTCTAGCGTCACTTATCCGGTCTACCAAGGCCGAATTCCAATAGCCCTCCCAGGTCTCCCTGTTGTACCGTACGCCCAATCCCACCAGCTGTATGTTTCAGTAACCCATGCCGCGCAAGGCCGCTTGTAACTTCTGGAACCATGCCTTCATTCCGAGAGACCCTCTGCTGTGGGCAGGGGGATGGCCTTGTACAGGAGGATGAGTGCCGAGTGAGACTCGCCACCGCCGGCCAGCGCATCGATCTTGTCCGAGGTCACCTCGCTGACCTTGTCGTCGTTGAACCACCACCAGTTGCCGTCTTCCTCGCCGATCTTTCCTGTCACCGGGTCCTTGGGGCCCGTCTTCTTCACATAGGCTGTGTAGTGGCCGCTGTCGGCGCTGGCACCCTGGTGCGTGACAACGGCGCGGAGTTCGTAGATACCCGACTGGTTGGCGCCTTCGTCTTTCCGGAGCTCCGGGTCGATCAACGCATTCAGCTCCTTCTTGGATTCCAAAAGCGCCGCGTCCTTTTCCGCCTCCCACTCGGCATCCGTCTTGAAGGTCTCGGACATCTCGACATCGCCGTCAGCCGAGGCGGCGGGCTTCTTGCTATCCTTCTTGTTCTTGTCTTTCTTCTCTTCGGGAGGCTCCTCTTCCTGGTTGGGGTTCTTCTTGCGGCGCTTCCGAGCCCGCTCGACGTCCTCCTCGTCCTTGCGCACCTCGCGCACCTTATCTCTGACGGGAACGAGAGCCTTCCTCAGCTCGTCCGTGCAAAACTCTACCGCATCCAGCTCGTGCGGGAAGGTAACCTTGCGCATGATCTTGGCCTTCTTCTGGACATCGCGTTTCCAGAAAAAGCGCACAAAATGGACTGTGAGATACTTGGGCAACCGGGAAATCTTGGACGTCTTGGTGTACATCACGTCCCGCCCCAAGACTTCGGATCTCTTCTCGATCTTTTCCGATAGACCACTGACCAGACCGTCGCGCAGGTGAGCTGTTTGGCCATCAATGTGGCAGTTGAGCTTGAGAAACGGCTCGTTGGCGGATGTTGACTGCTCACCACCCTCGCGGGCAGCGGGGTCGTCGCATTCAAGCGTGCTGGAGAACGCGCCGGACATGTACTTGTCGACAAAAGAACTGGCGCCGCCTGTTTCACCCTCGGTGGGTGCCTCCCACTTCAGCTTTTGTCTCAGCTGCGAAACGATCTGGGACCAGGCTTCCTCGGCATCCTGCTGCGCATAGCCTTCGCCCTTTTTCGACCTTTCGGCAAACTGAGGGAAGGCCATCCGAAGGGCATTCAGGAAGGTGAAGGGCGGCATGCCATTCTGGGTCTCTGACATTTCCTTGAAGAGGTCCTTGAGCTGGTTCGTGAGGTCGAGCTGGGGAATCTCCGTCATGGACGTGTGCTTGTGCTTCGCAAGCGCGTCCTGAAGTTCGGGGATCGAGCGCAGCGCCTGAAGCGTAGAGTTGAGATAGCAAGTGTTGCCGAGATTCACCAGGCCGGCCGGAGTGGCGCCCAATTGCTGGGCGGCCTCGGCCTCGGTCATGTCTTCGAGAAACTTGACCTTCTCGGTCGGGCGCACAATGGCACCACCGCCATCACCGGGGGTACCCATCATCATGATCACCTGCCCGCCCTTTAGCCCCAACTTGCTCATGTCGGCATCGTCCTTGAGTTGACCGCCTTTGATTAGGATCTTCTGCCGTTCGGGCTCGACGCCGGTAAGACTGAACAGTTGGTATTTGAGGACTTCGCCTGTCGAAGAAGTATCGACTTCGACATCGTACTTTTTCCCCTGGTGCTTAATTACCACTGTAGGGTCGCAAAGTTAGTGTTAGAAAAGATGACGTCTCCAACCGGCGTACCTACCGTTGATAGTTGCCATCTTGAACTCTAGGGCTGGGTGCCAAAACTTAGCAGAGAAGAGAGGAAATAAAGAAAGATTGAAGGGTCTGGGGTCACCCAGAGGTCTCGGTTCAATGTCAAGCACACCTCAAGTCAGGCTTGCGTTGCGTGGCTCTCGAAACTGAAGTGGCGGATGTTGGAAGAGGGAAGAAATCGCGGGGCTGCAACGGGTAACAACAGGGCCATGCCAAGCAACCCTTGGAGCTTCTCTCACAGGGCTCCCAGGCTGCCAGGGATTACGTAACTTCCATATTTGGCTCCTGGTGCCCCGCCGCCGCCCAGCGTTCCCACCAGCTACCCGTCGCCGCCAGGCTGACTGCCAAGGATACCGGGAGCTGCATTCAACGACAACAACGACGACAACCACGTCAACGGCCGAAATTGTTGCGCCTTTGCTGGATTCGAGGGCCGACCTCTAAGCACAGGCACGATGGTGAGATCCCGCCATAAAAGATACTCTTGATTCCAATGCAACAAAGCAACTAGCCCGACCAAGCTAACCTTTGATCTCCCCGCAGTCGCAATCACTCCGCCCCTACCTTCAGGCTGTCCGGAGCAGCTTGACGGCCGCCCTCTGTCTCTCCAACTTCGCATCGCAAACCGCCGAACGACACAACGTCCCCGAGATCGAAGCCCAGACATCTCCCGAGGTGCTACTGACCCCACTGACGATTGCCCGCAACGAAAATGAGCGCGTCCTCATCGAACCCAGCATCAACAGCATACGGATCAGCATCAAGATCAAGCAGGCCGATGAAATTGAGCATATTCTGGTCCACAAGTTTACTCGCTTCTTGACACAGCGTGCCGAGTCCTTCTTTATTCTCCGGCGAAAGCCCATCAAGGTACGACCATTCACCGACGCCTGCTCGTCCCCGGAGACTGACACACACCTTCCAGGGATACGACATCTCATTCCTGATTACGAACTTCCATACCGAAGAGATGTTGAAGCACAAGCTAGTCGACTTTATTATTCAGTTTATGGAGGAAGTGGATAAGGAGATTTCGGAGATGAAGCTCTTCGTATGTCTCTCCCTCCTCCCAGGTTTCAGTGGCATGGCCGGAGCTGACATTTCGGGAACAGCTGAATGCGCGGGCGCGTTTTGTGGCTGAGTCTTTCCTGACACCGGTAAGTCTCATTGTTATTTCAATTCTAACCCTCCCATGACTCCGAGCCTGACCCGCCTCAGTTCGATTAAGGGTGAACGCCTTCTCGAGCAACGAAAATACGACATTCTCCTCAATCCCAGGGAACGGGCACTAGACAAAGCTCAGGGGCCGCGCCGGGCTTTAAGCATTGCGCCCGACGTTCCGGTGAAGCTATCCGAACCTGGCCAAAAGGGCTTCGGGGTATTCGGATCTGACACTCATGGGCTAGAGTTGGAAAAGCATCGCCGTCATCTCGAATATCCTCAATATCACGGCGGACCGAAGCAAAAAATGTTCAGAAATTTCACGCCTGCGTATTACTTGAACTAGTGACCCCCTTCGCCGATGTTGACCTATGTGGTTGCCTACCTATGTAGACCACCAAGCTTTCCGATACCAGGATCTTCTAGCGTCAACTTGGCTCACCACCCTGGCCCTCATCGAGCCGCCCCAACACCGAACAGGAGATACAAACACCGTCTCATCATCTGCACCACAGTTTGCCTTTGGCTTCCAAGCCCCGGTCGAGACTATCCAAAGCTCCCGGCTGCGATGTTACTCACCCGCCCGGATATCTCCCTAGGTTCATCCAAAGCTCCCCATATTGTTCGCGTTCTGCATACGTACCTACGTCTCTTTACCTGTGTCCTCTACTCAACAGGCCGGACAACGGCGTCGACAACCGTCCTTGCGCTCATGAGGCTCATTGCCTCCTCGGCGGCCAGCCATGTTACGCAGATTTAGTGCTAGAAGGTCGCTTGGCCAACTCACGCTTCATCACCATTGCCTCCCTCCCCCTCCACCCCAAGCCTTCCAACCAGGTATGTAAGAATTGTACTTCGTCATAGCTCCCACTTTTACTTTGTCCCCGAATAGGTACTTTCTTTTCCCAGTGATTCCCAGTCCTTGTACGGCGAATCTTTGTTACTCTCTGGCATTGATGCTTGCACCAAACTGGCGTATTCCGTGGGAATACCGCGTGGCATCTGTTCGGCCACCCCAAGTCTTATTTCAATCTCTTCTCAACTTTCTTTGTGATGCCTCACACGTGGTAACTCAAGAGACACTAGTGTGTTTACAACGGGGAAATGCCGGTCTTTGGAACATGTTCTCTTCCGAAGTATCAATGAACTTGGACTAGAGAAAGATACATTTCCCATCAATTTAGCCCACCACCCATTGCCTTCAGCTTTTATTGAACCTACATCTATCTCTCTTTTTCCTATTGTTGGTGTTTGTTTTGGTAGAACCGCCTTGGTCTACTTTTCCTCCACCTTTGAGCACTACTGTTAGATTTCCTACTCTCTCCAACGAGACAAAACAATTACGGTCAGTTGTTAGGAACCTTTTGTTTCCTATTGCCCCAGCTACGCTATTGTTGACTTCTATTGTAAACACCAAAACACGAACCATGGTAACACCTTTTTTGGTTTATTTCCTTTCAGCTTGAGCCTCTGTTAACTCTGTTGCAGCTTCTTCTTTGCAAACCCAATAACATCCTCAACTCACGCCGAGATCATCGTCTCGGCGACCCTCACAGGCCGTCCTTCAAGGTACGCACACGCTTAGGACCCGCTTGTTCGAAATTCCTCTTTCTTGCGCCCCTCCATCATCTTCATCCTCGGCCTCGAAAGTCGCTGACTTCCTTTCTTCGTCACCATAGCATACGATCCTGTTGAATCCAGGTCTTGCTATCTCTCTCCGGCAGCGATTCTGTTGTCTTAGACAACTTAGGCCAAGGTAAGTTCATACATTGGGAACCTCCTCTTCTCCGCCGCTTTTTTTGCACCTTCGCCCTTCCCTCGCTGCCGCCATTGCCAATACCCTCTTCCTTCTCTCCAGCCCAACCTACCGCAGTTATCAATCTTGTTTCAACTCGAGGCACCTACTTCTTCCGCTCTTTCTTCCACTCTTGTTTCCGTTCCCTTCTCTGCAGCCGCTTCTCCAACTCGTTCCACAATCTTTCCACCAGCTACAGTGGCCTCTCAAACCTTACCACAAACCACCCGCAGCCTCATTTCCCATCTTCTTCGTTCCTCTACCGACGTTTCAGAGCTACTTCGCCATTCATAACCAGGTCAGATATGCCCTACAGCTTGCTATCTCCGTCGATCATTGCAATTCTATTTGCATCGCATCGCACATTGATATGCAATGTGGGACATACAATCGATTGCCCCACGCCGAGCTTCCATTGTCTTGAATTCTTTTGCGAAATGGTTTAGTTTATTGAATTGGACTCAACTAACATTTCGAAAGACTCAGACCCAGGTGCTTACCCATACCAGTCACTAATTTCGCCAACCGAGATGGCGACCGCGGCTCCCAACAAGGCGCCAGTCGCTGAAACCACGCCGGCCAGGCGAATGGGCAAGGGCCTAAAAAACCGCTTTGCCGCTTTTATTGAAACCGACGACAACGATGACAGCGGCGGTGGTGTTCTGCTTCGCGATTTCGACGATGATAGCCACACCAGCAATGGTGGCGGCGTCTCGACGCCCATGGGCAGCAACAGCACCATCTCTTCTGGCCACGAGTGCGCTACCGTTCCGCGGAAGAATCCTTCGACCACTTCCTTCAACAGGCCGGCCACGGCAGGCCGTCGCAACACGATCGCGCCTATCGGTACTGGGCGTTACACCGAGTACACCGCCAACACTGGCGGCGGTGCCGCACTCAATGCCCCCGTTGATGCTCCGGTGCGTACCTAGTTTGTTTTTCCTCACCGGGTTGTAGCTTATGTAGATTCTTAATCCAGACGGACGCAAAAAATTCCGACATTGAGGCTGATAGAGAGAACAACACGGCCAGCCAAATCGGAAACGTTAAGGGAACACCCGCTCAAGCCAGGGCTACCATGACGGTAATTGAGTACCCGGATAGCGTTCTTGAAGTATTCAACTAACACGGTACAGCAGAATAGCTATCCGCAAATGACCCAGGCCCAGGCCATGCAGTTCGGTTACACGCAGGGTCTGAACGCCGCGGCGAACAACATGACTCCGGCGGGAACCACGCGCGAGCATCGGTCGCCTGCTAATGCCATGGGTCACTCTTGGGGCAGTACGCCTACCTACAACTCCGCCGGCAACGCATACACTCCGCAGACCACTGGTCATGGCAGTGCTCAGGGAACTGCGCTGGGCGCCAACTTCCCTTTTCCCGACACGAATTCCACCCCGTCGCACATGTCAAAGAAGTTTGGCCAGGATGCCATGGCCACTCCTCAGTCTGAGTCTATCTACAACCAATATAACCAGACTGAGCCTCGCAACTTTGCGCCGCGCGGTGGGTCTTTGTTCATGCCGCCGCCCCCAGCGTTCAACCTGGGCCGTCAGGGGGCCACTAAGAAGCATGAGGAGCTCCAATATCCGGCACCGGATTGCGACCCCTTCATGTCACCTCCGTCCAAGGGCACCAATGGCCATGCTATTTCTCAAGCACTTGTCCTCTCGTCGGTCCCTGAGAATAACCAGGTGGCCTCGGCTCCGGGTGCCTACCAGGACTATTACTGTCCGGTTCCCGCTGAGATCCGTGCCGTGCGCTCGACACAGCTCAACCGGCTCACCGAAGGCCCCACGGGTATGCCAACCCAAGAGGTCGCTCTCAGTCCCGAGAGCTTCCCTTTCATGGAGACTACGACCCAGGCTGCACCTGTTGGCCATGGCGTGGTCAAGATTAGAAACGTATGTCCATCCCCTTCCCTAATCTACGTTGTTGCGGCGATGGAACCAGAGGCGCTGATTGCTTCTAGATTCCCTTCGGTACCAAGCGCGCTGAGATCATCGCCTTCCTCGGCCGTAACTCCAAGATCCTGAACGATAACCAGGAGCCGGTCCACATCATCATGGAGCGGGTCTCCTCCAAGACCCAGGACTGCTACGTCGAGTTCATGACGACCCAGGATGCCGTGAGGGCTGTGGATCGCCATCGCGACAATATCCAAAAGGGCCGTCCTTCCCGCCTGGGCGAGCGCCCCATTGAGTTGCTGTTGTCGAGCCAGGCTGCCCTCATGATGGACCTGTTCCCTCTTGCTTCTGGTGTCTGGTGGGACAATGCCAAGCCGGTCATCCAAGCGCCCATTGACGGACAGCCGTGGAAGACGTTCAAGGGTTTCGTTACGGAGGAGGAGATGACCATGCTGGTCAAGCACGTCGAGATTCCGCAGCGGGTGAGTTCACACTTGATTGCCACCGTTTCAAACTTGAGGAATATGGTGCCTGGTTACTAACAAAACCTTCTTCTCGCAGTCCCCTTACTCCAAGGAGTGCCCCCAGCGCCCCTACGAGTGCATGATCTCCACCATCAAGAAGCTGCCCTGGTACATGGCAGACCGTATCACGCTCCGCCAGCGTTACGCCATCTACGCGGCCACGGTGAAGCTCATCACTCTCCTCCAACAAGCCCTGCACCGCGACCACAACCGCAACCACGAGACCGTGATCAACAAGCAGCTGATGAAGCGCCTCGTCACCGCCGCCATGCTATGCCCGGGCTTCTCGGTCGTGCAGAAGGACAACATTGCCACGCTCGCCGAGATGGACCAGGACCAGGCCCGCATGTTCAACCAACCGCGCTTTGCCGAGCAGTGGGTGCACCTGCACGGCGTCTGCCCCAAGCCGGGTACGCCGCTGGACATGCTGGAGTGGTACATCGCCATCGTGCGCGAGGAGACCACGCGGTACATCCACCGCAAGCACATTGTCGAGCGCAACGAGATCCAGCGCGCCAGCTGCTACACCTCGCTCTACTTCGGCTACATCTGGTACGAGATTGGCCTGCCCGCCGGCAAGGAGCTGGACAACCTGAGCCTGCACGAGGTGGCACGCTGCGAGTTGGCCGTCATTGAGCGTGCTATCCGTCGGGCTCTGCCGTCTGCTGGTGCCCATGAGCAGTAGGGTGTCAGTTGGATGGCATGGAAGGGAAGCATTTAGGGGTTGCTTCTTTGCCTTCCGACTACTCTTGGGGTAGTTGCGATTTTATCTTTGTCGCCATCTCGTCGTTCATTACCGTTCGCACTAAGATATCCCAGTCTGATTTCTGAATGCGACTTTCTTCTTTTTCTTTTCGTTTTGGCTGTTTGGAGCAGTCGCGGCCTGATTCTGGCGATATCTCAAGGCTCTTGGTTCCGTCACACATTGCGGGCATCGCAATCTCATCGTCGATGGCTCCCCGGTGACGCGACATCAATCAGAATCTATTCCGGCATCTGAACATGGCGCTCGAGAGTTCGGCTCATTTTGAGAAATACGGGTAGTTCGCCCACCGTCCACAAGCGTGGAAAGGGATCTCGTTCGTCTTCACTTTCATTACATCACGGTATGGTTTTGGCACAGGACTGCTTAGGTCTTGTCGTCTTTTTTGACGTATGGCAATCCACGGGGACCGGGATACTGGTATGAATCACCAGATGGCTGTCTTCTCAGTTGTCTGGAAGGCCAGCCCTTGTGGTCTGCCATGGCTCAGCGATCAGTTGGCAACTCCATCTGCCGGAACCAACAACAAACAGTTTTTTTTTCCCAGATTGACGGCATCACTTGCTAGGCTGACGGGATGGGTTTTAGAGGTGATGGAACCTACCAACTGAACGGAATGGATTGACCTGTCATGGATTTGGCGGGTTCCGGACTGGGAATGGCGGTTGGGTTTCGGAACCTTTTTCTATCCTCTTACTGGCAACAGGTATCGCAACATACTTAATTGAGACATACCCCCTAACCTCTGGCACAAAACCTGGTGATGAGTCCATATTGTTTGCTTGAAGTGGCGTGATGGAGAGTGCCATAAGCTTGCCCATATACCATCGTATTTTCCATATTTTGGGTGTTTGGAAGCGCTAAGACGAAGCATTTTTGTCACTGGCTTTTTTTTTCGTCCCTACACAGGAGTTTCTTATTACAAGTATGTCAGCAGATGATCAAAGCAGATCAACAAGACAGTATTTACTAATGTGCGCCTTCACATCCCAGTGAATACTGACATCTAGGACATCTAAGATGTCCAAAGAACAATTAAGCCACACAAAGTTTCGGTCGAGGCATTTATTTATAAGTCTTGTTCAACTCTCGAACCCACGCTAGGTAACTGGAGATGTTGAAATCACAATAATGGGTTCAAGTGTATCTGACAGGGTGTTTAGGGTCCGTGCCCAGGAGACCTGAGGCTGCTGGGGCGCTATGACGTCTGCATAGTCTCCCCGAAGAATAGCCGGCCTAAGTGAACGCGTCTTAATTACTCGGCAGATGCCAAAAAAAAGTTTTGGAGCAGTCTCTTATCGCGATAGTTACTGATCCTGGTCCCTCTTCATGTTGCGCCGGTTTTTGCGACTGACAGCCCTCGAATCGCAACTCGATACTCCCTAGCATTGAACGATAATGCAGATTCTCTAATCTTGGGACTTGTGCATATCGGAAAAAGGGTGCTTGCGATTTAACTAGGACCATAAGTCTCAAACTCACAAACGGTCCCAGAAGAAATCGACAAACCTTTGGAATGGTCATGGCTTCAGCCTCTGTCGCCAGGTCGGCGATGCCTGGTGGCCCTGGAAAAAGCATATCGCACACCGATGCACCCCTGACTCAATCAAGAGAGACTGGGGACGTAAATCCTGAGTCGCGGCAAGGGACTCCCATAGTCAACCGAGACAAGTCGACGAAGGCTCAAAACCCGTGGGCGCACCTGGTGGCAGGAGGGTAAGCTCAATCCGGAGAGAGGGGACAAGTTTGGCCCGTAGCCATACTGACATTCTATTCCCTGCGCATAGAATTGGCGGCATGACGGCTGCAGCCCTGACTGCGCCGCTCGATGTCCTCAAGACCAGGTTGCAGTCCGATTTCTACCAAGCCCAGATTCGTGCTTCACGGGCTTCGATAGCCGCTCCGATGAACCCGTTTCGAACCGCTGCGTTCCACTTCAACGAGACCATGTCCATCCTAGGCAGCGTATATCGCCAGGAGGGGCCTCGCGCGCTTTTCAAGGGCCTCGGCCCCAATCTCGTCGGTGTGATCCCCGCCCGCTCAATCAACTTCTTCACCTACGGCAACGGTAAGCGCATCATCGGTGAGTACTTTGGTAACAAGGACTCGCCTTGGGTGCACCTCACTGCGGGCAGTATCTCCGGTGTCGTCACCAGTACCGTGACGAACCCGATCTGGATGGTCAAGACCCGCCTGCAGCTCGATAAGAACATGGCGATAGAGAGTGGCGGCATTGCCAAGCGCCGCTACAAGAACAGCTTGGACTGCATCCGCCAAGTGTTACGCGATGAAGGGATTCGGGGCCTCTACAAGGGCATGAGTGCGAGCTACCTGGGTGTGGCCGAGTCGACCATGCACTGGATGCTCTACGAGCAGATTAAGCGCTCGCTTGTGAGGAGAGAGGAGCGCATCGCCCTCAGCGGCAGGTCGAAAGGCTGGTGGGATCATACCGTCGACTGGACGGGCAAGTTTGGCGCCGCGGGCTTTTCGAAGTTCATCGCGGCCGTAATCACCTACCCTCATGAGGTGAGTCTCGGCTATTGACAACCTAAGCTCCCACTGGACACGCTAACCCTTCAAACCAGGTCGCCCGCACTCGCCTGCGCCAAGCACCCATGGCCGACGGCCGACCCAAATACACGGGCCTCATTCAGTGCTTCAAGCTGGTGTTCAAAGAGGAGGGCATGCTCGGCCTTTACGGCGGCATGACACCTCATCTGCTCCGGACAGTCCCTAGCGCGGCCATCATGTTTGGCATGTACGAGGGCATCCTCCGACTCCTCCGCACTTCGGCCTAAATCCTCCCTCGTCAACAACCGGTTTCGGCACGACGACCGCAGCTTCAAAGCGACTGTACAACCATTGTAGAAACAACTACCCACCTATTAATCGCACCCGGCCTGGGCAAATCTTACCCGTCTGGGTATGCGGCGAGGCTTCTCCCCTTAGTTCTTATTGTATTACAAAGGGCGGAGGAGACCATCGCTCACCTTTTACGACATCTCTTGTTGATTGTCGACAGATACCATGTCCTACGCCATCTACGAGACACCTATAGAAAAAGGGGCCATCATAGAACGGGTTCGGTTAGTTGGTACGGCATCTGGCGTCTTGTGCTATTTCTTGTGTGCTTCAGTTCTTCCTTTTTTTCGCATTTGAACCGGCGTTTTGGGGATGGGTTGATCGTGTTTATGCGGTACGACAATGATGGAAAAGGGGCACGCTCGTTTCTTGCCCACCAGTGTACGAATTGGCGGCCTAGCGAAAGGGCTTGCTGTGTGTGATGTTGACGGGAAAGCAGCGGTGTATGTAGACGAAAGGAGACACGAGGCAGATCACGATGGGTCTGGGAATGAGGGGGGGGGGGTTGTGGAGGGGTTGTAGTTGGCGCATAAACTGCATGCATGCTTAACGGCTCCATGCATCTCCTCTCTGGCCAGAGTCAATCGATGAGTTCATTGTACTTTATTCAGCATGGCTAGCTCGTGCTACAATTTATTCGCTCGAGTCCGAAGTGGGTTCTTGACCGCAACACAAGTTGCATGGCTTCCGACTCGAAGTTCCTTGAGCAAGCCGTTGGGGATGAGGGGACCACGGGGTAGAGTGAATTAGATTTCTCGTGCTAAGCCATGATAAAACCTCGGAAAATTAGTAGCAAGCCGAAAATGAAAATAGCAAACTGGACTGATCAACCTTGCCTCATTCATTCCACCACACTGCCATGTCCTCAAATGCGCTAACCACGGAAATATACAACCATCCTTGCACGAACGCTCCCAAACTTCCAAAACACTTCGTTGTGTTACCCATAACCCATTGTTCCCGTCGCCACGAAGACCTCAACAACTTCAGCCGTCATCATCCCCCAACTTGTGCGTCTCGAGCCATCCCCTCGGTGGTCGTTTTCGCAATTTCCGCTGGGGTCGTGGATGTGGATGCCCCGTGTTATTCCGTCTGTTCTCGGCATTCGTATCGCCCATTAAGAACCTCCACCTCCATAGACCCGGCCGAGGGGAGATGAGCGGTGGCGGCGGTGGCGGCGAAATCCAACCCGGTACATCGGCGCAGTGTCACCAGGCGTTGCGGTCCCAGTTAGGGTCTAAGTTTAAAGGACCAGCTGTCAGCCTTCCTCTTTCAACGTAGAACACGCCCCCCTCCCCCCAATCCCAAACCAAGATGATGACGGGGAAGCAAAGGGCAGGAAAAAGAAAACGCACCCTGCACAAACGCCGCCAGCACTTTACTCCCTGTCTGCAACAACGGGTGTCCCACAACGATCTTCAAAAACTTCTCCAACCCGGCCCGCCGGCCCTCAATCACATCGTCACTGAACCGGTTAGTAAAAACCTTGCCGGGCAGCGGCGGGATGGTGACGCGGGCGCTCTCGCGCTCGAGGATGTCGCGGAAGTACTCAAAGTCAGAATACCGCCGCCGCACCGTCGACTGCCGCAGCTTGAAGGCCGGGATGTTGGTCCGGCACACGATCTCGTAGTCGGTGTACATGTGCCGCCCGATACCGTGCGTGCGCGGGTTGCGGACCTGTTCAGGGGGGGCCGGGGCAGTGGTGTTAGTGGGGTTGTTTTGATGTTGTTTTCTTTTGGGAGGTGATGGGTTGTTCGTGAGTGATGGGAGGGAGGGGGTGGGGCAGGAGACGCACTTCAATTTCCAGAAAGTTCTCGGGTGGTCCATAGATCTCATCGAAGGATTGCTGTCTTGTGTCCGGCAGCGATTGCATCATAGGCCGGTGTAGGCGGGCGGCAACCGCTTCGGTCGCGGATGTAGGGGTTGTGGGCAAAGCGGTTGATGTGGGCGAGGTCGGCGAAAGCTAGGGCTGCGAGTCGGCGCTGGCGTTGACCGCCCCGGCCCGGGTTCGTATCATCAACTGGCGACGCCATGGTGTCGGTGATGGTGTTGTTGTTGTTGGCGGGGTGAGTGTAGCCGCCGGCGTGCTCGTGGTCTGCGTTTTTGGTTTGTTCTCGATGTGCCGTTGTGCCGCGCGCTGTGCGCTAATCGCAAAGGGATGTCGGCGGGAAGAATACTCGGGAATCGGTTCACTTGTTCAGCACAAGGAGGATGGCGCGTGATGTGACCTTGTGGTTTGAGGTGCGAAGCCAAGCCAAGCTCCCCGGCTTTCCCTCAAGTGGTGAGGTGGGGTAACTTCCCCAGAGAGCTGCGGATCAGCGGGAAGGGAGGCTATGACCACATCGGCCGCGCGACTTTTCATCCCTGGGAAATACGAGGTCACTCACTCTCCATTGGCAGCACACTTTCAGAGCTCATCCATGCTTCGTACTGTAGGTCTCTGCACCACAGTACACTCGATGAGCTGGCATTGCGATCATAACCTTGAAGAACGCCCTTTGTGTCCCCCATGCCATTACCGTACATACATACATATCAATTTCCACCCTCTCAACCTCGGACGAGTTTTGGTTGCTCGCTGTTCTTAAAAGAATCGCTATGAAGCCGGTTGGTATAAGCTTCGCATAGACAATCCATCCTTATCGCAACAATCTCACCTGCGCCCCAAGACAATGCCTTGTGTACTCCACAACAAAACGCCATTCTTGATAGACCGTTCTCGAATAATTATTGCTGGTCTTCCGCGGTGCTTCGGCACCAGTACTGGTTTACTACCCGCGGGTAGAAAAAACCTACGACAGCCTGCCCATCCAATCGGCTTCTCATTTCTTCTCGGGTGCAAACTTCTGATGAATCGCCCGAATCTGCTCGTCAAGGTTGAAAGTCTGCAGCTGGTTGATATGGGCCTGGCTCTTGCCATCCGGGTTCCCGTCAAACGCGTGCAGTGCAACCTTCTTCCTCCGGGCCAGCTCCTCTTCGGAGATGGGCTGGCCCGTCGTAGTGTCAAACACATCGCTCCGCTGGCTGGCGAGGCGTTTGAGGTTGTTGGCTACGTCCACAGTAGACAGGTTGGTCGTGGCAAACCTGGCGTCCGCCTTGGCCTTTTGTTCCTTCCACCGCGGGTCAAGAAGTTCGACTACAACGTATTAGCTCGTGATCCTGAAGCTGGGGAGAGGGGCGAGAAACTCACTTCTCATATGCTCGTCCATCTCGCTGAGTGGTATTTGTTGTTTGCAATTTGGACACATCGCTGTCTGTGTGCCAAACTTGTTCGCTGCTCGTTGCGCTGCGCGTGGGACATAGTTCTCCTTGATCTTCATTGGCGCCGCACCGCCCCGTGCCTCAGACTGCGCCTGCTGCACCCGAACCCGATCTTGTTCCCTCTCCTGTATCCTCTGCGCCTCCGACTCCTCCTCGGTAGACCTTGTGCGAGAGGCTAAGGGCATAGAGGCTCCGTATGTCTGGGGGGGTGGGGCATTGGTAGTTGGGTATGCGGGCCCCGCTGGGGCGGGTTGAGCAGCAGGAGGTTGCGCGCCGTATGTTTGGACCGGGTAGGCGTTGTAATTTGTATCTTCAAAGGGGAAGGCCTCCTCGATGCGAAGGGTAGAGCTGACAGATACCTTGTTCTTCTCTTCCAACGAGGCATATTGGAGGTCGTTGAGCGTCGTCGGAGGTGGAAGGTTGGCTTGGTCGTCGGCCTCGTTGAAGACAATGGTCTCCACGACGACGAAGTCGTTCCAGTCGATTCGCGCGAATTCAACCTTTTTCTTCTCTTCCTCCTCTTCTTGCTTAGCCTTCTCGGCTTCCTGCCACTTGGCATATGCTGCCCTTTGCTTCGCGCGCGCTAGAACCTTGTATTTGTCCGCCACGTTTTGCCGCAGCTGATCAACGCGCTCCTGCTGCGCCTTGCTCCCTTCGCCGTTGACGCCGCTCTCGCGTAAGAGGATGGAATACTGGTCAACCATGCTCTGGAAGAAGTTGTGGAACGTGTGGTTGGGCATCAGAAACTGGAACTGAGGGTTGCTCGCCTCACGCTGGGCAAGCTGAGTCAAAAAGGGGCGCCCATTCTTTGCGACGAACAAGGCAGTTAGTCGCACAATCTCCAAGTCTTTCTGGCTCATTCGAGGCATACGGGCTGAGAACTGGAAATCAGGCGGCTTCGGCGGCCCCGCGGGCTTCTCTTGGGCGGGAGCAGCCGCCTCGCCGACGCGACCTGCCGCGAGCGCCGTGCCCCTCCCCGACTTAATCTCCTCCTTGCGCCATTCGTAGTACGCGTTGTATGGGTCGGAGCTTGACATCAAGAAATTGAATTTCGGGTTCTTTCCGTGGTTGTCGCGAATTCGCTGCTCGAGGCCCGCGCCTCCGCGCATCACGTAACCGGCCGTCTTCTCGATCGCCTCGCGGATTTCGCCCGGCGGAGGGATGATGACACCAGGCGGCGGCTTGAGATTTTCAAGCGCTGCCGCGGCCTCTGCGGGCGCACCGCCGTTCGCGACAGCCATAGCGAGCGTGTTTGTGTGGTGGCTGTGATGGTAGGGTCGGGTTTCGTTCGGTTTTTTTCCTTTTGGTTTGCCGTTGGTTGTTGTAACAAACGGCGGGCCCAGCCTTCTCGAAGTCCTTGCCGATTGAGGATGGCCCGTTTCGGTCTGTGCAGCGGATGGCCCCCTGCAAAGTGTCCTGTGTAATGTAACGTCAACTTATCGATCTGGGCTCTCATTTCAAGTCCCCAGTTTCTCAGAGCACCGCGCCATCGTCTTTCAAGAAAGGGTTATACTGGGTAAGTCCGAATAAAGTACAAGACTGGCTAGAATATTTGATGGTAAAACTATCGTCACAAGAAACATGAAGCTGATTTCCTCTCTTCAACCTTGACGGCTTTCAACGTTACAATTCGCACGTGCACGAAATTCTTCGTATCGCCAGCGCGTCCCAGGTTATGGGTTGAGCCAGTGGCCCGTGCCATGCAAAAGTCGACCAATTGGTGCAGGCCCCAAGTCTTGACCCACCCATCTACGGCCGTTTATAGACGGACAGGGGTTAAGGCCAGTTCAGCTCATTAATTTTATGGACGGGATGGATGCCTGTCAGCGCGCGACCCTTCAACTGCTGCCCCTTTCCGATCTGTCCTGTCTCAACTTTCCTATGCTCGAGGTCGAAGCCAGAACACGACAAACTGGCAAACTCTTTTCGTCCTCTTCTTTTCGACGCCAACCGTTTCTTCTTCTGTGGCAGTGGCTGTTGATTCGACTTTCTACCATTTTCTTTTTTTTGCACACCAATGGTAACTTTGTAATTGAAGCTTGACCCTTCGCGACTCTCGTTAATCCACCCCGTTTTATGATCGGCGTGTCTGTGGCTGCGACTGCCACGCCGTTTCGACACACCCTTTGAACCCTACCGGGCGACCTCAAAATCGAAACCTCCGAGTGCATAGCGATTCCCATTGACCCGACAATTCGCTCACGAACCGCCCTTTATGGCTCGATCGGCGAGCTCCAAGCCGCCGGCCGTGCGGGCGTCCTCCCCGCCGGCGGCGTCAGATATTGGCCAGAAACCTAAGAACAAAGCGGCAAAGCGCAAGGACGACTACTCGTCTGAGGGCGTTGAAGACAACGATGTCTTCCTGCTCCCGGGTGCCGACTTCCAGCTCGTGATTGCGATTACGGTGCTCGCAGCCGCGGTGCGCCTGTTCCGCATCTACCAGCCCACCAGCGTCGTCTTTGATGAAGTCCAGTATGTTTCGCTATAATATCCCTTGCCCCCCAGACGCCGCAGCTGACAAGGCCATTTTTTTACAGTTTTGGGGGCTTTGCCACGAAGTACATCAAGGGCAAATTCTTCATGGACGTGCACCCTCCGCTCGCCAAGTTGATGATCACGCTCTTCGGCTGGGCCGCTGGGTTCGACGGAAGCTTCGATTTTAAGGATATTGGCAAGGACTACCTCGAGCCCGGCGTTCCATATGTTGCCATGCGCATGTTCCCGGCTATCTGTGGTATTCTACTCGCCCCGACTATGTTCCTAACTCTCAAGGCTTCCGGTTGCCGCACTTTCACATCGGTTATGGGCGCTGGCCTCATCATTTTCGGTCAGTCAAGCTGCTGCCCCTAGACATCGCGCCAGGGCTCTAACTAACCCTCATCGCAGAGAATGGACTGCTCACGCAGGCGCGTTTGATCCTTCTCGATTCTCCCCTGATGATTGCCACCGCTTTCACCGCCTTTGCCTTCACGTCCTTCACAAACCAGCAGGAGCTTGGTCCCTCCAGGGCCTTCGGGTTAAGCTGGTGGTTTTGGCTTGTCATGACTGGTCTCGGTCTGGGCATGACCGTCAGCATCAAGTGGGTTGGGTTGTTCACGATCGCCTGGGTTGGCCTCTTGACTCTGGTCCAACTCTGGGTTCTCCTGGGCGATTACAAGACGGTTTCGACTGTGAGACTCCAATCGCCCCCCGCCATACAACCAGCTTAGCTTGCTAACGATCGCGCAGCGTATCTTTGCCAAGCACTTCATGGCCCGCCTGTTTTGCCTGATCGTCATCCCCGTCACGTTCTACATGGCCATGTTCGGGATCCACTTTCTCTGCCTCCAAAACCCTGGCGACGGCGACGGCTTCATGAGCTCCGAGTTCCAGTCGACTCTAAATTCCAAGGGCATGAAGAATGTCCCGGCGGATGTCCTGATGGGTAGCCGAGTCACCATCAAGCACGTGAATACGCAGGGTGGATATCTCCACTCGCACCCCCTGATGTATCCGACGGGTTCCAAGCAGCAGCAGATCACCCTCTACCCCCACAAGGATGACAACAACCTTTGGCTCCTCGAGAACCAGACCCAGCCGCTCGATATCCATGGCCAACCAATCAACGGCACCAACGCCTGGTACAACATCCCCGATACGCCTTACATCGAGAATGGTGCTGTACTTCGTTTGTACCACCTCCCCACCCACCGCCGTCTTCACTCCCACGATGTCCGTGCCCCCGTCACAGAGGCCGACTGGCAGAACGAGGTCTCGGCGTATGGCTACGAGGGTTTTGATGGTGACGCCAACGACTTCTTCCGCGTTGAGATCGTGAAGAAAAAGTCCAAGTCGGGTATCGCCCAACAGCGTCTCCGTACGATTGATACCAAGTTCAGACTCGTCCACGTCATGACCGGCTGTGTGCTCTTTTCGCACAAGGTTAAGCTTCCGGAGTGGGCTTCCGAGCAGCAGGAGGTTACTTGCGCCCGCGGCGGTACTCTGCCCAACAGTCTCTGGCACATTGAGTCGAACGACCACCCCAAGCTGGGCCCGGATTCTGAGACGGTCAACTATGCCAACCCCGGCTTCTTTGGAAAGTTCTGGGAGCTGCAGAAGGTCATGTGGAAGACGAATGCTGGCCTCGTCGACTCTCACGCTTGGGATTCCCGTCCCCCTTCGTGGCCTATTCTCAGCCGCGGTATCAACTTCTGGGGCAAGGAGCACCGCCAAATTTATCTGATCGGTAACCCCGTCATCTGGTGGAGCGCCACTGCGGCTATCGTTATTTACGTCCTGTTCAAGGGTATTGCTGTTCTCCGGTGGCAGCGCAGCTGCAACGACTACGCCATTCCTGTATTCAAGCGGTTCGATTACGAGATCGGCACCTCGGTCCTTGGCTGGGCTCTCCACTACTTCCCTTTCTTCCTCATGCAGCGCCAGCTGTTCCTCCACCACTACTTCCCCGCGCTGTACTTTGGCATCATCGCATTTTGCCAGATCTACGACTTCGCGACGACTCGTATCTCTGGCATTGGCTTGAAGGAAAACCCCATCATCGGCAAGGCCGGCGCTGTTGGCTTCCTTGTCCTATCCATGGTCGCTTTCACTCTCCTCTCTCCTCTTGCGTACGGCAACCCCTGGACTAAGGCTGAATGCAAACGCGTCAAGCTTTTCAGCACCTGGGATTGGGATTGCAATACTTTCCTGGACAACGTAAGTGGCCTCCCCGGCTCGGTGACTCCAGCAATGACGATATTATGACGGTCCAACGGCGGGCTTTTTCTGTGTTTGCTCGTGCTAGGAACTGGTAGCTTGGATAAACCATGTGCCAAAGCGACGGACACAGGGTTCATACATGCACCTGAGTCATTTAAGGTGATTGAACCTTGCGCTAACATTTCCGCAGTACGACGCGTACAGTTCGCTGCCTTCCACCCCGGCAGCCGCACAGACACCTCAGAAATCGGTTGCGGCACAAAAGGCCCCCCCTGCCGCAGCGGGCGGACAGCAGGCTCAGGTCCCCATCGCCGATGCTCAACAACAAGAAGGAAAGGCGGATGTTTCGGGCGCGCCGGTGGCTGACAATAAGCGGCTTCTCCACACCGAGGAGCGTGTCGAGTATCGTGACCAGGACGGCAACCTTCTAAACGAGGAGCAAGTCAAGGCTCTCGAGGGCAAGGTTGAGTTCAAGACACGCTATGAAACCCGCACTCGGGTTGTAGACGCCCAGGGCAACGAGATACTGCTTCCAGCGGATGAACTGCCGGCGGAGGTGCAGCAACAAGAGCAGCCTGCTGCGGCAGGCGTTGCCCCACCCCACCCGGATGTTGAGGGTATGTCTTTCCGCCGAGCAGTCTAGTTTTTTTTAAGCGCCATTCGGAAATTGTTTGCTGACGACGTCCGTCTCAGGTGCCAATAGCGAAACCATGAAGCGGGTTGTCCCTGATGAGCCGATTCCGGAGCCGAAGAAGAGCGTTGAAGGCGAAAAAGAGCGTGAGGGGAAGGCCGCCAAACCCGCGAGTGAGAAGAATGAAGCTAGTGCCAAGGTGGATGAGCTCTAGGCTCTAATCTGTCAATAACCTGGGGGCCGGTGAGCAAGTGTAGGATTAATTCAGGGTGAAGACGTCCACCTTCAACCCTATCCATCTGTTGTACCACCTCACTGGGCGTTTACCTGCTCCGTTGACCGACGTCTAATGAAACGAAAAATATCGATGGAGGGTTGTTAGGAGATGATAGGAGGATTTTGGTTGGTTTGACATGACGGAGAGTGATATTTTCTCAAATCTCATTTGTTGTCACTGACCGAGCGAGAGGATAGATGTGCTTCCTATGACACGAGGGAGGTACTTGACTCGAAACCATTGCAAGAACGACTCACCAATTCAGAACTTGTATCTCCCCTTTTTGGTGCCAATGTCTTGGTCTGAATTGTTTTCTGAAGTCAAAATACAAAAGAAAGCAGCAGCAAAACCCCAGTATGGTAAATTCCCGATCCACCCCCAACCAATCCCCCAACCAACTCCCCAACCAACCCCCCCAAACCCCTTCTCCTTTTTTTTCCCCTCCCTTGTCCCTTGTGTTCCCTCAATGGCGGTATCTGTACGCCTCCTTCTTTCCCTTGTAAACACATGCATTACTCCGTACAGACCATCACCAACACAGAAATAACAGAAGCGAATGTTGACGAAGCAGAGACAAAACAGGGAATGGAATTGACCCCCTAAAGTTTCCGTTTGGCCTGATGTCCCGCCTCTTCCAAGCAAATTACAGATTAACACGCCTTTGTACTGGAAGACGAAGGCAGACAAGCGAGTGTGTGCCCGACAGGAAGGAAACCAAACCGAATCAACATAAACGACAATATCGGTATGCACAGTTGTTGATGTGCACACAATATGCCTCCCCAACGCCAAAGTCCTCGGCGTTTTTCCCCAAAGCCTGGCCGCTGCTCAGCAGCGAGAAGAAGAAGAGGAAGAGGAAGTGACAGTTGAGAGAAGAGGAAGGAGAAGAGGAGCAAGCGAGTCAGCAGAGAACCCACTGCAGCCCTTAGAAATCAGCTAACTGCCGGAGCAGCGGTTCCCAGTCCCACTCCGCCGGGAAGAAGTTGGTCAGCTCCAGCTCAAAATCGAGCTGGTCAGCCTTGGAATCGGTCGATGGGCCCACGTCATCATCATCATCATCATCATCATCGTCATCGTCATCGTCATTGTCATCGTCATCGTCATTGTCATCGTCATCGTCGTCAACGTCGTCATAATCATCATCCGAAAAGTCAAACGCAGACACCGGCGGCGGCGAGTCCGCGCGGGGAGAAAAGATCTGCGCTGTGATGAGGGAGCTCACGGATGACGACGTGGACCAGTTCGAGTCCTCGTCGTCTTCATATTCATCGCTGTCTTCCTCGTCGTCTGTGTCCTCCTCAAAGAAGAGGGGGATCGCCCAGCCGGAGCTGGAGGAGATGGCATTGTTCGCCGTGATGCCCTGTTGCTGCGGCGGCGGCAGCGAGTGAAGCGGCAGGGTGGCGACGATGGGGATGTGGCCATGCTCGACCTGTCCCTGGACAGGCGGCGTGGTCACCGCGCTGGGGATGGGTTGGAAGTCGTCAAAGTCAAAATCATCATCCGCGTCTGCTTCGGAATCCTCGTCCTCCAGATCGTAGATCGGGGCCGGGAAGCTGGGGTATAGCGTGGCCATGGTCATGACCGCGGACCGGAAGAGAAGGCGGTTGAGCTTCGTCCGGAGGCGGCTGTCATGGATGTCCTCGATGTCGCCCTCATCGCCGTAGTAAAATGGAGTATAGGCCGGCGGGCGGTCTGAGGAGACGGTGGGATAAGTGGGAGGGGCGTCCGTGGTGGTGCGGGAGTGGTAGATAGGGGGCGGGGCAGCTATGGTGGTACTGGGATAGGTGGGAATGGGCGAGGTGATGGTGGTGTAGCCGTTGTTGGTGTTTTGGTCGGTTATGCTGACACCCGCGTCGAAGTTATCACTGAGGGTATTGGTGCCACCCGTGCCAGTGTTGGCGTTACCATTGGCGAGGGGCTCGAAGGCTCTAGGTCTGCCAACGCCCTGAAGAGGAGTTGGAGCCCACGAGGGCTCGGCATGGGACTCGGTAGAGTCAACAGTGTCAAAGCCAGGAGGCGGCCGGACGCTGCGGTAGACTATTCCGCCGGGACGCTGTCGGTTCATGCCATTGTCCTGGTCCCGCGCCCTGTTAGGGGTCCACTGGGTAGGATAAACAGGAGCACTACTGCTCAAGTTTATGGCAAAGGGAGAGGGTAGCGGCACGTCAGGCGGCGCAGAGCTAGCAACGAATCTATGTGTGTAGGAGGGGCGCCGCGGCTGGGGCACGGAGTCAAATGTTGGCTCGTCCCTGAACACGGCCTCGCCTGGAGCCCGTCCGGGGTGAAACGCTTCGGCGTTGGCATTGGTAGCCGGGGAACGCGGGGCGTAGTTGATAGAGAACCTTTCTTCCGGTGCAGAAGGCGTGGATGGGGCGAGCGCTGGTGGGAGGGAGAAGGGGTCGGGCTCATTAAGAGCCTCCCTCAGGTTCTCACTTTCCGAGTTGTGAACCGACAGTGGGCGCTACGAAATGGGTGTTAGCTCGGCGGTCGATCATGAATCAGAGTTCAGGGGGATCTTACGGGGCGAGGCTCCTCGTCGTGAGACGGAACCATCGACCTTGAACCGCACGGCGTGGGTAAGGCCGTCTTGATTGGAACGGCTTGGTCAAAGGAATACGGTGCCTGGGTGGCTCCCTGGTGTGGGTGTGGGTTGGTAGGCGGGAGGCGCGGTGCAGGGTAGGCGAGTTGGGAGGTGCAGGGTAGGCAGGTTAGTGACTGCTGGTAAGTCTGGCCCATAGTGAAGACGGCCAGCCCCCTTGTAAAATTCCCGGTATGCCTTGTGTCTGTAGACTTGTGATCTTGTGATAGCTGTGAGGGGGTGAATAGAAATGAAGGGCGAATGAAGAGAAAAGGCAAGGCAGGTGGACAGGAGATGGGCCAGGCCTGGTACCTTATATCTCCGACAAGCCCTCCATCATGGGGTTGATTACCTGGAACGGACGTTGTCCCGGTCTAGGAACCCCCCCATTCCCTTCCCCTCCTCCCCCTCCTCCTCTTTTGTTTGTACTGAATCGTCCCAAGGTAGCTTGACAGGCTCCCCTTGTCTTTGCCTGATCCAGAGACCATATCTGATATCTTAGGCAATGGCGTATGCAAGACGTTGCTGAGACGTAGGGGCATGCATAAACTAGCACAGCCCGGTACCCATAGCGGACATCGGAGAGGTCCTGGACCCGGGGTGGCAAACGCTATTGCTGACAGGGTAAACGATGGTGGGCTCTGGCCAGCGTCGATCCATGTATGCATGTATGTACTGGTTCACCAGAGAAGGAAGCACGAGATATGGTCTGCCGTACTGTTGTGACTACGTGCTTTCGGTTTAGTTAGCTTGTCCCTTGTCCTGGGGCATCAGACTCGGTAGAATGGGAGAGACAGGAGAGCCAGCCGGATCCCAAGGGCTCTGCCTCTCCCCCTAGTTTCCTCTTACTCAACTCGACCACGACGCCCGGAGATTGGCCGTCGCCAACGCGACTCGCTTACTGTGTACCGCCGTCCACGTCGGAGCTGATCCTGGTAGGGGCGGTATTTGCCGCCAACTTACAGCATCTAGTGCGAGTGTGGAAGTGGCTCCCGTGGCGCTATCATTAATCGCTGCACTGGTGAAGGCTCTCCATCACACTGCTCTCGGGTGTGTCGTGAAACGATGGTCCCGTTTCTTGGGGACAAAGATTACTATACGGAGAGGCACGGCTGCTGTCAACGATGTTCTGGACTTGATACATGTTGGGGACTATCCTTACCTCACAACCAACCACACAACTCGCACAATCTAACACGCATCGAGTCTTCACATATAAGATCGTGGGCAAACCATCGCACTGGACGTTCATGACAAAGGCTGAAACACTTTCTATCAATAGGATCCCTGTTTATCTTTACATCTCCGGCACATAAAAGGTTTAGGTACTTGGGATCAGAGGCTACACTCATCGGAGGTGGCGAGTCCGTGGAATCTACAGGTTGGTACTTTTACCCCTGACCCTGTCAACAACAAGTCCCACGACTCGGGATGCCTCGAGGCATATTCTGCGATGTTTATGTCGCAGGCCGCTGTCACATGCAGTTCAGCACGGCGACAGCAAGTGAGCCTGCCCCGGGAGATCGCGATCATGAAGTCCGGTCCCCAGGCCTTCACCATGGACAATGTGGCAGTCGAGCGGAGGTGGTTATCGCTAAGAAACCCTGTTCCCTGTCGGCATGTTTGTCACTGCTAGCTGCATGTGTCTAGGTGCATGTCGCCTCAAAGTCATCTACTGTGCACACAGTAGGCTTTGTTTTGAGACATAGTCCCAGATAGGTGACATCTCCGTGACTTTCCCTCGGCATGTCTCCTGCATTAGTCCACTTCGCCTTGTGGGCCCGGGCACGAGTCGGGCTTCGACTGGCGTAAGTCACTATGGCACAACCATTGGTTATTGATGCTCCCGGGCTAATGTCGTAGAAAGGCCGGGCACGTTGGCTGCCTCGGCGATGACAGGTCTCCCGGTTTTCCTCGCTTCGCACTGAGGACCGGTGAGCCCGCGGTTAGAGGATAGTGTGTGTGCTGTTGCCCTCATCGAGCGAAGCCGGCGTACATCGGGCCGGCCCGCCTTGGACCACGGCCAAGACGAGCTCGGTGACCTCTGGAGCATAATTCAAGGACGTGCGCTGGTGCGGTGCTCGATTTCCCCCGCTTGAGCTAACGAGCCTGCCCACTTGCCCACTTGGCCACTCGCCCACTGATCCCCAGATCTACGAACTCCACGGAATGAAACGCGGATAGAGCTCCCCGGACCTAGTGAGCAACCGTTGCCCCTCCGCCTCCCCCTCTCCCCGCGGCCCCGCCCCAAGACCTCCGGGGAGTCTAGGCCGAGTCCAGGCTCCCCGCATATCGCCGTTTGACGCCTGGCATATGAGGCTACCGGCCAACGGGCCGAGTTGTGGACTCCATCGACTGACTGACTCGGCCATGGTGCTTTGAAGCGAGTGAAAACAGAGGCCAGAACCTGAGCCTTATCAGTAAATAACCGGGGATGGTGGTCTAGGGGTGGCGAGAAATGATGGACAGCACGTCGTAGGCGCATCATTCTCAGGAGATGGAAGCGTTCTTTGTTGCTCTCGAAGCGTTTTCTATCAGACGATACCCTCGGCTAGCTTCAGCTGGCGGGGAAGATGGGAGGGGAAGGCATCGACGGAGTAAGGTCATCGGGCTGTGTATGTTTTGTTGGTTGTTGGACCGCAGAAGAAACGAGCGAGGCCGGGTTTGCAGTCGATCCGGACTCGGGAAACAGGAAAACCCTTGTTTGTGACAAAGTTCAAGAATTGGCCCATCAACTTGCACCGCCATGACGTTTGTTCAAAGCACGGTCATTTTTTTTTGGGGGGGGGGGGGGGAACCCCACAACGAGCTCGGGCCACTTCAGTACCACCTCAGATGGATGCCCTGCCGCCCCTGCCGAGCCTGTTGTGCTACCCGCTTTCCGGTGAGCCACTGAAAGACTGCCAGACTGCCAGACTGCCTCGATTACCTGCACAAGCTGCACAATTAGGTACCAATACGAAGCAGAATTGGAACTCCCTACCTGGGCTGGGCTGTAACTCATGGATAGGCACCTACCCGGGCATTTCCCGTCGGTCTGCCAGTTTATCCCGAGAATGGAGGCTCCATGTCTGTGCCGCAACGATGACGGGAACAAGGCAAAGGTGCAGGAAAGTTGGCGCAAAATACTCGCTCAATGGTAACTGACTTTCAGGTTCGGGTCCCTTGAACACGTTGTTTGCCCTTGACCAAGACCTTTTTAGCGCGCTGTGCTGCGTGCGGACCCAATGAATGCGACACGACCCTGGTTTAGATCGGGGGGCGCTTTTCCTATCGCAGCGCCTGGCCCAGTCTGGATCCATCGTCTTCACTTGCACGTTCGCCAAACCATCGTTTGTCCTCGTATCCTCTCATCGCTACCCCGTAGTTTGGTGGTTAGCCGCCGGTGCCTCTTCCTCCGATCCTCATCTTGCCATCCCTCATTCTTAGCACTTAACCCTTCGTCACGACGTCCTTCACCTTGCAACCCTGGGCCACGGGGCTTTTTCCCTTTCTTTTTTTCTCTCTCTTCTTCTTCTAAAAATCAATGAGCGACAAGACTTAATCAGCCAGCCCGCGCCCCGTGCCCTCCGATTTTTTTCTCGACAACGTTCGCCTTTCGCCTCGATGAACTCTGGCGCTTTTCGCACCCTCATCTCTCGTCTGGTCTCGCTCCGCGCACCGCGACCCCGCTTCTCTGTATTTACTGCATTCTAAACCGCGCCAAAGCCCGAGGACGAACTGAGAACGGGGATTGCCTGTTGGTTTCGAGGACCCGCCAGTCTCTGGTGTGGTCCGCCACCCGACCTTCAAGCTGGATTACCCGTATGTGCGCCCGTTTTGTTAATCAATTCCACAAGCCGCAGCTTTCCCCGTCCATGCGCGTCTCCGGTGAACCCGGTTGCCAACTGGGCGGCTGGGCGGGAAGTCCCTGCAACTCCTTTTCCGCCGACAGTCGCGCTTGGCCAAGCGCGGCGGCGCATTGATGCATCATGGCAGTCGCTAACGGCAAGTGGTCAAGATTTGTTGCCGTGACCAGTTGGTCACACCAGCCGCCGCCCAATGGCCGCTCCGCCTTCGGCCACAACAGGTCACTGTCGAGCATCCTGAGGTCCGCCTCGCCGCGGCCGTCGTCGACCCACGCTAGATCGAACTCAACCATCGACCTCCCCATGACCGCCGACCTCGCTCGCTCGCGTCCCTCGACCCCACAACCCAAGCGTCTTTTTGTCCCTACCTCTCATGACGACGACAATGATTTGAGTACCATACCCGACCCCAGAAGCAGGGCAATGAGCCCTGCCGACGGAGACTCTATGGACACGCCCCATCACCATCCTGACCTCAACGACGAGGTCGCCACCCTCAGCACGAAGCTCATAAATGCCATCAACCACCAGACGACCTTGGACGACAACCTCTCGGCCACCAGAGTCGAGCTGGAGAGATCTCGGGAGAGGATACACCAGCTCGAAGCCAAGGTGGAAGAACAGAGGGAAATGCTAGCGGGCGATGTTTGGGTACGACGGAAGACGGTCGAGGCGGAGAAGGCTAAGCTGGTGGCCCGGGCTGCTGAGGAGAAGCGAGCGCGCCTCGATATGGAGCAGCAGAAAAAGAAGATCGAGCAAGAACTTGAAAACCTGACAACCGCTCTCTTTGAGGAAGCGAACAACATGGTCATCTCGGCCAAAGAAGACGCGCGTGCCGAGCAAGAAGCCCTGCACCGCAAGAACGAACAGCTCAGGGCACAGCTCGCCGACACAGAGGGCCTTCTTCGATCGCAGCAAGAGCAACTCGTCGAGCTCAAACATGTCATGGAACAGATGACGGTGGAAAGGGAGGAGCAGCCCCCGCCTACCGTCCCCTCGTCGCCGGGCCGCGAGAGCATTGATGTCCGAGACGCGGTTGGCTCGTTGGCCGGATCCCGCCAGCAGAGTCTCTCGATGCCATCGTTCCCGTCGTATCCCACCAGCTTCACCCACCTCCTACACCCCGTTCTCCGCACCGATCTGGCAGCGTGCAACGATTTCAAGGACCTCCTGCGGACAACAAAGCGATTATCTGCACCCCGCCTGCCGTCTGGCTCGTCCGGCTCTGGGCTTGCATCTCTTGGAATCGGCCTGGGCTCAGCCTCCTCGCACATATCGGGTGGCAATGGGTCAACGACGTCCCTTGCCATGACAGGGACTCCGCCCGCAACGTCACCGCAAACGCCCCACACCCCAGCGTCCTCTGTTAGCAGCAGTTCGTCCGCCGTCACTCCAATTCCTCTCCCCCATCTAAAGGAAACGAAGTTCTACAAGCGAGTGCTCGCCGAGGACATCGAGCCTACCCTTCGCCTCGACATAGCACCAGGGCTGTCCTGGCTTGCCCGCCGCAGTGTGTTGGCGTCCATGACGGATGGATCGCTAGTTGTCGAGCCAACCCCCTCCACGGCGACGGGCCGGTTTGGCAAGGTGATCAAGCCCGAGCTCTATCCGTGCTCCCTCTGCGGCGAGGCCCGGAAAGACGAAGAGTATCTCCGAACCCACCGCTTCCGCGTCAGCGAGTCGGACACTACCCAGGTCGGCTACCCGCTTTGCAAGTACTGTCTCGGCCGGGTTCGGTCAACCTGCGAGTTCCTCGGGTTTCTGCGCATCGTCAAGGACGGCCATTGGCGGGCCGACGACGAGGATGCCGAAAAGGCCGCCTGGGAAGAGAGCGTCCGTTTGCGAGAGCAGATGTTCTGGAGCCGCATCGGCGGTGGAGTCGTGCCTCTGGGCCACACTCGCCACCTTTCAAGCTCCAGCGCGGCTCCCAGCCTTCGTGGCGAAAAGAGCCCGAGGCCGAGCCACGAGAGCACGCGGGGGCCGGCAGAGCATACCAGGCAGTTCCTGGAGCTGCCTAAGACACCTGAGCAAGAGCTTCTGAAGGAATCCACCGAGGCAACACCGCAGGTGAATGTGGAACCAGTTGTTGAAACAGCGCCTCAGTCTGCTTCAGAAGAAGCTGTTGAGCCAGCGCCAGAGCCCACCGTAGAAGACGTTGCCGAGCAAGCACTGCCGCCCACGATAGAAGAAGTTGTCGACGTGGCACAACATCCGATTTCAGAATCAGTCACGGAGACAGCGCAGCCGTCAATCGTGGAAAACGCGGCCCAGGCAACCCAACATGCAGCCGACAAAGAACGTGTTGCGGCTGCCTTGCCGCCTTGCGCTGATAGCGAGGAGCAAGTCCAAGTTGAAGCCTCTTCTTCAAAACAATCCCCCACGGAACAAACTGCCGTCGAGGAGCCAACCGCGCCGCCTGCAGTTGACAGCCCCATCGAACAACAACCGGCTAACCTACCCACCGTCGAGGCGGGTGACCAGAAACAGGTGCCTCTCGCCGCACCTATTACCATCGCCTTCTGATCTCCCCTTCAAGACTTAAGGAGGAGGGGGGACCAGTGGTGTGACTTCTTCATTCACCAACACCAACTACAAACTTACCCACGCCATTCGACAGGTGGGCTACGAATTATACATTGTATTAATAACTTTTACTCCACGGCCCTCGCTTGCCTCCCTGCCCGTAGCAGCAGGTAGTGGCAAGGGAAGTCAGTCGTGGCACGTCATTAGCATGCATTTGTGGCGTTAAGAGTCAGGCTGGGTTTGACATTCGGCACTTTTTTCATTCGTTTCAATCATGACAGACAACAGCGGTCGTCATTCATACGTCAGGCGTTTGGGAGGAACCAAAGGGTTAGGGTACTGGCTGGGCTGGACCGGACCGGACCGGACCGGATTTGGCTTGGACCTGGAGCATTTTAGAGTTTTTGTCCCTTACTTTCTTGTCTTGGAAACGCATGCGGTATAGGGGATAGGGGGTGTGGGGCGGGGGCTGGCTAGGGGAGGGAATGGGTTGTTTACACTATTGTATTAATGAGAACCATGGAACAGGAATGGAACGTTGGATTACTTGACGTCTGAATATCAAGTTGTCTTGCCAAATCAACTAGCGCGATGCTTTTGAGCTATCGGATGAAGAGTGGCAAGGCCAGGTTGTATCGGTACGGAAAAGGTACTTCCAAGGCTCCCTCTTTCAACTATGGCTTCAAGTGACAATAAGCCGAGGTAGTATCGTGTAATATTGTGTATGTGGTTAGATCGGACGGTATGAGATAGGAAGGAACATGAATCGCTTGGGCCTCAAAAGAGACACATGTTACGTATAATTCCGATCCAGCCCACCAACAACCGTCATAATCCGATGTCACCAAAAATTAGTCCGCATGTCCGAGCATAGAATGGGGTAGTTATTCGGTCATAGTTATTAGATCTTAGGAATTTGGCTATCATCGATCACCCTTGGCCCCGTGAGAGAGAGGCGTGACCATGTGCTTTTTGCCATGACACAAATAAAGCAGCGACACCACCAACTTCGTCGCTTTTGGGTATGCGGTTACTAATACGCGACTGAAACAATAACAACAGTATACAAACGAGACAGAAGAGATAGAGGTGAGAAATTCTGAATACTTGAGCCAAAAAGAAGGTAGGAGATGGACAGAAACGAGACAAGGTGGTGGTGCTTGAGACAAAATGAAGAATAGCGATTAGCCAACTGGTAAAAATCCTTACAAAAAGAAAGCAGTCGCGCGGGAGAGTATCAGGAAGCAACCAACACAAGATACGTGCAAGAAAGATAAAACAGAACATAAAAAGAGTTGAAGAAATTCCAACAACCGACTGCTCCCCCCAAGAGAGTGGGACTGAGGTCCTCACCTCCCCCGAAACGAGGGAAGGCAGCAAGACGTCAAACTCAGTCATCCCACCCCTCAAATCCGTCACCATACGGATTCCATTCCTGACCCGGATAGCTCGTCGCACTCATTTGTGGGCGGGCCTCAGTGTCGTTCTTGGCATTGTTTGGATCGGTCTCCCCTTCCGAGAACACAGGGATTTTCTCTTCCATCATCAGTCGCCTCTCAGCTTCCCGCTGTTCCTCAGCCTTCTTCTTCGCCCGCTCGAAGATGGCGACGTTGTCCTTAGCCGCGGCTCCGCCGTTCTGTGCGGCTGCTGCAGCTGCGGTCGCGGTGGGGCTTGTGCTCGGGCTAGCTTGCTGGTGGACCGTAGCGATGGACGCGTCAGCAATGATGGGAGATTCCATGTCCGAGTCATCGAAGTCGTCTAGACCGTCCTCATCATCATTATCGGGGGCAGCATCGAATGTGATTGTAGGGGGCGGAGGTGACGGAGTGTCAGCTGGCGACAGGGGGAGGTTGTTGGGTGGTCGGGCGACCTCGCGAGAGAGGCCGGCGGACTTCGGTTCGACCGGAGCTGTTATGACAATGGTGTTGCTGGGGACATCGCTACGCGGCTGCTGCTGTGGTTGAGGGCGTTGTGGCAGAGGTGATTGTGGCGGCGGTGATTGTGGCGGCGGTGATTGTGGCGGCGGTGATTGTGGTGGCTCCTGCTGCCCGGTAGGGAATTGTGACTGGCGCGGTGTCGCGTCGTAGAGGTTGTCCTCCGCAACACGCTGCGTCGGGGTCGTCAACTGGTTAACTGGGGAAGAAGACACCTGGGCAGACGCCTCGGGGCTGACAGTCCTTGGGCCCCGACCTGCGTCAGGGTTCGCTTGCGACGCAGGCAGAGGGCCGACATTCCATCCCGGCGTAGGCTGGGTACTCGGCGAAGTGTTGGTCGAGCGGGGGGCAAGGTTGGTGCTTGCAGGACTCGGAACCGTGTCTGGGCTTGGGGATTGCACGCGCCCGGGCCGCTGTGATGGAAGTGATGCGATGCCGTCCTCGCTCACATTCCTAGCATGCATCGTGCGGGCCCCTGCTTGCGCAACGGGCAGATTGGTTGGGCCGCGGGATGGTGAGGGAGCGGCATACTGAAGTTGAGTCGGCGGCGAGATATTGCCTTGCCCAGTGTGCGTGCGGGGCGGCGCAGGCTTCGCTTGCTCCTCAGGAGGCGAGATACTTGTTTCGGGGCTTTGGGGAGCCGGGGCCGGAGCCGGAGCTCGCGACGTGGCCAAGTCTTCGGGTACCTGGCTACCTGCCGGAGCAGAGGCATTCTGGGGATGCTGGATCGCCTGAACTTGTACCGAAGGTGCGATTTCCTGTCCAGCCGGCTGCTGGCGGATAACCTCCTCGCCGCGCTCCTGCGTGATCGGAGCTGGGCCTGGAGAGGTCCGGTCCTGGGCTTGCGCTGGCGCGGGAGTCTGAGATTGGGGAGTTGAAGCCGCTAGCGATGCCGGGGATGCTTGGATTACATTCGTTTGCTGCGGCGCCGGCTGAGTAGAAACCCCCGCGGGCGCGGCTTGGGTAGGTGCCACACCGGGCTGGACCCATTGCCGCTGAGCAAAGCCAGGCTGAGGGCCTTGTCCAGGCGGGAAGCCTGGTCCGACAAAGATGTGTGCCGGCGCCGGCGCCACTCGGCCTTCACCGTGGACATACCCGTAGCCAGCCGGGATCGGGACTTGCGCATACTGGGGCTCTGGCGCGAGTGGACGGGCCTGGTGAGAGGTCATCTGCGGAGGCAGCCCTTGTTGGCTGGTGGGAACACCAGGTCTGGGCTGCTGCTGCTGAACCTGTGGTGGGCCCTGGGCGGCAATAGGACCGCCTTGCTGTTGGTTTTGCGTCTGCGCGGGCATACCAGGACGCAATCCCGGCCCCTGCTGCGATTGCGGCTGCGGTTGCGGCTGTTGGGGCATGTTTTGGACCCTCGCGGGATACGGCTGCATTCCCCCAACAGGTTGGCCTGGACCCGGACGGCCAACATTCGCCTGCGATGCTGGTTGAGCATCGGGCTGTCTATACCCGCGCTTGAACGCGTTCATGAGGGACGGCTTGGTATTCTTTTCCTTTTCGGGTTTCGGCCCAGTGGCCGCCGGAGCCGACGATTTACCGCCAAACAATAACTTGGAGAATGTGCTCTGCTCTTTCTCTTTCTGCGGTTGGGCATTGACCGGAACACCGTTCGGTCGGGCGCTTCCAGGGCCGAATTGCTGGCGGAATTGAGGAGGGACACCGCCGGGCTGAGATGCCATCCATTGGGCCTGGTTCGTTGGAAATCCTTGGCCAGGGGCACCAGAAGGCATGTGCCCTCCCTGCTGGCCAGTGGGCGGTCGGAGACCAGGCTGACCGAGCTGTTGGGTAGGCGGTTGCTGTGTTGGGCTGGGGCCTTGGGCTGATTCTCCGGATATCGAACCGGGAGCGTGAGCCGACGCAGGAGCCTCCTGTCCCGGCGACGCAGCCGACGGCGACTGCCGCGAGGGTAGTCTGCTTTCCAAGTTTTGGAACTGGCCCACCGGGGGCGGCTGTCTCGGTGCCCCGCGCTCCATCTCCTCGCCCGGAATGCCCGAGGTGGGAGGAGCTTGTGACGAGGGGGACACGGGCCTCTGCATGTCATTATCCTCTCCAGGCCCACCACTTGGTACCGTTGATGGTGCAATGTTGGAACCGGACGGCGGCTGGAACGGCTTAGCACAAATAGGCTGCTCCTTCTGAGCAGCAGCGGCGCTTTGGGCACCGGGAACATGGTATGACGGCTGATTCCCACTGTTTTTGGGTGCGGCAAACATCTGTCTCATGCTGCCCGGGGATTCGGTCTGGAACCGGGATTGCTCGATGACAAACTGGGATGCTGGCTGGGAATGCTGTGAAACTGGCGATTCGAGGATAGAGGCGGCAGGTGTTGGCTCGGCATTGTTGGCCGGTTCCTGCTGGGGCGTCGTTTGGGGTTGGGGTTGTTGAGCTGTGGCGAAGGGTCCCTGTTGCTGGTTCGGCCCCAACCTGTCCTCGGCCTGAGCCTGAATCGAGGACTGACTTGGCTGCGTCTGCATCGGCGGCCTTTGACCGGCACCTAGCACGCCGGCCTGTTGGCCCTGGGGCGCACCGGGCTGCTGCGGCATCGTCATCGTCCGTTGGGGCCCCGGACCACCTTGCGACTGAAAAGAGCCAGCAGTTCCCGGGGGCCCAGGCTGCATGAACTGGGATTGAGGTGGGAATTGCCCTGGATGGAACTGTTGACCTGCACCCGTGGCCGGGCGTCCGTCGGGGCCTACGGGCACCCGCATACCGTACTGTTGTCCTGGGAACTGGCCCTGTCCGGGAGGGAAAGGCTGTCCCTGGCCGAGTGGACGGCTTTGTTGCGTTGCCTCCTGCGATTTGGAGTCTGAACGCCCCCTCAAGAAGCCGAATATGCCCGTACTAGGCTTTCTTTCTTGTTGATTCTGGTTGGGGATCGGCCCTTGCGGAGGCTGCATCGGCGGGGGACCATATCCAGGCTGTCTGGGGCCAGCAACAGGAGGGAATCGCCCTTGTCCAGACGTAATTTGCCCAATCGCCGACCCTGGTTGTGTAGCAGGGGTGGCCGGCGAAGTGTTGCTTGAATCTGGCTGAGAACCCGGAGTTGTTGGCTGAGCGTTTGTGGGATCCAGCTGTGAGCTAGGACTGGTCCGCAGTAGACTTTGAGATGGAGCATGTGGCTGCCCCTGGGGTTGTCCTTGAGGCTGCTGTCCCTGGGGCTGTCCTTGAGGTTGTGGTTCCTGAGGCTGCTCTTGGGGTTGACCCTGAGGTTGACCATGGGGTTGTTCTTGGCCCTGGAATTGCCCCGGAGGTTGTCCTTGAGATTGTCCTAGAGGCGTTGCCTGAGCTTGTCCTTGGGATTGCGGCTGCGACTGCTGTCCCTGAAATTGGCCCTGGAACTGATTTTGGGACATACCCTGGTACTGGCCTTGGGGTGGTGGCGTCTGAGCCGTCGGTTGGGGTGAGTTTTGTGCGGGCATCCTGACCGTGAAAGATGATCCCGGACTCTTCGAAGCGTCGCGAGGCGACGATCGGAACACGTCCTTCAGGGCAGAGAAGCGATTCTTCCGGAGGGCTACGACGCTCCCCGCATACTTGTAGACAAGGGGCCGTTGGTG